AAAGTTAAATTTAGTATATTTTTATTTTTATTTAAAGGTTGCTGGACTTGAAAAGCGAGAGGGTTTTGCAGAAATAATTAAATTGGACAAATTGTATTGAAATAAAAAATAAGATTGACTATAATTAAAAGTTTAAATTTGATTAAATACGTTCATTAAATACAGTCGAATCTCACTGACATAGCATCCCTCGAGGTTGCCATTGTAGAGGGATTCGATCTATTTAAATATATTTATTCAATATATTTTCAAAAATAAATATTGCCTTAATTTATCAACATTTAAACATTATTAAATGAATTTTAATTAATTTGCTAATTTCAGCGATACTCGACTTAACTTTATTTTGTCAGTTAGACCATTAGGATTTATTTTTATTTTTCCTATTTTAAGATTTTTTGCCTATTGTGGACGCCTATTTGGTAGTGATGGTCGGGATTCCCGGTCTCGGTTCCCGAGTCGGGAAATTTCCCGGGTTTTTTGAGCTCTCGGTCTCGGTCTCGGTGTTTTAGTCTCGGAAATCGAGACTAAATTTACACCCCTAATGACGGAAATTTTTTGAACTTTTTGAAGGAAAGGGGAAAGGAATATATTTATAATTTCTCTCATTTGCTTTTGATGGTTGATGGTTGAGTGGTTAAGTTGACTGACTTCACTCATTAAATATTTCGTAAGTGTTGGGTTCGAATCCTAAGGTGGAAATGAGGTTGTGAAAATTTTTCTTTTCGGAAATAAACGTTTTTAAACTTTGATTTTGATTTTAAAATTTTTAATTTATTTTTTCTTAATTTTTAAACTTGAAAAAAATATTAAAAATTTTAATTTAATCATGAATTTTTCAAAATTTCCTCCTGCGGCGCAGAGCGTTTTCGCCTCCGGCGGTAAAAAAGAAAGAAATCTGGCTATTGGCCTCCCAAATTTTTCAAAATTCAGATTTCTTCAAAAAAATGGAAGAAATCTGACTTAAGGACCTCCAAAATTCTCAAAATTTTCGCCTGCGGCGCAGGAATGGATGAAATAGGAGGATTTATGGCTTCAAAGCCTTGCAACGTTTGTTGTGTCACATGTCCCGTGGGACATGTGAGACTGAGAGAGGGTATCCCTCCTAATCTCTTGGTCTCGACTCTCGGTCTCGACTCTCGGTCTCGACCCGGGACTCGGTCTCGGGGTCGATTCCCGGTCTCGGTCTCGACTCTCGACTCTCGGGTTTTTTTAACTCCCGACCATCACTACTATTTGGCGTTTTTTTACTTCACAGCCTGCTTATTGCAAAACCAAATTTTGTCTTTAACTTACTATTCAGTTTTTATTTTAATGTTATTTTAGTGTTATTACACGAGTTTACTTAAAATAGTAATCTTAAAATAAATTTTCATGCCAAAAACAATGATAAATTACTAAATTATAAATACGTCCATTCTTTTCTTTTTAACGGATTAGTTAAATATAATAATAATAAAAAATATTTTTAAGCAGTTTTTTCTTTCGTTTCTTAAATTTTGAAAGTTTAAAACGCCCGAATCCATCATAGAAAAAATATTGGATTCAGAGAGGTCTCCGATTCTAAGTCGTTACCATTAGGGTATATTATCAACCATTCCATCCCTCCATACAGTTTACATATCTCAATTTTGCTTCTACTTTATTTGCTATGCTACGAAGAAACATAGACGGCCTTGTGATAATTTGCATTATTTGTTTCCAAATTTTAATAATCCATTTTAATATATGTAGTTAATATTAATTTTTAATTTTATTATTTAACTAAGATTATTTTTTCTTTTTAAAATAAAAAAATGTGGCAGAGAACTTCCAAATTCTTCTTATTTCATTGTTTCAATTTCTTCCAAATTTTCTAAGAATATTTATTTATTCTTTTTATTTCTTTGTTTATATTTTCCTTTAAGCATGAAATGTACACAACAAAATTTAATTTTACAAATGAACTTTTTGTTTTAAATTTTTTGTCTAAATTTGGAAACAATTTTATATTTAAATATTTATAGGAAGGAAATTTAAAAAAAATTAATTTAAATATTTGAATTTAAATTTAAAGAATTTAATTATTTATAACTAATAAATTCTGTAATTCTGTTCTATTGTATTTAATTAAACTAAAATTAATATACCCTAACAAACAAATTTTATTATATTCTAAATTATATATTTATTTGTTTTGTATTTTCTTATAAAAATAATTTTAAAAATTAATTTAATTTATTTACAACTTATTAATTTTAAAGTCTTTAAATTTGTGTATTTTCTAAAGATGAGAATACCAAATATTTTTAGTTTTAGAATAATTAATTTAATTGTAAGAATGCTGACATCTCTTCAAACATTTAAATGTTCAAATTTTTTTCCTATTTTCTTTTTCTAAATTTTTTTTTCCAAATAAAAATAGTACATACAACAATTTTTATCTAAAAATATTAAGTACTTTAATAAATAAATAATTTTTAAAAATTATTTTATAAGAAAATGACTTCCTTTGTATATTTAAACGTTTGAAAAGCAATTTATTATTACGTCTTTGGCATTTTTAATGTTTGGTTTAAATAAATAAATAAAAATATTTTTAAGAAATTTTTTAAAAAAATATTCTGTATTTTTAGGAAAGGTTAAATATTTAGTTTTATTTTTAGAGGCAAAAATAAGAAATGATTCGAAAATAAATTTAGAAAAATTTATTTTATAGCTTCAAAATTAAATTTCATTAATTTTAAATTATACATACATACGTAGATTATATTTTAAATAAAAATAATTTATAGAATAAATTTGATTTTACTTTTACTTTTAATTTTCTGCCAACTTTTTCTACTTTTATTTCTTTGCATTTTTGTTTTTCTTTAAATATTCTTTATTTTAAATTTTATTTTTTTTTATTCCGGTCTATTGGTCAATATATTAAGAACTAAAAGCGGGATAAGAAAATAAAAAATAAAAATTGCATGCAAAAAATTATTTGTGAATTGACATTTTCCGGTGGTTAAAAACTCAAAAGAAAATAATTTTTTACATATAAATAAATTTATATGTAAAAATATTTTTTGGAAATTCTGTTTGTACTTGAAGTCTATAATATTTTTTTTTGTTTATCGAATCCTCTTTTATTTTAAAATTAATTTAAATATTTTATCCAAAGTTTATTTAAAATAAATTTAAAATTTTTTCTTCATTTCGTGAGAAAATGAGGAAGATAAAATTTTAAAAAGAAGAAGGAATTAAAAGGACAGTCTATGTACTGAAAAATTTTAAAAATAAATTCTCACAAATATTTTTCAATATTTAATTTTATTTATCGATACCAGAATTAAATATTTTGTATTAAATTTCCTTTGTACTTTTTATTTAAAAAATCCTCCAACTTTGTTTCTTTTCTTTGTGTTTTTATAAAAATATGTATGTAATAATTTGTTGTTTTGTCAACAATATTTTTTTATAAATTTAAAAATACATACATACATATATACTTTGATGATAATTTTTTTGTTTTTGTAAATGAACTATTTTCATAAAAAATTTATTCAAAAATTGTTTTTAGGTCTTACATAATTTAAGCTAAAGGACTAGAAATTTTTTGAAGTAATTTTATCATAATTACAAATTAGTCACCCAGAATTTGAAAAAAATCTATAAAAAAACTCTGCAACTCTTTAAATAAAAATCTTTAATAATTTTTTTACTTTTCATGTTTTATTGAAATTTGATATTAAAAACACATGTATTTATGTATCTAGTAGTAAAGTACTTTTTGTTTTATAAAATATTAGATGAAAAATAAAAAATAAATACTATAAAATATATTCTTTATTTATTCAAAATTATTTAATTTTTATGAAAACTTTTTTAAATCAAATTCTAATAATTTTTTATTTCAAAAATTTTTTTATTTATTTTTATTTAAATAAAATCAATTTTGACCTTTTTTCTTAAGAAAATTTTTTTTTCTTTTAATAAAAACTTTTTTCCTTCTTTTCTCTCATTTCATGAAGATTTTTTTTAATAATTTTTGTTTGCTTTTTTTATTTTTTAAGAATTGGAAAATAAAATTTTTTTAAAGTTTTCACTTCAATTGGAAGAAACAAAAGAATTATTTTTAAAAAAATATTTTTTTAACTTTAATAAAGGAAATAAAAAAATGTTTTTAATTATTTAAAAATAAAAATGAAATTAATTAAAATTAATTATCAACTTTTAATTATTCTACAAATGTTTTTATTTATTTTTTGTCTCAAAACTTCTTCAAATTTTTTAAATTTGGTCTGTTTTTTAGAAATAAATTAAAATTATTTTTATTTTTTAAAGTCAATTTCTGGCACTTCAACAATTATTAATTCAAAACCAAAAGTATATTTAAATGAAGAAAATTTTGAAAATAAAATTGGAAAAAGAAAACAAAGAGAAAATATAAAAAATAATAATAACATCCATCCAACTGTTGGGTAAATTATTTTTTAAAAATAAATTTAAAAAACCTAAGAAAATTAATTTCTCATTCTTTCCCTCTTTTATTCACTCAATATTCTTCCAAAAACTTGATATTTTTTTTATTTTTAATAAATTAATTAATTAAATATTTTCTCCTCAACAATTTTAACCCCCCCCCCCTCTCCTTTTTATTAAAATATTTTTTAAATTCTTTTTCTTCATTTTATTAAAACTACAAATTTTTAAACAAAATTTAAAATTTAATTTTTTAAAATTAAAATCTAAGAAATTTTATTTTTTCATCACATAACTTTTTTTCATCTTCTTTGTAAACTAAAAAAATATTTTTTAAACGCTTTTCACGCTGTTCCTTATTTTTATTTTTAAATATATTTTTACGATTATTTTGACAATATTTTAATAACAGGAAATGTTCTTTTATTGAAAAATTTTTTTTAAATTGTTAAAAATAGAAAATATTTTTTGGAAAATAATTGAGAGATAAATTTAAAAATTTAAAATAAATTAAAAATTAAAGTGTTTATGACACAAATTTGGAAACAAATATGACAAGAATTTTAAATGCATTAATTGCTAGTCACGATAGAAGAATAAGGCCTAATTTTGGAGGTTTTAAAAAATAATTATTTTATCAGAAAATATCTTTTAAAGGCCCACCAACTATAGTTAATGTAACAATTCATGTAATTACAATAAGTGCTATTTCTGAAGTTTCTATGGTAAAAAGATATTTTTTTTTAAATTCTTTCCTTGAAAATATTTTGTTATAAATATTTCTAGTTAATTTCTACATATTCCTTATTGTATAAATCAGAAAAATCTTAAATAGAGTTGTCGATTCTGGACCACCTAATCGAAAACCCGAGGATTTTTCGGTTCGGCTTCGGATATCCGAAGAATTTCCAGGAACCACCCTAATCTTGAAATTTAAAAATAATTTTTGATTTTAAAAATTTTGTATAAAAAATCCAATTTTTTAATTATAAATTTTCAGAATTAAAAAAAAATTATTTTTAAAAGGATTATACATTGGATTTATATTTACGGCAATTTTGGCATGACAGTAGATTAGCTTTTAGTGGAATTCTTGCTCATCAAAATTTAACTGTCGGTATAGACATGGTTAAATCTATATGGACACCCGACACTTTTTTCCCAAAGTTTTTTTTCTTCAAAATTTTAAATAATTTAATTTTTAAGTGAAAAGAAATCTTATTTTCACGAAACAACTTCACACAATTCTTTTTTAAGAATTGATAGTAATGGTAAATTAAATATAGTTAATTAATTTTTATTTTTTAATTTTAAATAGGTAATGTTTTAAGAAGTATTCGTTTAACTGTTACAGCTAATTGTCCAATGAGTTTACATACTGTAAATAATTAATATTTGTTTTTTTAAATTAATTAATTATTATTTTTAGTTTCCTTTAGACAAACAAGTATGTCCTTTAGAAATTGAGGTTTGCTTTACTTAAATATTTGTTAAAATATATTAGTGAGCTACATATAATTTATAGAGATCGGAAGTTTTAAAAAACCTTGATCTCGATCCTTGGATGAGGACCTTAACCAGAACAGATACCTTAAGTCAAGGAAAAATCAAGGAATGCTGAAAAATGCCTTGATCTGGTCTCTGGATCAAGCTAAAATCCAGGTCTGGATCCAGATCCAAGCCGATCTCTAATCCAGGCCGATCTCCGATCTTTAATTTAACAATTTTTTTTCATTAATTACTATTTAATTTTAATTAGCAACTAAGGAAATGAAACTACATATTGATAAAAATAAACACTAAAATTTAATTTTAAACATTTAGAGTTATGGCTATAGCACAAGTGATATTATTTACCAATGGAAACAAATAGAAAATACTTCTTCTTTCCCTGTAACTATTGACGATGATGTTCATTTAGCCCATTTTAGTATTGGAGGGTTTTATCAAATTGAGAGAACAATTTCTTTAAGTACTGGAAATTATTCAAGACTAACTGCATATTTTACTTTTAAAAGAAATTTGGGGTTTTATTTAATACAAATTTATTTTCCCTCATCTTTGTTAGTTATTTTTAGTTTTTATTTTTATATTTTCTTTTAAATTAGAATTGTTGTAATTTCTTGGGTTTCTTTTTTCTTAAATCGGGAAGCTACACAAGCTCGTGTAACTATTGGAGTAACTACAGTTTTGACACAAACAACATTAATGACATCGACTAATGCTTCTTTACCTAAAGTTTCTTATGTTAAAAGTTTGGATATATTTTTGGGTGTCTGTTTTTTTATTGGTAAGAAGATATTCTTTTAATTTAATTGGTAATATAAAATTACTATGTGAATTGAAAATAAGTAGGGTTGCACCCCGAACGCTCGAGGGCAGCTATGCCGGGGTACGGGGTTTTTGAATTGTTTCGGGGCGGGGTTCGGGTCGGGGAAAATCTGAAAAAATCTTTCGGGTACGGGGTCGGGGTGCAACTCTAAAAATAAGTAAATAACGAAAAATTAAAATTCAAAACAAAGACTGGGAGGGAGTTGCAGTAAACTCCCTATAATTAATTTTATTTTATTAAAAATCCAATAAAAAATGTTTTAATCCTTTGTTTTTTCTTAAAGTATTTGCAAGCCTCTTAGAATATGCTACTGTTGGATTTTTAATGAAAAGACAACGTCGACGAAGACATAGCCTTCGAAGACCGTCAATTTTACCAGCAACAGCTTTATTACCTCGTTCTTCTACAGCTACAGTTTGCTTTTTTGAATTGGAAGATGGAACTTTGAGAAGAATGGATCAAGTTATTATTCCTCCCCCACCCCCAACACAAATTCAAACAAATAATAAAAATATTAATGGACATTCTAAACGTTTTAGAAATTCTTGTAGAAAATATTCAGCAGCTCCCTTAAATGTTTCGGTAATTTATTTAGCCTGAAAAAGAAATTTTTTTTATTTTTTTAAAGAATGGAGATTCCAATGATAATTGCAATGCAGGCCAACCTCTTCTAAATAATCATAGGCAAAGTCTCAATACTTTTGAACAACGTCCACTCTCAGCAAATCGCCGCCCTAGTAGCTATTTTCTTTCTGCTCATCATCAATCGCCGATTAATGGCGAGCAACGGAGGCCTAGCTGCCTTTTGTATTTACCTGAAGAGAATGCTGTTCCTTTTTGTGAACAAACAACAGAAGAGGAACGAAGGAAAAGTTTAAAAAGCATTAACCAATTAGGTAAATGTTCAATTAGAGCTTCACATGTAGATCTTTTTTCGAGAATTGCATTTCCTATATTTTTTGTTTGTTTTCATCTTGGATATTGGCTTATTTATTTAAATTTAGAATAATGTTTTTAATTATTTTTTCGCTCATTTGAATTACTTTTTATCTCAAAAGGGAATTCATTTTAAGAAAAATATCATAGAGAGGAACGTAAAATTATTTTTGAATTATCGGAATGGAAAATCCTAATTCAGTTCCCTTAAGACGACAAAATCTGTCACTTGATAATTAATCTTACATGAATTCTTAACTCTCTCAATATCACTCATTTTTCTGTTTATTTCTATACCTTTTATCAATTCACAAATTTCCTCAAACAATATATTCGGGTAAATTCTTGTTTTTGTAATTCTATCAAATATATCAGGGATCGCGCCATCAGAAAACCAAATTCCAGACTTTCGGGAATAGTGAATCAGTCGGCACGATCCCTGTATATATTTAAACTTAAAAAACTATTTAATTAAAAATATTATGATCGTTTTTAATATTTATCTATGCTTTATTCAAAATTTACAGAAAAAAAAACAATTTAAAATAAATTATATTTGGTTTTGCATTTGAAAGGTTATACATAAATTTACGTTTAAGTGATTTGTATTTAAAATTATACCATATTTTTTAAAAGGAAAAAAGTCAGAAAAATTAAAGAAAATATTATATTTAGGCGTTAACACGCAAATTTTTCAAAAAGACGGACTTCTCAAACGAAAGGTGCTCAGTCAGATGCTTGAGATCGAGATTGGTGCCACCATTAAGATTTTCACCAGATCCAGAATTGTTCCAATAATTATAATTGTTCCGACCACGTTTAGCCTTAAAAAAACAATATTAAAGCAAGAAAAACTAATAAAACAAAAGTTGTTCTCAAAGTTATGCGAATAGATAAGTACAAAAAATAAACAGAAACAAACATATTCAAGTGCAACCATCACAGGGGTTGGCAAAGACGTTGGACTGTAGACAATTTGATGTCCAAAGCACAAACTATGAGTCATCATCTGGAGAGTGTCCATAGAGAGATTGTTCTCATCCAAAAGAACATTATAACGTGGAGTTGACGAAGTACCCTATAATTTTAATTGATGGCATTTATGTAGAATTTTTCGAGAAAAAAATTTGACAGGGCTGTACTCAGCTTCGGGGTTTTCTGATTTTTTAGCTTACTAGGGTTTACTAGAATAATAAAAAAAAACTAGGGTTTACTTAAAAAACACTATTTTTAAATTTTTTTTTAAATTTTTTTAAAATTTAATAAGGTTTACTAGAATAATAAACTAATAATGATCAAAGATAGCGAAGAATTAGCATATTAGTGAAATTTAAAATTCGAAAATATAAATCATAGTTTAGGTCTTTACGGAGAGTCCTGCCACAGAGTCCCGACAAGTAACAAGTTTATTACTATTTTTCTAAAAATAATCAAAATTTAAATAACCTGAAGGGCAACATGAGAATTCAGATAAAATTCAGTCCAAAGTGGATGAACGATATCCTTGTCAACGACAGTGCCTGGCAAAATATTCTGTTCAGGAGATTTTTTACGCTGATCAATATTTTTGGCATAAAGTCGGACAGACTGCATTAAAAAAAGTTGAAAGTATGCATTAAAAAAACTATATAAATTCTAGAACCTGCATTTTGTTGACCACAATCAAAGTAATCTTTGCAGAAATTCCATGTTCATTGAATGCATTCTGGATAAGTGGCACTTCATATTTCAAAATCTTTTGAAAAGATCCTTCCCCACTTCCATCGCGATAAAGAATAAGACGAGTTCTATAAAGATATACTAAAGGTTTTAAATTAATTTTAAAAAACTCACGGAAAGCGATTGTTAAACGTTTCATATTGCACTATACAACGTTTGATGATGTTCTCAATGATGGTAACTTTCTCATCACGATTAGCTTCCTAAAAATATAGAACATGAAAAATTTAGTCTATGAAGCCAAAAAATTAATAGATTTTGCGCAAAAATAACAAAAGACCTTTGACAATTTTAAAGTTGCAGAGCATTTGAAAGGATAACGTGGATTTGTAAGGAAAAGAGAAACGTGGTCCTCTTAATCCCCATAAATCCATCAATTTCATCTTAATCCCTTCAAATAACACTTTATGACCTAAGATCCTCCGATATATTTCACTAAGCAATTGTCCACTGACACATTGTCCGGGAGCCAACACAAGAGTACCATTTTAAACTAAAGATAGTAATTAACCTGATAACAATAGTCGCCAACAAACTCAAAACTATTATTCTTCCCAATATTTGCAGAAAACTTAAAATGTTAAAAATATGAAGACTAAAATTAAAAACATACTCCAACAACAGATGGCACAGTTATACGGTGTACATGTTCACCATTTCCATTACCTCCATTTCCATTCTTACCGTTTCCATTTTTGTCACCTTCTGCAGTTGGTTGCACACCAGGTCGCGTGGCTAACCCCCCAGCTGGATGGTTTGAACCAATGCCAACAATTAAAGTACTACCCCCAAAAATTGGGAATAAACTGTAAAAATAATTGTAATTTAAATAATATTTATTGTTAGTATACTCACTCAGATTGCGGAGAAACAGAAATCGTATAATTATGTCCTCCCATCTTTACATTAGTCTTGTGGATGATGTTCGCCAATGTCAGAAAACGATCCTTAAAGATGACATTCTTTACTGTCGACATCTTGACACCCTGCGTGACGACTTCGGTTTTCTGTTCGATATACTTCATGGCATCTTTGAAGAAAATATAAAAAATACTAAAATAAATTTAAAACTAACGATGAATCTGATCTGCATTATCTGGATGAGCAATTAACATATACTCAAAACCTTGTTCGTAGTACCCCTGAATGAGTAATTTGAGATCCGCACCAGTTGCTTGGCGAACAAGGATCTGAGGCTCGGCAAAGTTCATTCGATTTTTTGCAAGGACGGAACGAAATCGCTTCACAAATTCACTGTAAATTTTCAAAAATAACAAAAAAAAATAGATATAAATTTACGTCCACTGCTCCATATTGATAGCATCCTGTTGTGTACCGAAAAGAGCCAAAGCAACCCATTTACCACATGTTGCAGTAGAAAAATATTTATTAGCATCATTCCATGAACAACGCGGTAACTTCGGAACTTGCTTTGCCTTTGATGCAAACTCGAGTTCTGGTGGAGGAAGAACACGAGAAGTAATTTCAATCGGATCCTTTTGGCATTTGATTCCCAAACCATTCAAATATTCACTATTATCAAGTTGAAGAGAATTTTTCAGAAAGGCATTTTGTTTCTTTAATTCCGCAGGCGGAATAGCCGTCTTCCGAATCATCTCCTAATAATTAAATAAGGCAATGAAAATAAACAAAAACATACTCTATTAGCTTGTGGATCCTGTTGTGTAGTTTTAACCCGTTGATTGTCTTGGATTACACAAACTTCCATAGGAAAATACCGAATTCCATCAGTATTCTGTAAAGTTTTATACTTATTCACAATCAGAGGCAAATTAGGATATCTAAATTAAATCATAATTATTTACAAACAAAAATCAAAACTTACTTAAAGTTAATGTGATATGTTTGCGTGTAATATTCAAACAAAGAGACTTTTGGGCCTCCTTCACGTTGAATGAACTCAGTGTAGAGATTAGTTGTAGACAATCCATGAATTTCGAATACTCGAGGTTTTTGAGTATGATTAGTTACAACAAAAAGACCTAAGAATAAGAATAAAATTAGAAAAATATGATTAGATTAACTGAAATCGGTAGAAATGTTAGATCAAATAAGGACCTTATTAAATTTACACAGCCGAAAACAAAATCCAATTGAAAAGGTAAAAATGTTAATAAAAATAACACAATTAACCACTCGATCAAAGTCGAATCGTATGGAAATATGCTCAAAGTTATTCAAAATTAAACCTTTAAGGAAGCCTTCAACACGTTCTTTAACCCATTCAGTGTCCTTCATACGAGAAGCAAAATGAGGTCCGAGCAATTTCAAAAGTTTCTCTGAGACCAGTTCCACAAAATGAAAAGGTGTCTTAAAAAATAAAAAAACTGTAAAAATAAAGCCAATTAAATAAACCTTCTTTACAGATGCAACAATTGCTTCACTCATTTGATTCATACCAGAAGCATTTTCAACAGTGCGAATGCCCTTATGCATTCCAATTCCAAGAAATGAAGAATTACTAGGGAAAACAGGACAATCCTGTTCAGTAAATCCAAAATAACTGGGATTGAGCAAATAAAAATCAGAAGCTGAGAAATGAGTGTAAAGTGAACTGAAAAAAAAAATTAAATAAAATGAATGAAGAATAAGCTAAAGAGTCTTAAAGTTAATCTGTACATATTTTTAGGTTTTAAATTTTTCAAGATACAACCACAGAGGCGTAACAGGAATAGAATTAAGAGGTGCTATAACGGAAAGTGTGTCGAATCTGTGGAAAAATTGGGTGATTTTTGAGATTAAAAATTCTTTATAAGCAATTCTTATTATGTTTTTTGTTGGAAAACATATTTGTTATAAAAATCATAATTATATAATCGAAACTTACGGATCATCAAAAACGTCCTGAGATGTTGCAATATCCAAAAACTGCTGAGTTGTACGATCAATCTTCTCTGCATCGTTAGTGACGTAAGAAAAATCGGACAGTTTGAGCAATTTCTTAGTATCTTGAACCGGACGAATTTTAAGTCTAAATGAGTCGAAGCCATTGAAGAAATGAGGAGAATGTTGTTTAATCTGCTCCAACGTAAACAACTCCTCAATTCCATGCTGGAAAAATTATATTTAATATAATAAGGAAAAAAATCTGATTAAAATTCTAAAACTAAAAGTAATAAAGAGCATACATAACAAGGGTGTAGTCAGGGGTCGATTACAGTGAGGAGGCAAAATGGGGTGTAAACCAAAATTGCGTTTACTTTGGCGTTTCGAACGCAAATTTTTTAAAAATATTTTTATTTTTCAGCGCCGCAAGCGAAAAATTTAAAAATTTTGGAAATACACATGGCCGGATTCCAGCACAGTTTCAGTGACCAATTTCCTAGACAAATCCCCTACGACAAAGTCCTATCTTAAGTTAAAAATAAAACTTACAACTGGAACTTTCAAATCAATGGTTGAAATGAGGAAACTCCCACAATCATAATAAAGACGTTCCTTTGATAAAACCGAAGCATGCTTAATCTTAAAAGCTCTCAAAACAGAATAGCATTGAAGACGACGCACAGCATTACGATAGCTGAAAAAGAAAACTTTAAAATTCAAAAATATAAAAAAAGAAAATTAGAGATCGGCCTGGAACTGGAAACCCTCAACTTTTTTTTGGTAAGATCAAGGATCTGGTCAGGGTGACCAAACAGAATCAAAAATCGAGATTTTTAAAATTTTCTATCTCTAAAAAAAATATGATTAAACGAGGACAAGAAGTATATTCATGGATAATCTTCCTTTTAGAGTATTGGAGGAGTTTAAAAAAACTAGTGATCTCACGAAAATAATTATGTAAAAAATACTCTGAAGAAGATCGAGTAGTCAAATCAAATTCACGTTGTCCAACTCCAGAAACATTGACCTCATAACGAAATAAATCTTTTGTTTTCGACATTTCAAGAAGATAGACCTAAAAATTTTTTTGAATTTAAACAAAATATTAAAAAAATACATTTGTGACGACTCTCTGACCATTTCCAACATCAATAGTCCCAGGTTGTTTCTTTTCCGCAAGCAAAGTGGATCCAATCTGAAGCTAAAAATGAGAAATATTAAACAATTTAAGCAAAGATTTTTGGTAATCTTCTGCTTCATTAGTCCCTAAAAACGAGGAAAAAGTGCTCGCTCTAGAATTTGTTAATTTCAAACCCCGGACTCGAATTCGACCAAGTCGAATTCGGTGTAAAATTCAAAATTTAGGGTTTATTCGAGCTGAGTCAACTGGTATCAAAAGCTGTCAAAACATAATTTTGATGCCAATCAGTTATAAATTATGAACAATATCTGTCTATGATGGTTGGGTTTCTGAAAAACAACTTTCCAGAAACTCAACTAGTAGATCATTTAACCATAAACATTACAAAAATAAGTAAACAATTCACACTAACCTTAGCCAACTCAAGCGCTTTCTCAGCATCCTGCATTATAGTTGTCGCCTTCCTAGGTTGAAAAGTAGACATTTTAAAGAAAATGGTATGTAAAGATTCTAAAAACAATAATTAAAAGTAGTGAAAAAATATTAAACAATTTAGGCAAAGATTTCTACATTAATTTGATATTTAGTGGAGAGACCGGCGCGAGACGGGATCCCGAATCCCGTATTTTTTTTGATTTTCGGGATCCGGAATTTTTTCGGGATTCCCTCGGGATCCCGTCCCGGCTAAAAAAGTCTCGACTCGGGATCCCGGAAGTTCGATTTTGCCAATCTCTAATCTAGTGGATAAACTATGGACAATACGTAACATCATCAACTAATCGCGGATTAAGAACAATTTAGTGACGGCGAAAAACGCCTATCCGAATTTTTTATTACTTATGCAAATGGGTAAAAGGACACGCCCAAGTAGGCGCGCGGCCAGGTAGGCGCAAAGCCATAACTACCTGGAAAATTTCTGGACTATAGCAATTTTGGAATCAATCTCGGAATCGTTTAATGCTAAATTTTGAAAGATTCAAAAATCTTGAAGCAAGTTATGGCTTTGCGCCTACTTGGCCGCGCGCCTACTTGGGCTGTACCCTGCGTAAACTAGGAAACTGCAAATAATATTTTCTGAAGGAAAAAAGTTGTTTAAATAATATCATCAATTAATCACGGTCAACTTTTTCTAAAGAACACAATGCCAGAACAGTGCTTTTGTTAACGTGACATTAAATCTCAACGTTTTTAAATCTCTTTTTCTCTCTATTGTATTATATTTCTCCTCTCTTTTTCTATTTATTTCCATTCGTCGTAGTCTCTCCAGTCAGCACCGTTACTGCGCCACGCCGACTCCCCATATCGTAATTGTCTTAGTTAACTTTGTCTTAACTTGTTTAATTAGCGCTTTTGGAAGTGTATTCGATATTTTGATCATCAGATCGGTCCCCCTATGGTTCCTCAATTTTCAAGGACCTATATCTCGGCCTATAATTGAGACTGCTCGTTGATTTTGGTGCAGTTCGACTTCCCTCGCCGAGCTCTATCAATGAAATATAAATCGTCCCTATTTAAGAGTGGCATGTATTATAAAATTTTTCTGCATTCGGACAAACACCAATAGAGAAAATGATTCATCAATGTGCATTAACAAAATTTTAGAGACTACATAAATATATTTAAATAAAAATGTTAATGCTAAAATGAGGGAAAACTTTCGGGGACGGGGTATTTAAATTACTCACAAAGATTGGGACAAATTTTATAAACACTTCTATCTCTTCCAAAGCCGTACCAATAAATTATAAACTTCAAAAAAACATGCAAAAAATGATAAAAGAAAAAATTAAGATCCATAAACTATATAAAAGAATAGAAGCTAGTATTTAAATATTTATTTCATAGTCGTAAAATACAAGTAAATTTGAGAGAAAAAAAAATAAATTAAAAATTTAAAGAAATTAAAATTAAACGAATTAAAAAATTAAAAAGTCACAAATAAACAGAGAAAATAAATTAGAAAATTAGGCTTGTCTAAAAATGTCTTTAATTTCGTAAATTTCCCCAAAAAGAATCCCTTCATAAAATCATTTGATAATTTTAAAAATACAAAAATTAAGGACATTTAAAAATCAAAATTGGCACAGAATAAATTAAAAATCTTAAAAAGGATCACCTAAAGGCACAAGGCGACGCGACTAGACCGTCAACAAAGCGCTCCATTTCTAATTGCATTGCATCAGACGAGGCTCGTGGCTGTTGGTTTTCTTTTTCACGATTAAGTTCTTCAAGAATCTAAAATAAAAATATTTAAAGGCCATCAAATGGAATTTTAGAAAAACAAAGAAACTCTCGAGGAGGGTGGAAGAAAGTTAACTTCCATTAATGTTATGACATAACAAGGTGAAAAAGGGAAAAATATGTACCGACGAAATTAAGAAATACAAAGACATAGTCTTCCGATTCTGTTGATTGATCTGTTTTGAGAAATCGACCTCAATTAAATTAAACGGTTTTTGGCTGTTATGTAATGGGAAATCCAACCCCAATTTTTCTGATGCGATAATTCGCGAATTTTACCCTTCTCATTTCAAAAATATAACCAAAAGTTTATTTAAACAATCCTAATAAGCTAATTATCTAAAAGAAAACCTGAGGAAAGAGATTCTGGCTTTTCTTCTTAATTAGACAGGAAGGCATTGATCTAGCAAAATAATTAGTAGTCGTGTTGAGGTAATTGCTTTGGACGAAATTTGTTTGCAAATTATTTTGGACGTTGTCAGGATGAATAAATAAACAGCGACTACCGTAAGGGCAAACTCCACGACTTGTATATTTTTCACAAAGACGAGTTTTGTACTTCTCGTTAATGGGAAGAGGAAGCCTTAAAAAACGAAACTTTAAAAATTACTATATTAAAAATAACGTCGGTGTCCTTAAGTCATCAAAGCCATGAGCAAAACGGCAATTTTTTCCAAAACTGCATTGTGCCCGTTCCAACCAATTTTGGCACATAACCGTTTTGTAGCTTTCTATATAACGTCTGCTATTACGCCATTCACGTTGATGATGGGCTAGAAGAACGTGATGTGCCTTTCTAAAAATTAAAAATAAATTATAAAAATTATTTAAAAAAAAAATTTACTCAGATTCGGGATTAATATATTGAGTAAGTTCTACAGGTTGATGAGCTTCATAATTTGGTTGAAAGCTGGATAGGGATAAAGGGCGTTTTTGGAGTTTGTTAGTGACGTTCATTATAATTAAATTAAAAAATTGTTGTTGTTAGTATTAATATTTGTTAGTATATTAAATTTATCTAGAAAATTTAAATAAAAATTAGTGCGCGGCAAAATTATTTTTCCGGACCCGGAAACCGGAAAATGAATTTGAATTTCACACTCATGCCGGACCGGATTTTTCTGAAGTAATCCGGTTCGGAAAAATTCGGAGATCTCGAAAAAACCCGGATTTGGTATCCGGAAAAATCCGGCCTGACCCTGTCCGGTGCCGCGCACTAACAAAAATTATTAAATAAATCATTTAACTTAATAAATCCAAAAATTTTTTTCTTTTTTAAAAAATAAAAAACCCGAATTTAATAACGATATGCCAAAAAAGGAATTTTTCCTAAACTTACGAAATCCAAAAATTTTTCAATCTAGTATTTCAAAAAATTTAAAAATATTTTTAATAAGGTCGTCATGAACGAACCTCTATAAAAAATCAAGTAATTACAAGTTTAAATATTTATTTTAAAGTCATAAATACAAATAAATTGAGTCGAAAAAGTAAATAAATTAGAAATTAAATTAGACACATTTAGGATTAATGAAAAATATAAAAATTAAAGTCACATCCATATAAAATTAGTAATTTGTTTAGAAAATATCTTTAATTTTAAAAGACTTAAATATTTACCTAATTAATGGAATTACTTAAATAATTTTATAAAAAAATTAAAGACATTTAAAAAGTGACAGAAATACTATTAAGTTTAAAATAATTTAAGAGGACAGTTCAAAGGAACGATATGGTGATGAGATGAGACGGTCAACAATTCTCTCCATTTCTAATTGCATTGCAGCTGAGGAACCGAATTGCGCTTGATTTTCTTTGTCACGGTGAAATTCTCCAAAAATCTTAAAATTTTTGTAAAAATAAAAGTCAAAAAATTTTGACTAGCTTGGGGATTATATAAATTTTTTTCATACAGACAAGACGACTCCTTAAACTAATTTCCCTGCTATTTATGCTAATCTAACGGCAATCCAGGAGAATTGGGGTTTCTTCGAATAAAAAGTTTAAAAATAAGAAAAAGGGGTTTTCTAGGGTAAAAAAATATGCTGATTACGAATCTGAACTCAGATTTTGAAAAAGTCGAATCCCGGACCCGAATTCGGAATTTGACCCCGGACATTGTCGGACATTGTACAAAATGGTCAATCTTTCATAAGCAGGTAGAACTCATCGAGCTGCATCGAATGACACCAAAATCGATGAAATCCGACGTGGTTGGACCGAGATACAGACCCCGGAATATTGAAAAACCATAGGGGTGATTTTTTGGAGTAAAAAAAAGTTTATGCATATGATAACTCATTCGAAAGAGCTCGTCGAGCTGAGTCGAATGACACCAGAATTACAGTGATTCATCAAGTTTTGACAAAGTTGTGACATAAGTCACCGACTCCTACAGTACTCACATAGGTATACTTTATGTCATAACTTTGTCAAAACAGGTCCAATCACGTTGATTCTGGTGTCGTTCGATGCAGCTCGACGAGCTCTTTCGAACGAGCTATTATTTGCTTATTCGAAATCCGGGTTCAGGGTTCGAAATTTGGTTCGGGTCCGGGATTCGACTTTTTCAAAATCCGAGCTCAGATTCGTGATCAGCATATTTTTTTACCCTAGAAAACCCCTTTTTCTTATTTTTAAACTTTTTATTCGAAGAAACCCCAATTCTCCTGGATTGCCAATCTAACAATAATCTCCAAACATCAAAATTATTTAAAAAATTAAATTATCAAACCTGTGGAAACAACTCTTTAACGTCAATTGAATATCCCTTCACTTTTCCAGATATTTCATGCTGAGGCGGTACTCGCATTTCACCAATAGCATGATAAAAGGAACATTCATTAGCCGCCTTACAGAAACCATTGCCATAATAATTGCGACAAGGTTTTGTCTTGTAGGCATTTTGACGTCGGAGATTTCGTAAATGTTGATTGTATTGAGAATTGGTCACATTTAGTAACTGTAATGGAAAATACATATTAAATTTAAAAAACAACAAAATTGAACAAAAATTAAAAATGGATTTTGGATAAAATTTTGGAAAGTATCGTCGCCCGTCTCACTTGGCTTCTTAAGTTTATTTTTGGCTTTTACCCAGGATTTCTATACCACTGCTCAGGTCCGAGAACCAAAGACAAATCTATCTTATAGTTGGGGGCATGCCCCCTCCCAGGAAATCAAAGAAAACGAAGAAAATTTGGGAGGGAGATTAGAAAAGTTAATTTTTCACATAAAGCTACTAAAGTTATCGAAATTTTCAGCTGCGGCTATTAGTTTTAGACTATTTAACCTGAGGGAAGAAGTCTTTAACGTCAATTGGATGCCACTTCAGTTCGTCAGACATCTCCATTTGTGGCAGTGTGCGCATTTCACCAATAGCATGATAAAATGAACATTCATTACCCGCCTTGCAGAAACCATTACCATAATAATTGCGACAAGGTTTTGTCTTGTAAGCATTTAGGCGACGTCGATGGCGGAGATATTGACTATATTGGGAGCCAGGAATGTTTGAGAACTGAAAAAACATAAAAATTAAATTAGTAAATTTACAAATCCGACAACTTAGAAAAGTACCTGACAGATGAAAAGACCATTAATACGTTTCCCCATACATTTACTAAGGTCACAGAGCTCATGCTTGAAAATAAAGTAAATAAGCATTACCCAAAAACATACATGATTTTGCATCAGAAATTGCAATTTCTCGTCCTCTTCAGTAGTGTCAACATGTCCTTTTGAAAACTTTGAAGGAATTAAAATATTAGAATTTTGCAAAATAAGATTTTCAGAATCCGGCTGCATGCCGGATTCTGTGCTAAATTAAAAAATAATTTATAAATCATTAGAAAAAAAATTAAACAGAAATTAATCAATTCACATATAAATAAAAAACAACTTTCATGCTAAAATTATAAAAAAAATTTAACAAAATTTTAACAAAACGTGAATTTTAACATAACGGTCGGTGGACAATCGGTCAATGGCCGGACAAACGTCAGTGGACGCAATTCGAAACTCGCAATTGCAAAAATCCCCGCAATTTACGCAATCTAAGATCATTTGCTAAGAGTCCGGCAGTAGATCTGTCGATAAAAGAGGTTTTGGATTGATAAGTGGGATTTAAGGGATATCAGTGGGATAAGAATATTCGTTTTATGGGGGATATTAGGAGATTCGGATCCAATAGTGTTTGTTTTTTTCTACGGTTGGCCAATGAAGTGTTCGAGTGGATTTCTACTGAAATTGATTCTGCTTAGTAACCTTGCAATTGCAGTTTTAGAAGGAACAGAAAGATTTAGATGCTATGTTATAAAAAAGCGTACGTTATAAAAACCAGTTAACTAATTCAGAATGTAAGAATTTGAAATAATCGTCATTAAACCGCAGTTTTTAAACACTTTTACCAAAATAAAATATTTATTCGAATATTTTAAATTTAAATCTTTCAATAAATAAAAGTAAATTAACAATAAATATAACAAATTTGAGCAAATTTTAAGGTAAAGTTAAGGGAAATTCAATGAATATCAATCAAAATTAACAATAAAATAATAATCGAATCTCCCTAACATTTACCCAAATAAAATATTTATTCGAATATACCTAAATAAAATTCCCACGTTCCTTCATGTCATCTTAATTTGGATCCGAGGGGGTTTGTGTTAAAGAGATTCGACTGTAATATATATAGAGGTTTTGATAAAATATCAGATTTTTAAATAAAGAGTGAAATTTTAAATAGAGTGAAATTAAATAAGCAAAATTGTTTTTAAGCATTAACGCGCATATGTTTCAAAAAAACGGATTTCTCATAGGAAAGAGTTTCTGTAAGTTGCTTGTGATCTTGCAAATTAGCGCCATTATTACCACCATTGAGATTACCACCAGAGCCAGAATTACTCCAATAATTGTAATTGTTTCGTCCACGCTTAGCCTTAAAGATTATCTTATTGTTAGTTTAAAAGAAAGTTGAGTTAAGAAAAATGGTTAAGAAAATGTTCACAAAGTTTTGCGAATAGAAAGGTACAAAAAATAAACAGAAACAAACATATTCAAGTGCAACCATCACTGGAGTTGGCAGAGACGTTGGACTGTAGACAATTTGATGCCCAAAGCACAAACTGTGTGTCATCAACTGAAGAGTGTCCATGGAAAAATTGTTCTCATCCAAAAGAACATTATATCGAGGAGTTTTCGAAGTACCCTATAATTTTAATTGATTTTGTCAGGGCTGTACTCATCTTTAAAATTCGAAAATAGAAATCATAGTTTAAGTTTTTACGGAGAATCTTGCCACTGAGTCCCGACAAGTAACAAGTTTATTACTATTTTTCTAAAAATAATCCAAAATTAAACAACCTGAAGAGCAACATGAGAGTTCAGATAAAATTCAGTCCAAAGTGGATGAACGATATCCTTGTCAACGACAGTGCCTGGCAAAATATTCTGTTCAGGAGATTTTGCATGCTCATTAATATTTTTGGCGTAAAGTCGAACGAACTGGATTAAAAAATACTACAAAGTATATACCGTATTTCCTATATTAGAGCCCCACCCTCTGTTAGAGCCCCACCCTCTAATACAGCCCCACTTTGGAGGATAGTTAAAAAATAGAGCCCCACCCTCAATTAGAGCCCCACCCCAAATAAAGCCCCACCTAAAAAATATTGGAGGAAAAATTATCCCAATAACTTTTTAGATGTATTAAGAGAGTTAAGGAAATAAAGGGATGGATCTCGATGATATCGCGATCAAGAAGGAGGAGGGATAATAGGAATATAGAAATGAAAGGAATCGTGTTAGGCACTTGGCGATAATTCGAGAGATTATTAAAGATCTATTAGAGATCTCGCTTATAATCAGTGATGAAGTTCCAAAATTTCTCCAAAACCGGTTCCAGTTCTGGAACTTGTTCAAAAGCTTCATCAAACAAAATCCCTTCATTTGCCTCCTAATACCCCTAGTCCAGAATATCCCTCTTAATCCCGCTAAATCTCTCAATATAAGCTTAATCCTCTGTATTCCCCATAATCCCTTAAAAGCCACTCTTATACCTCTGATCCATCGATGTCAAACACTAGTCCCCTAATATTTCCTTTAATCCGTCCAAATCTATTAATATTTAATATTAATCTTACTCTTATTGAATTATTGTGACTATTTTGTTATTCATTGCTTAAAAAGTTTTAATTTTTCATGAAAAATCAAAAAAAATATCGATTCGCTTTTGATATTTTCGGTTTTATCGACCATCCCCTCCGGCCTATCTCTTGTTGCAATGGACAGTTAATAAATGGGATTTTAACTCAAAGAGGGTTGAAAAATAGAGCCCCACCCTCAATTAGAGCCCCACCCTTTAATACAGCCCCACCCTGGAGGATAGTTGAAAAATAGAGCCCCATGGGGCTCTAATATAGGAAATACGGTATATTATAGAACCTGCATTTTGTTGACCACAATCAAAGTAATCTTTGCAGAAATTCCATGCTCGTTGAATGCATTGTGGATAAGTGGCACTTCATATTTCAAAATCTTTTGAAAAGATCCTTCTCCACTTCCATCGCGATAAAGAATAAGACAAGTCCTATAAAGATATAAAGGTTTTAAATTAATTTTAAAAAACTCACGGAAAGCGGTTGTTAAACTTTTCAAATTGTACTATACAACGTTTGATAATGTTTGCAATAATGCTAACTTTCTCATCACGATTAGCTTCCTAAAAATATAAAACATGAAAAATGTAGTCTATGAAGCCAAAAAATTAATGAATTTAGCGCAAAAATGATAAAGATCAAATGATTAAATTTTTAGGTACTCTTGTGTTAACGTTTATATTTTCTATGGCCACTTTTTCCTTTTCTATCATGCTGCATTTATAATTTCTCTTTTGGATTAATTCCCATAACCTCTTAAACCCCTATAAATCCATCGATATCCATCTTAATCCTTTCAAATTACACTTTATGGTCTCTGACGCATTGTCCGAGAGCCAACACAAGAGTACCATTTCTTAACTAAAGATAGTAATTAACCTGATAACAATAGTCGCCAACAAACTCAAAATGATTATTCTTTCCAATATTTGCAGAAAACTTAAAATGTTAAAAATATGAAGACTAAAACTAAAAACATACTCCAACAACAGATGGCACAGTTATACGTTGTATATGTTCGCCATTTCCATTAGCTCCATTTCCATTCTTACCGTTTCCATTTTTGTCACTTTCTGTACCCATAGCAGTTGGTTGCACAACTCCAGGTCGCATGGCTAAACCTCCACCTGGATGGTTTGAACCAATGCCAACAATTAAAGTACTATCACCAAAAATTGGGAGTAAACTGTAAAAATAATGGTAATTTAAATAAGAGTATACTCACTCAGATTGCGGAGAGATAGAAATAGTATAATTGATTCCTCCCATCTTTACATTAGTCTTGTGGACGATGTTTGCCAACGTCTGGAACCGATCTTTGAAGATAACGTTCTTAACAGTCGACATCTTAACACCCTGTGTGACGACTTCGGTCTTTTGCTCTATATACTTCATGGCATCTTTAAAGAAAATATAAAAAATACTAAAATAAATTAAAAACTAACGATGAACTTGATCTGCCCCATCCGGATGAGCAATTAACATATACTCAAAACCTTGTTCATAGTACCCCTGAATTATTAATTTCAGATCTGCACCAGTAACTTGGCGAACAAGAATCTGAGGCTCAGCAAAGTTCATTTGACTTTTTGAAAGGACGGAACGAAATCGCTTCACAAATTCACTGTAAATTTTTAAAAATAACAAAAAAATAAAATATGAAATTTACGTCCACTGTTCCATATTGATAGCATCCTGTTGTGTACCAAAAAGAGCCAAAGCAACCCACTTATGACACGTTGCAGGAAAAAAATATTCATTACAATCACTCCATGAACAACGAGGAAGTTTTGGAACTTGTTTAGCCCTTGATGCAAACTCGAGTTCCGGTGGAGACAAAACACGAGAAGTAACTTCAATTGGATCCTTTTGGCATTTGATTCCCAGACCATTCAAATATTCACTGACATCAAGTCGAAGAGAATTCTTCAAAAGAGCATTTTGTTTCTTTAATTCAGCAGGCGGAATTGCTGTTTTACGAATCATTTCCTAGTTATAGTAATAAAAAAATTGTGGAAGAATAAACAAAAACATACTCCAATCATCTGCCCGTCCTGTTGATCTGAATTAACTCGTTGATTGTCCAGAATAGAACACACTTCCATTGGAAAGTAACGGAAACCATAATTATTTGGCCCAATTGAGTATTTATTAATAAGAAGAGGCCATTCAGGAAATCTAAAAAAAATCAAATATTCGCTACTAGTATATATCAAATGAAGAGCGGGAACGCAATTTTTCATTACCTTATACTTTTCTTTCCCCAATGCGGGATCAAATTCGTAACCAGGGGGAGGGAATTCTTCGTTTACGGGTGTGGATAAAATACAAAGTAATGAAAAATGTAATTCCACTTTTCATTCCATACAGTCAAATATTATTTGTAAAAAAGATAAAACAAACTCAAAATCAATTGCATATTGTTGAGTGTAATATTCAAAAAGAGAAATTCTTGTATTTCCTTCACGTTGAATAAACTCAGTGTGAAGATTAGTTGAAGACAATCCATAAATTTCAAAAATCCGACGTTTTTCAGAATGATTAGTCGCAACAAAAAGCCCTAACATAAGAATAAAATTAGAAAAATAATTAGAGTTCGAGTAGGGGTGGAGGCATGCAACACCCATAAAATCGGGGAAAATGTTAGATCAAATAAGAGCCTCGTTAGAATTACATACATACCCGAAGCAAAAAAAAATCCGGCTAAAAACATATTTTCACGGAAATTTGCAAGTAAAATTCGTAACCCAATATTATTGAATATTTATGTATTTTAAAAAATTCAAGTCAAACAAAATACCTCGGAGAGAGTCTTCCATACGTTCCCTAATCCAGTCCGTGTCCCTCATACGAGAAGCGAATTGAGTCTCATGCAACTTAAGTTTCTCTGAAACCATTTGTACGCAATGAAAAGGCGTCTTAAGAAAATAAAAAACTGTAAAAATAAAGCCAATTAAATAAACCTTCTTTACTGATGCAACAATTGCTTCACTCATTTGATTTTCACTAGAAGCATTTTCAACAGTGCGAATGCCCTTACGCATTCCAATCCCAAGAAACGAACCATTACTGGAAAAAACAGGACAATCCAGATCAGTAAACCCAAAAGAGCTGGGATTGAGCAAATAAAAATCAGAAGCTGAGAAGTGAATGTAAAGTGAACTGAAAAAAATAAATAAAATGAATGAAGAATAAGCTAAAGAGTCTTAAAGTTAATCTGTACATTTTTTAGGTTTTAAATTTTTCAAGATACAACCACAGAGGCGTAACAGGAATAGAATTAAGAGGTGCTATAACGGAAAGTGTGTCGAATCTGTGGAAAAATTGGGTGATTTTTGAGATTAAATTCTTTATAAGCAATTCTTATTATGTTTTTTGTTGGAAAACATATTTGTTATAAAAATCATAATTATATAATCGAAACTTACGGATCATCAAAGACGTCCTGAGATGTTGCAATATCCAAAAACTGCTGAGTTGTACGATCAATCTTCTCTGCATCGTTGGTGACATAAGAAAAATCAGACAGATTGAGCAATTTCTTAGTATCATGAACCGGAAGAATTTTAAGTTTGAATGAGTCAAAGCCATTATCAAAGAAATGAGGAGAATGTTGTTTAATCTGCTCCAACGTGTACAACTCCTCAATTCCAAGCTGAGAAAATTATATTAAATAAAATAAGAAAAATTTTATTTAATATAAAGAGCATAAGTAATAAAGAGATATATAACAAGGGTGTAGCCAGGAGGTTTGGACTCGATCGGGATTAAAACAAGAGCGAATTGGATTCCAGCACAAAGTTTCAGCGACCAATTTCCCAGACAAATCCCCCTTCGACGAAATCCTATTTTAAATTGAAAATAAAACTTACAACTGGAACTTTCAAATCAAAGGTTGAAATGAGAAAACTTCCACAATCATAATAAAGACGTTCCTTTGACAAAAACGAAGCATGCTTAATCTTAAAAGCTCTCAAAACAGAATAGCAATGAAGACGACGCAAAGCATTACGATAGCTGAAAAAGAAAACTTAACATTCAAAAATATAAAAAAAGAAAATTAAAAATCGGCCTGGATTTGGAAACCCTCGACTTTTTTTTTGGATGCAGAGTTAAGATCAAGAATCTGGTCAGGGTGACCAAACAAACTCAAGGTTTTTAAAATTTCCGACCTCTAAAGAAAATAAGATTAAACGAGGAAAAGAAGTATATTCATAGATAATCTTGCTTTTAGAGAATTGGAGGAGTTTGGAAAAACTAGTGATTTAATTATATTAAAAAAATACTCTGATGAAGATCGAGTAGTTAAATTCGATTCACGTTGTCTAACTCCAGAAACATTCACCTCATAACGATATAAGTCCTTCCTTTTTGACATTTCAAGGAGATAGACCTAAAAAAATTTTTGAATTTAAACAAAATATTAAGAAAAAATACATTAGTGACGACTTTTTGACCACGTCCAACATCGATAGTACCAGGTTGTTTCTTTTCAGCAAGTAAAGTAGATCCAACTTGAAGCTAAAAGTGAAAAAATTAAATAATTTAAGCAGATCTTTTATTAATTTGATATTTAGAGAAGATAACAAAGGCGTATCCAGAGTGTGGCTTTCGGGGGGTCTTATTGATAGTCTAAGGTTGATGAAACATGATACATTTGAGGAATAGTCATAGCCTCATAATTTCGAATTCTTATCGCAAATTCGACCTGGTCGAATTCGGGTTCGAAATAAACGAATTCTAGGTTAGGATTTGGACTCATCAGCAGTGCCGAGTCAGCACACTTGATTACCTACAGGTTGACCTAAAAAATATCGTAAGAGCACTCTTTCCTAATATTTTAGGAACCAGTAAAAGGATTATTGGGCGAATATTCCCTTGAAGGCTACGATACGTAAGATAACAACAAAGGCAATAACCTGTAACCATGACCAGACAATATATTAAGTCCGACGCCAGAAAAGTACTGGTCCCGTTTACCGGTCAAAGTTTCGAACTCATTGTCAGCATAATCGATAATCCACAAACAAACCTCAAAAATATCGAAAAATCGTTTTTTCTAGGGACCGGTAAACTAGAAGATAACAGAAAGATTTTGGCTAGGCCAGAAAATAACTTCTAGCAATTCGAGTGGAATAATTCAAACTAACCTGAGCCAACTCAAGTTCTCTTTCAGCATCCTGTATTATACTCGTCGCCTTCCTTGGTTGAAAAGTAGACATTTTAAAGAAGAATTGTTTTAAAGATGTTCTAAAGCTAATAATTAAAAAAGTAAACAAAACATTCACAAAAACGGCAAATGTGTCGAATTGTGGTCCCGTTGAAAAATTAAAAAATATTGCGAAAACATTTTATAAGGTAACTTTTGGCGCCGCTTACGAATCTGAACCCATATTTTATCTAACACTTGATTTTATCTATAATTTTTTTATTAGGTACTTGATTATCAAGCAAAAGCATTTATCAAGTACAAGAATGGTGTCGTTCAAGAGAGCTCTGAAAGCTGAGACGAACTAGGGGCGAACGAAGTCGGTCCGGTACCCAAGGACCGAGATATGGTCACTTGAAAATCCAAAAACTATAGGGAGGAACTTGTTCTTTTTGGGGTCAAAAATTCGAATAACCAAATTATATTCGAGCTTATCTTCGAGCTTTGTCGAGTGGCACCGAAATTAACGCAATCTGACTCGCTAGGACTGAGTTATAGGCCAAAAAATTTGAAAACCAATAGATGGATTATGCTCATTTTACTTCGTTCGCCCCTAGTTTGTTTCAGCTTTCAGAGCTCTTTTGAACGACACCATTCTTGTACTTGATAAATGCCTGTACATGATAATCAAGTACTTGATAAAAAATCGTATATAAAATCGAAATCTGAGTTCAGATTTCTAATCGGCGCTAAAAATTACCCTAGTTAATGTTTTCGTAATATTTTTAAATTAATTTTTCAACGGGACCACAATTCGAAACATCTGCTACAAAAATAACACGAAGTTTTACTATTAGAATAAATTTATTTAAAAGTCTTTAAAAAAATAACGCGAAGAAAAATAGTGTGTTATTTTTAAGAGAGACCACGCTTCTTTTATTTGCGGTCGTTTCAGTGCCAATAATTAAAGCCGTTTGAGTGCTGATTTCATCGTAGAGTTTGAGTGTTAATGTGGAGAACTCTCTCTTATTAGTAGCTCACCCGATTTTTTTCAAATCTGTATTTTTGTAGGCCTAAAGTTAAAAAATCCTAAAAATTTTGAGAAGCTTTTGTGAAGTTTTTTTGCTCTTTTGGCGAAGTTACGAATTTTTTAAAATTAGTGATTTAGCCAGACTTCTAATGCCTTTATTATTCGCACCAAACTGTTAGTTGATTACTTAAGGAAAATTATGGTAGAGTGAGGAAAGGAGAAGAATGCAGCAAAAATGCATTCTGCAGAAAGTCATTTGCGGGCATTTTGAGGACGAGCTGGACATTTAACCTCCATAAGTGAATCTAGTAGTAATTAATACATATTTTATTAAAAATATAAACATTTAAATCATTTCAAAATATCAATTAAAAATGTTTTAAATTTAAAAAAAATATTAAAAAATATCTTTTATTTATCACTCACTCTTCATACCATTTTAATTGAAGAACTCTTTGTAAAAAACTTATAATATCAACCAATTCCTCAATCTTTTTTTTTAAAATATTATTTAAATATAATTTAAATAAATCTTTACAATTTTATCTCTTGGTTTTCCAGCTCCATGTCCTGTATTTGTCTCTATATTTACCAAAATAGGGTTACGCTGAATTAATTTTATTTCTGATCTTTTTAAATAGTGATATAATTGTGCTGCATATTTTAATGTATGGCTGGGGACTACTCTGTCATCGTGGTCTCCTGTTCTAAATATAGTTTTGAGATTTTTAAAATGAATGGAGTATTCGGTGATTCATTATTATAATTTTTGATATTTTTTACTCAAAAAAATTAATATTTAACAAATAAAATTTACATTAAAAGAGTTGCAGGCCATTGAACCCCTCGAGGTAATCGAATATTGTGTAGAGGTGAATATCTATACACAAAATTAATTCTTTTACTATTTTTAAGAATTATTCTAATAAACCTAAAAATATATTCAAATTCACTTGACTTCTCAGGATCGCCATATTCACTAATCCAAAAACTGCCTACAGTAAATTTATGGAAACGGAGCATATCCATTACTCTTTAAATTTTTATTTTATTGGCAATTCCGAATGTCAATTTTATATTGTTTTAATTTCTTTTACATACCCAACTTGATTAATAACAGCTCCAAAAAGTTCAGGTCTTTGATGTGAACAAGCAGCAACTAAAAGTCCCCCATTCGACCCTCCTTGTATTGCCAACTTTTTTGGACTAGTAAATTTATTTTTAATTAAAAATTCTGCAGCAGATATAAAATCATCAAAAACATTTTGTTTATGTTCTCTAGCCCCACATTCATGCCAATGTTCTCCATATTCACCACCTCCACGAATATTTGCTATTGCAACAATTCCATGAAAATGCTTTAAAAATAAATTTAAAATCTTGTTTATTTTACTTTAACAAAAATATTTCTGTGGGAAGAATAACTTGGCAAAACTGGAATACTGCAAAATTTATATTAAAAAATTAAAAAAATTTCTTTTTTAAATTTATACTTAAAGCCTCCATAGCCATAAAGTAATGTTGGATTTTGTCCGTTTCTTTTAACATCTTTCCTTGCAATTATAAATATTGGAATCTAAAATAAAAATTAATTTTAAAAATATTTTTTAAAAAATAGGAACTTTAGTGCCATCTTTGCTTCGATAAAATTCTTGTTTAACTTCAAGTCCAGTAACATTAACCCCTCGCCATTCATTCCTATGACGAATCTACATTAAATAAATATTCAAATATTAAATTTAAATATTTATTTACTTGTTCTAATTGTAAAAGAGATGTTTTAGCTACTAAAGAAAAATCAGCTCGATAAATTGTTGGTGCTTCAAGAAATGAATTAAAACTAAAAAAAGCTTCAGTATCCTCTCTATCTCCATAACATTGACTAACAGTTCCAATACCAAGAGGAATTCTTTTTTTTAATAAATAAATTTTAATTTTAAATTAAAATATGTATGGTACTTATAAAGAAGTTTTCCTGTTTTGTAGCAATGAACATACAAAAATGTCTTTGAAGAAATAATTATTTTTTTAAAAATATTTTCAAATTTACTTTAACATCTTCAATATAAATAACCATTAATTTATCCCCAGCAACGGGAACAACAGATTCTAATGCTCTTTTTGGGTCTTCAGGGATTAAAGTCTCCCAATGGGCACATCCAAGCATTGCCGTAGTTATTTTAATTCGAATAAGTTTTCTGTTTGGAGCAGAATGATCAGTTAAAACTTTAAATTAAATTTTAAAATTTTTTTATGTTAGAGTTTATTTGTTGATTTTTGAAATAGATTAGAATTAACTTAAAATAACCACCTATAGCAGATTCTGTTTCATGATCATAATCAAGAATCTTAAAAAAATATATAAATTAAATTTAAAAAATTAAAATTAACCACAAAGAAGGCTCGAGTGTCGTGAATTAAGAGGGTAAGTGGAGGTCGGCGATGAATTTTAAAATTAATTGAATTTAAATCCAAATAATAAATTGTATTTGCATTGTCTTTTAAATAAATTAAAAATAATTATTAATATTTTATCAAAAGTTTGTGAAAAATAAGGAAAATTTTAGAATTTTGATTATTTTGGGATTTAATAAAAATTAAATTATAATTATTTAAAACTTACCTCTATCATAAACATAAACGAAAAGAAAGCGTCCATCACGTGAGACTGAACCAACACTAAAAATAATTAAAGAAACTTTCAAATTAGATTTTTCATTATTTTTTAAAAATAACTATTAATAAAAAACACAATAAAATTATCAAACATATTTAAATTAGGATCATCAAGTTCTCTAAAATCAGCAATAAGAATATCCTGTTTAGAGCCTAAAGGGTGATAAAAAAGTGTGTGATATTCATCTTTTTTAGTAATTGTTGATTCATTTGTTGAATGTTTTTTTGTTTGGATATATTTCTTTTAAAAAATAAATATTTTAAATTAATTTTTTAAATTAATTACAGAATAAAATATTCCTTTATTGTTCGGCATCCAAGATAAAGAGCCTTGTTTAACTTTTGGAATTTTATCTGGCAAATCTTGTCCATTAACATCTTTAAACTTTAATAAAAATTATTTTTTTTATTTTAATTTATTTTACATTAATTGTTGTTAAATCACTTCCTTTTTCAGAAATTGTATAAGCCATAACTAACCCATCTCTACTAAAAGCAGTTTGTGAAATAGCTAAAGTTCCGTCAGAAGAAAGTTTATTTGGATCGAGAAATAATTGTTTTGTATCGTTTAGAGTTTTTTGGCGATAAATTGAACTATTCAAATTTGAAAAAAATAATTTTTTAAATAATTAAGAAATTATTCTAATTAAAAAATAAAATAATTAAAAAAACGGAGAAATAGCTACTACTCTATTTTATGTTATATTTAACCACTTGCAAAATGTTAAACTCAAAGCTATGATCAAATTATTTAATATTTGAAAAATTAGTATTTTTTAGAATTTCGGTAAAATTAACACACATATTTTTTAAGAAATCCTAATTGGATTTCTTCACGATCATAAGGAAAGTAATTATTATTTTTTTTTTAAATTTTTAAATTTATTTTTTACCTTTGTTTTTGATTTCCTTCACTGTAAGCATAATAATAATAATCTCCATGCTTAGAAATACATCCATAACTTTTTTGGTCAAACAACTGCATCATCCTGTCATATTGAGTAAACCTATTTAAGAGATCGTGTTGACAATCTTTGATTTTAGGTTGTAACTTATTTTTTTAAGATTTTCAAGAATTTAAAAGTATCTACTTTCATAAATTACCGTATTTTCTCTAAAATAGCCCCATGGGGTTATTTTTTTCGATCGTCCTCTAGAGGGGGGCTATTTTAGAGGGTGGGGCTATTTTGGAGGGAGGGGCTATTTTTTCGATCTCTTAATTTTTTGAAAACCAAAATTTTTTTACCAAATTCTGAATAATATTTTTCTAAAATTTAGTAGAATTCATCACAAACTAAAAGTCTCTTAACGAAAATCCTAGCCTAAAAACTTCCATCAAGTACTCCTCAATCCATAAATTTATCCAAGACTTCGTTAAAGGTTCGGGATATATAATAAGAATTTATTTATATTATTATCACACTTGTATATACCTCAGTTAAGTCCCTAAAGTTTAATAATATTAAAAGGGATTGGATTAAGATGCCTGCCTTGGCATTCTGAAGTATTAAAGTCAATGTGACATGACTTTAATCCTTCATCGAGAGATTAAGTGGATGGAATTGGTGAAGATAGACATAGATGGATATTAGTGGATTTTAATGGATTAAGGGAAATGTTGGATTAAGTTGAATATTTAGAGATTTAGGGAGTAAAAGGGATTATTAGTGGGAGCAAGAAAGGGAATAGGACTGATTGTGAATCAAGAGAGAGTAGCTTAATTCATCGATTTCCTCTCAAAATCCAATATGAGGGGATTAAGGTGGAGATCGGTGGATTTGAGATATCAGGGATTTAGGAGGATATTAGATATTTAATTTAATAAAAGTGGGAAAAATACTCTTTTATGTCATCTCTTTTAATTCACAAATTCTTTTTTAACATAATATGCATCTCTCTAAATCCTCGAATACGTATTAATCCTCCGCTATCCTCTTAATCCATCAGAATCCCCTTATATCACTCCAAATCCCTGATATCCTCCATAATCATTTCTAATTTTATTAAAATATAGCGATTCAACAGTGCTTTGCTCTAAAAAACAACAATTAAATATTTTGGGGGGGGGGGGGGGCTATTTTAGAGGGTGGGGCTATTTTAGAGGGAGGGGCTATTTTTTTCGATCAACCTCTAGAGGGGGGCTATTTTAGAGGGTGGGGCTATTTTGGAGGGTGGGGCTATTTTAGAGAAAATACGGTAATCTCATTAGATATCTTAAAAAATGTACATTAAATTTATGGGGCAAGTTCGTTAATTTTTTTAAACACGATCTCTTTCTTTTAATTATTTAGTTAATTAAATAGTTTTTATTTTTACTTTAAATTAATTTTTAAAAATAATTATTTTTACTTTTTTCTAAATTTTTCTCGAAAAAAAGATTTTTCAAGAAAAGGACGTGATTGGTTATTTAAAGCATAAATAAATTGTTTTGTTTCTTCCAAATTTGGATTTTCCATCCAACGATAAGGATCAGAAACCTTTAAAAAATATTTTTTTTATTTAAATATTTTTATTAAATTTAAAACCAAACTTTAACTCCACAAATATTTTCTATTACAGATTCATTACGTTTAGGTTGTGGATATTCATCTGGATGGATATCTACATTAAATGATTCACTAAAATTATTTTTTAAATTTATTTTTAAAAATTAATTTTAACCAATAAGCCTTCGAAAAATCAAAAATTCTTTTTAAATTTAAATTTTTAGTAAATCCATCTTTTTGTTCTTTCAATTTTTCTTTTTGTAGACTATCAATTGTTGAAGGCAAAGTATATTCTCCAAAATTTTTAAAGGAATTTTTATTTCGCCAATAATTCTTAAAATTTCCAAATTAACCAAAAAAGAATTATTTTACCTGAGAAATTTTTAAAGTTTTGTATTCCTCACTTGCTTCAACATTAATAATATTTTTAAAAATAAATAAAATAATTAAATAAATCATTTTAATTAATTAAAAAATTATTTAAATTAAAATGAGAAAAAAAGAATACCCTTTCCTTTCAATTATTTTAACGTTAATTTTTTTATTTTTTAATGTCTTCATTTTTTAATAGGATCATTTACATTCCGTGACCAACACTTTAAATACTTTATAAAAATAAATAAATTCAAGATCTCTTAATTTTTTTAAAAGATTATATCTTCCGATAAAGAGAATTAAAGCCAAATTAATATTTTAATTTAAAAAAGGAAAATTAAAAAATATATTTAAAAATAAAATTTAAAAATGTTTTATTTTTGAAAAAATTGCAACAAATAAAATATATTTAAAAATAAAAGTTAAAAATCTTTTAAATGTTTTGGTATTTTTTCAATGAATTTCACAAATTTTTATTATTTTGCACCCAATTGGCACAGATCGTTGTCCTAGAGAATATTCAAGAATTGAGATATAACGAATTGCTGCTCGAAGAACTTCTAATTTGCTTACCCGACGCTCTAATGGATAGCATGGTACTAATTGACGAAGCTAAATTATCAACATAAGATTGTATAAATTTAAGTTAAGAATAAATAAATAATTATTATTAAATATTATTTATTTTATATAATTTTTCAATCATTATACATATTTAAAAAAATAAAAATTAAATTAAAATACAAATTACTATGGAAAACCTCGAATTGTCAGATTTATTTAAAAAATTTATTATTCCCCACCTTTTGGAAAGTTTGTTTTAAAGCAATAGAATCACTATTTCTATTTAATTTTGAATTACGTTGTTTTTGATTATTTACTTGGGGTTTCATTTTAATTTTTAAAACAATAATAATTAAAAAAAACCTAAGCATACAACCTAATGCTGGAAAGTGATTTTAGTTAAAGATAAAAGTAAAAGGATTAATCGAATTAGAAGAAATAAATCTCTAGAGAATATGGCTTTAAAAGATAACAAAAGTAAAAATTTAAATTAAAACTAAAAAGGTGTACGGGTATAAGAAAAAACAGCGCTTGATGGAGGGCAATCAAAATTTACAAAAAAATGATTTAAATTACAAAGTATATGTATATGAATTTTATTGAAATTGTTTGAATTTTCATAGTACTATTCAGACTAGGACATGGACAAGGATTTTGCTGTCCTTATCCGGGTATATCAGCTGATGCTTATTATCTTATATTATCTTATCCATCACCATGCCTGGCACTATTGTTAATTGTTTTAATATATTTATTTACTTTTGCTTGATAAGAAGAATACCGTATTTCCTATATTAGAGCCCCACCCTCTGTTAGAGCCCCACCCTCTAATACAGCCCCACTTTGGAGGATAGTTAAAAAATAGAGCCCCACCCTCAATTAGAGCCCCACCCCAAATAAAGCCCCACCTAAAAAATATTGGAGGAAAAATTATCCCAATAACTTTTTAGATGTATTAAGAGAGTTAAGGAAATAAAGGGATGGATCTCGATGATATCGCGATCAAGAAGGAGGAGGGATAATAGGAATATAGAAATGAAAGGAATCGTGTTAGGCACTTGGCGATAATTCGAGAGATTATTAAAGATCTATTAGAGATCTCGCTTATAATCAGTGATGAAGTTCCAAAATTTCTCCAAAACCGGTTCCAGTTCTGGAACTTGTTCAAAAGCTTCATCAAACAAAATCCCTTCATTTGCCTCCTAATACCCCTAGTCCAGAATATCCCTCTTAATCCCGCTAAATCTCTCAATATAAGCTTAATCCTCTGTATTCCCCATAATCCCTTAAAAGCCACTCTTATACCTCTGATCCATCGATGTCAAACACTAGTCCCCTAATATTTCCTTTAATCCGTCCAAATCTATTAATATTTAATATTAATCTTACTCTTATTGAATTATTGTGACTATTTTGTTATTCATTGCTTAAAAAGTTTTAATTTTTCATGAAAAATCAAAAAAAATATCGATTCGCTTTTGATATTTTCGGTTTTATCGACCATCCCCTCCGGCCTATCTCTTGTTGCAATGGACAGTTAATAAATGGGATTTTAACTCAAAGAGGGTTGAAAAATAGAGCCCCACCCTCAATTAGAGCCCCACCCTTTAATACAGCCCCACCCTGGAGGATAGTTGAAAAATAGAGCCCCATGGGGCTCTAATATAGGAAATACGGTATTTTATTTTAAATATTTCTATTTTTAATAAGTTTATTTAAAAATTAATTATTTATTCCTTCTTAAAAAATATTACAGCAAAAATATTTTTCCATATTTTTCCCTTTTTAATAAAGAAAAATTAGTTCCCTAATAAATTAAGCTGCTGTTTTTATATGATCGATTGAAATCAATGTGTTAAGATTGCTGGCTTATAATGTCATTTGGTTTTACTTTATTTAAAATATTTTTTCTTTTATTTATTAATAATAATCAAGTAAATTGATCTTTAAAATAATAATAATAATAATTAATATTTTTTTATAATAAATAATTTTAATTAAATAATGAAAGGAAATATTCTGATTTATTTTATAATTATTTAATAATTATTTTTTAGAAATTAATTTTTGATGTTTATTACCTTTTTATTTTCTAATAATAATTCTTTTAAAATCTTTAATTATCTATATTTTTTTGTTTTTATTTTTGTAAATTCTGATGATTCTTTAACATCCGAAAAATGTCAATCAAAACAAAATTTAATTGAAAATTCTCCAATTAATGGTTTGAAATAATTAAATTTTTAAAATTAAAAAAATAAAGGAAATGATAAACCCGCAACTAATTTTGGTGCAGAAACAGCAGATGATTTCCCTCCTTCCTCCCCAATTAATATTCAAGTAAATTAAAATGTTAATTAAAATAAAATTATTTAAAAAATAGGCAGGAACATTATGGCCGCTTCCCCAAAAATTTCATTATGGAGAATATAACAGAACTGTAGGGAGACAGGGATTAATTCCTTTAATATTTATTAATTCAACATTTGGAGGCGAAAACAGGGAATGTGATATTCTTGAAAAGGCGAAGAGTATTTATTGTAAATTAATTTTAAAAATATTTTTAAATTAAAAAAATTAATTTAAAAGTAAATAAATTGCTTGTCTTCCCTGGATTGGAAGATGTACGTGCAGGAAAGGGAACACCTTTACAAGTTGTTATTAAAGTAAAGAAACGCTGTCCTGGACGTCAGCAATTTCCTCCAAGTGATATGAATGAAGAATGTGAAAATTCTTTTGAAATTTAAATTTTGTTTAAATTATTAGATAAATTGATGGTTCCATTAAATGGAGAAATATTACTTGAAGCAAATGAGATATGGGGAGTACTTAGAGGAATCGAAACTTTTAGTCAATTATTTTTTGTAAAACTTGGACAAGTAATTTGTGAAGAATAAATACATAAATAATTAAAAATAAACAATTTAAATATAGTTATATATCCGAACAATTACTGTCCATGATTGGCCAGAATATTCTGTTAGAGGAATTTTGCTGGATACTTCCCGACATTATTTAAATAAAAATATTATTTTGAGGCAAATTGATTTGGCTTCTCAAAATAAAATGAATGTTTTACATTGGCACATTGTCGATATGGAGTTGAGGGATTTTTTTTGAAATTAAATTTTAATTAATTATTTTTAAAGATCATTTCCTTTTGTGTCTACTAAATTCCCAAATATTTCAAAAGAAGTTTTTAATCAATTAAAATATTAAAAATATTTTTTATTAAAAAGGGGGCTTTTACTTCAAAACATATTTATTCACCTAGTGTTGTTGATGAAATTCTTCAACATGCACGTTTACGTGGTGTTCGAGTAATCCCTGAATTTGATACTCCAGGTTAGATAATTAATTGGAAACATGTTATTTTAGGAGAGTTTTCCATTTTTTCACTCCTCCAATTTCCTTGAGAGAATTCCTCGGAAATTAGACAAATAATTATCGAAAGAATAATTAAAAATATTATTTTAAATTTAAATAAATTTCTAAATCTTTTTTTGGGACATATGGCTTCTTGGCGAGGTGCTGGAATTTTAGCTGATTGTTATGATAAAAAGAATAGATTAGTTACATCAAGTATGCTTGACCCAAGTAAAGAATCGACATATGTATTTTTAAAAGAATTTTTAAAAGGTCAGCAGTTTTCATTAAAATTAAAAAATTATTTGTATTAGAAATTGATGAAACTTTTCGTGATAAATATATTCATTTGGGTGGAGATGAGACTGCTTATTGGACAATTCAATGTTGGTATGTTATAGTAAATTGTTTTTTTTTCTTGATTTTAATTTTTTTATGTGAACTAATGAGAACGGAGAATTTTCTTTTTAAATAGATAATTTTAATAAATTCTACAAAAAACTTCCTTAAAAAATTTATTTTTCAACTTATAAGTTAATATATTTAATAAATTAAAATTATTAATTATTAAGTCTATTTTAATAAAATTAATTATTTTTTAAGGGCACGTAATCCAATAATTAGAGAATTTATGGCCGAAAAGGGATTTAAAAACATGACTCAATTAGAGAATTATTACTTTAGCCGTCTTCAAGCAATTGTTAAAGAAGTTTTTGGTACACAAATAGGTGGTCGAAAAATGATTTTTTGGCAAGAAGTTTTTGATAATAATAAACCTGTTAGTTTATTTTATAATTTTTAAAGTACCGATATTTAATTAAAAGGATGTTAGTGCTATTGTTCACAATTGGTATTCACAAAATGATCAGGCACGTGCTCGAGATATTAAAAGAGCTGTTCAACAAGGCTTTCAAGTAATTGTTTCTTCTTGTTGGTAAGTTGTTTTTTTAGTTAAATTAATTTATTTTTAACTGCTAAATTGTAGTTATTTAATTACCAATTAAATATTAATCCAAATTTAGGTATTTAAATTTAATAAATTATGGCGCTGATTGGCGTGCCCTTTCACCTAAAGGATTGGGAAGATATTATTATTGTGATCCTCGAAATTTTCCCGGTACTTATGAACAAAAACAGCTAGTTATTGGAGGGATAGCTACAATGTGGGGTGAATATATTGATGGAACTAATTTGGAGTCAACATTGTGGCCTAGAGCTTCGGCTGTTGCTGAAAGGTGTTTTTAATTTGAATGTAATTTAATCTCGATATCACGTCTCTTTCTTTATTACTGAGTTTTTTCTTTAAACATCAAAATTATTTTTAGGCTTTGGAGTCCACCAGAAAAAACAAAAAGTGCCGATGATGCATGGCCTCGTTTACAGGAACATCGTTGCAGAATGATCTCACGAGGTTATAGAGCTGAGCCAGTAAATGGGCCTGACTATTGCGGCGCGGAATTTTCAGAAAGTCCAGAAATGTTTTGAAAAATTAAAAATAAATCTTTAAATTGTTATTTTATATTTAGTTAACTATTATAATAATTAATATTTTTTAAAATAAATCTTTTTAATTATTTCTTGCTAAAACAATTAAAAAAAATTTTTCCTTCCATGTGATTAAATAAACTTGGCAATTAATTAAAAAATAAAGCTATCAAAACAAAAAAAAAGTTTTAAAAGTAAAACACATTAAAAAAGAAATTGATTTTAAGAGAAAATAAAATTCTTTCAACTATAAAATCAAAAAAAGCTTCCATTAAAAAATTGAGAAAAGAATTTTTGTGCACTTTTATTGATAAATAAAAATATAATATTTTTTTAAAAATAATTTTAAAATCTATTTAATACATATCTTCTTTAAATTTAAGCTAATTTCCTTTCTCTCTTCCCTTTCTAACCAAATTTTAACGCCTAATTCTCCCTTCTTTTCCCTTCCCTTTCCTTTTCAAAATCCCCTACTTATCCACCTCTTTAACTCCTAAAATTGAGTCAGTTTCACTATTTTGTTTAAAAAACCGTCACATCTCCTCTCTACATACTTGGCCGTTTTGGAGAAGGACATTCCTGAGGGAATAAGTTGCTTGCTTTAAACATTTATCCACTTCTCTTTTTCAAACATTCACTCGTTTGCGTGTGCCAAAAAACCGTCCCCGAAAAAATGTTTGTTTTTGTGTCCCCTCGTTTATCATTTATTTATATGGCTATTATTTTTAAAAAATAAAGAGAAAATGATGTGTGTACTTAAAAAAGTGGGGAGTGGAGGAGGGTTTTTAAAAAATATATCCTCTTCATCCAACTTTTAGAAATAAAAGTTGCTGCTCATCTGTTTCCGTTTGTTAAAAATATTTTAAGAAAAAAACATTAATTTAGATTAAAAAAATTTTATTTTGATTTTAATTTTATTTAAATTAATATTCTTTAATATTCAGACAAATAAATTAATATACCTATCTTTAATATCCTTTTTTAATGTTTTATTGTGCGATAATTATGGCTCGAAATTTTCTGATAATATTTTTTAGGGTTGTTGGCGACCGGTTCTAAAACCGGAATTTTTGAAATTTTTTGCGAGAAATTAACCGCTTTTAGAAAACTTTAAAAACCGAATCCGGAAATTTGTGAAAATGAGTGATTTTATTTAAAATTCCCCCAAAATAAAACCGGTATTTACCTAAAATTCAAAACCGAAAACCGGGTTTCTAAAATTTAGATTAACCGAAAACCGTGGGTACCGGTTAATAATCGGACGCCAACAACCCTATTTAAAATTTATATTTTAATTCTTATTTGGAAATAAAAAAAATTTTTCAAAGATAATAAAAAAAATAAAAAAAACTTTTTTAAAATGAAAATGTCCTCCTCATTATTAATTCTTTTTAAGAGTTTTTGAGAAAAAAAATCTGTTATTTATTTTCTATTGTTTTTTCTTTCAACATTAAATATTTCCCAACTGATATTTTTTAGTTACTAATTTTCACACATAAATGAAAACCTTGAAAATAAAAAAAAGTAAGAGATTTTTCCTTAATTTTTAATAAAAGAAAGCAACAAATAAATTAAAATATAAATTTATTAAATCATTCTTATTACTCATTTATTAGTCATTAAATTATTTTTATTAGGGTTAAACACAACCGGTTATTAACCGGTACCCTCGGTTTTCGTTTAATTCAAATTTCATAAACACAGTTTTCGATTTTGAGTTTTGGTCAAACACTGGTTTTATTTTGGGGGGATATTTAAAGAAATCGCTCATTTTCATAAATTTCCGGTTTTTAAAATTTATAAAAACGGTTAATTTTTAGCAAAAAATTCTCAAAAATTCCGGTTTTATAACCGGTCGTGTCCAACCCTTAATTTTTATTTATAAGAGGCTAGTAGTAGATCAAAAATTGTTTGTCAACTAAAATAAATTTATTAGAAAATTTATTTTAATCTAAAGACAATTTTAATCTTGTTAATATTCTAATTACACAAATTTATTTTTAATCATTTTTGAATTCCCTTTATTTTCAGTTTTTAATTATTAAAAATGAAAATAATTATTCTTATTTTTCTATTTATTTGTCAATATTTTATTCCAAATTTATCAAATAAAATAATAACTCCACTTAAAGAATTACATATTGGAGCATTTTTTCCAATGGAATCTGGGTCTGGTGGGTGGCCTGGAGGACAGTTATGCTTTTAAATAAATAAATAATTGGGGGATATTAAAAAATAAATTTAATTAAAATAATTTTGTTGTTGGAGTTTACTTTATTTTTAAGTTTTAGGCGTGTCTTCCAGCCGTACAAATGGCATTAGAAGATGTGAATCTAGATTTGGGTTTATTACCTAATTATGCACTTAGATTACATCACAATAATAGTAAAGTATGGATAAGAAAATAAATTTAGAAAAAATTTTTCTAATTAATAAAAGATTAAATTTATTAAAATTTAAATGAATAATACCAAAATTGATGAATATATATTCTCATTTAATTTTTTTAATTTAAAAAAGTGTTCTCCTGGTTTAGCTGCTCGACAATTATTTGAATTACTTTACAATGACCCAACAAAACTAATTTTATTAGCAGGATGTTCCCCAGTAACCACAATGATTGCAGAATCTGCACATGTTTGGAATTTACTTGTTGTAAATTAAATTAATTTAATTTAATAAATTAATTAAATAAAAAAGTTATCCTACGGGGCATCTTCCCCAGCTTTATCCAATCGGGAACGTTTCCCAACACTTTTTAGAACACATCCTTCAGCAAATATGCAAAATCCAACTAGGTACATATTTTTAATTTAAATTTAAATATTTATTTTATTTTTCTAAAAAAAGAGTTCATTTATTTGAACGTTTTAAATGGAAAAGAATAACTATTTTACAATCAGCTGAAGAAGTTTTTGATTCAACAGCTAAAGATTTGGAGGAACAATGTAGAGAAAAAGGGATTAGAGTTGAAAGGCACAGTTTTTATGGAGGTTTTAATTAAGGGAATAATTGAAAAAATAATTTTTCCTTTTGAAAGATCCAAAAGATGCTTTAAAAGCAATTAGAAGACAGGATGCTAGAATTATTGTTGGACTTTTTTATGCTACCGAAGTTTTGATTTTTTATTTAAAATAAATTTTAAAATAATTAATTTTTAAGGCACGTCGAGTTCTCTGTCAAGTATTCTTATTTTCTTTAAAATTAAAAAACAATTTAAGGCTTATCATTATGGACTATATGGACATAAATTTGGTAATTTAAAAATAATTATATTTAATAAATTTTTTTAAAAGTTTGGTTTATGATTGGTTGGTATGCAGATACCTGGTTTATTCCCCATCCAGATGAAGGATTAAATTGTACGAGAAAAAATATGGAACAGGCTGTTCAATATCATTTTACAACAGAATCTATTATGTTAAGTAGAGATACTTTACCTACAATTTCTGGTGTTTAAATTAAATATTTTAGAAAATAAATATTCTAACAATAAGTAATTCCAATCATATAATTATACTTTAATTATTCATCTATTATCAATTTAATTAAAAATATTTTTTAATTAATAAAGGAATGACTGGGGCACAATTTTTAAAACGTTTACGTCGTCGAATAATTACGGACCCGCAAGAAACAGGTGGGTGGCCTGAAGCACCTTTAGCATATGATGCTGTTTGGTAAAATAATTTAGAAAAAAAAAATTGAAAAAAATTTTTTTAAAGGGCATTAGCTTTAATGTTAAATTGCACAATGGATAAATTAATTAATGGGAAAGGACTTCAACAATTTAATTATAAAAATAAATTAATTGCTAAAAGAATGTTTGAATGTATGAAAAATATACAATTTAGGGGTGTTTCTGTAATTAAATTTATTTTTATTTTCTTTAAAAAATTTTTTTAATTTTAAAGGGGCAAGTAATGTTTAGCGATTTGGGTGATAGAATTGCTCGAACACAGATTGAACAAATGCAAAGTATATTTTAAATTAGTAAATTAATTAAAAGAGGGATTGGTAGGGATTAGAGGTGGGTCGGAATTCCGACTTGCGATTTCCGGCGTTTTTTCCTTCCGATTTCCTATTTCCAAAAAATTTTTATTTCCAATTTCCGAGTTCCGACTTTTGAGCCAGTTCCGATTTCCAGCTCTTTCAATTTCCGACACCTCTGACTGTTCCGACCCACTTCTGGTAGGGATCAGAAGTAAGATGGGAAGAGACAAATTGGTAATCTTTTCAAAAAAATTTAGATTCAAAATATTTTAATTTATTTTATTTGTCAATCCTCACTCTCATTTTTTAACATTTTAAAAAAGACAATATTTTAAAAATACATATTTTATTAATTTAAAATTTAAAAAAGATGGAAAATACATTCTTCTTGGTTATTATGATTCCAGTACACAAACTTTAGAATGGAAAAATAAAGAAAAGTTTATTGGAAGTAAAGGGCCTCCCTCTGATTCAACAAGGATTAAACAATGGCCTATTGGTGTTGATTATAGAGTAAATATATTTAGATAATTTAATTATTTATTTAAAAGTTATATTTGGTTTGTGTTAATATAATGGTTGTTGCTATTGTTTTTTGTATTTCTATTTTTATTTTTAATCAACGATATTCTCATAGACGGTAAATATTTTTCAAATAATTTTCTAATTTATTTGAAAGAATTTATTAAATTAAATTAAAAAATTGTTTGGTAAAAAGATACAGAATTTAAAAATATTTTTATTTAAAAAAATCTTTCTAAAATTTTTTAGAATAATAATTCAATCACAAAGACAATGTAACAATTTATTAATTGCTGGGTCTGTCCTAAGTTTATTTTCACTGGCACCTATTGGATTTCCACAAGACGGAGCTAATGATGATTCTATTGGACAAATAGCTACTTTAGGAGGAGAAAATAAAATTTATTCAACTTCTCCTTTTTTATTTAGTACTTTTTGTCATGTAAATGAATATTCTTGAGTTTAAATAATTTTTATTTCATTTTGAAGTTAAAATTGTTATTGTTAATGATGGGATTTTCTTTGGCATATGGATCGCTTTTTGCTAAAGGTATTTACCTAATTAATTTTCATTAAGAATTGTTTTGAAATTAAATAGAAGGTTAAAACTTTTGGAATTATTAACACTTAGGGCCTTTTTATATATTTTATCTATTTTATTAACCTTTAGGATCAGGGTCGCCGGCCCGGTCCGGTCCGAACGATCGAGTCGGGTATCGAAGTTAAAAGGACGGAAAAGACTCGGCCAGGCCGGCCTGATAAAAATGAGGCACGAGAAAAAACGGCAACCCTATTTAGGATTCTCTATATTAAAAATTTTCAGAAAAAATTTGAATTAATAATTCCTTTTCATATTAATAATTTAACAGTTTGGGTTGCACATAAACTTGGATCTATCCAAAAGAATAGACAAATGACTGCTGCTAATGCTAATAATAACAATGAAGTTTAAATTAAATAAAAATTTAAAAAAATTAATTTATAATCAAAGGAATCCTCAGATGCCGGTGCTTGTAGTAATATTCAATTAAATTCCCAACAAATTCCCCCTACTCCTTGGGATTCTATTAGAACATTATTAACTGCAATAACAAACAAACAAGCAATTGTAGCCAATGCTTTAAGGAAAATATCTCAACATTCTTATGGAAATTTATCTTCAGCAAGTGCTGGAAGTAAATCCCCGGCCCCAAATAGAAGAAATATAGCGACGTTACAAACATCTTTGTCTGTTAATTTATTAAATTTGGTTAGATTATTTTAAATAAAAATTGTGTTGTTTAGTTATTCATTGGGGGAGTTGGAGAGGGTTGGAGGGGGGGGGGGTATTGTTTAGGGGGAGGCTGTTTAGGGAGAGGGGGCGCTTAGGGAAAGAGGGAGTGGGTGTTGTTTACGGGGGAATCAGCTTCTGTTGATGTAAAATTAGAAATATATTTTTTTAAAAATATTTCCAGCCAATTCCCCCATCCAATTTTTATCCAATTATTGGAATTATTTGTTTAATTGACTTGGCCGTTTCTTTATTTTGGTTTTTATTCGATCCAATGCAACAACAACAAATACATTTTCCCCTTCAAGTAATTCAAATTAAATATTTAAATTTAATTATAATAGGAACCTCCAATTGGGACAGAATTGGATATTATGTTACTTCCAGTACTTGATTTATGCCAAAGTCAGTATCATGATGTTTGGACTGGTAAATATTGATAAATAAATTAATTAATTATAATTTAATTTATTTAAAGCAATAATTCTCTCATATAAAGGCTTACTTCTATTATTAGGCCTTTTTCTTGCTTATGATACAAAGCATTTGAAAGTTAGATATTTAAATGATTTAAATGTAAGTTGATATAATAATTAAAATATTTTAATTATTAGCCATATTTAAAAAAATAAAAAAGCCTTCTTTGGTTATTTTTCCTATTAATTGATATTTCTTTAACTTAAAAATTTTGGGAGCAGGCCAACGTACCGCGAGCCCAGCGTACCGCAGAGCTATAACTTTATTCATAATAGTCGAATCTGGGAAGCCTTGGTATGGTTCGATGCATCTCGATGAGCTGATGCATCTCCATATCAGGGCGTCCCGGATTCGACCATTTTGTACAAAGCTATAGCTCTGCGGTACGTTGACCTTGCGGTACGTTGAGAGGTACCCGAAAATGTTTAATTCGGACCTTAATTAGATAATATAAAATAATTTAAAAATTAAATTAAAGTCTACACTACTTTCTGTCTGCAATGTTGGTGTTCTTTGTCTTCTTTGTGGAACAATTGTTGTATTTTTTCTTAGAACACAACCCAATCCTTTTTTCTGTTTTATTTCCATAACTGGTAATTAATTAAATTTAAAAGATTTTTTAAATTAAAAATAGTTTATGTGTGTACTTTTGTAAGTATTGGACTTATATTTGGTCCAAAACTTTTATTTATTTATCGAAATCCGCATTCAACAAAGGAAGAGGAGGAAGAAGAACAACAATATCAAAAACAAAATACATTCCATGAATCTTCTATTAATCAGGCTGAACAACACAGATATCAACAATTATTAAAAGAAAATATGGAATTGAAAAGACAAATTGAAACTGTAAATTAATTAATTATGTAAAAGTTACTAGCAACAAATTATATCCAAAAAATTATCATTTTAAGATCCCAATTAATTTTAAAAAATAAAATTATTCTTTAAAAATTATTTTTTAGAGAAATATTCGAATTCAAGAATGTAGACGTATATTAGAGAATCAATTAGTATTGAGCAGTCCAAGAGTCAAATCAAATAGAAAATTTGTTCCTCAAAACAATAACAACAACAATACTGCAGCAATTTCATCCTCTATTACTATGTAAATTAAATATATTCTTTTCATTATCAAAATTTTAATTTAAAAAATTTAAATAAAATTAATTTAAAAAATAATTAAGATTAAGTTAATTATTTAATTTAAAAATCATCCATATTTTCAAAAAAATATTTTTTTTTTAAAGTGAATATACAAGCTCCAGTTGTTTACCAACAACTTCAAGTGGAGTAGGGGGAATGGGAGGAAATGGAGGGATTTTATTAGAATTAGACCAAACAACAATTTCAAGCGTAATAGAGCCAACAATGATTACAATATTAGATCAACAACAAGAACTCTCAACAATTGAAATGGAACAAAGTTGTGATATTACTGAAGAAGAATTACCTCTTATAGAAGATGTAAAAAGGAGAGAAGAAAGATCCCCTGTTATTTGTGGAGGGGGTGATACTGGTAGACAGAAATTGTTTTTATTAAAAAAATATTTTTTTAATTTTAGGTGTTTGTAGTGATTATGATGAAGATGAAGAAAATTATTTAAATAAAAGAAAGCCAACCTTACAAAATAATTCTTCTACTGAATTTTTAAATAATAAAGATGAAGATGAGGAGGAGGGGGAAGAAGATGAAGAAATACTCTTATAATAAAATACCTCAAATAATTATATTTTTTAATTTAAAAAATATCTAAAATAATACATAATAATGAAGAGTGATTTTTCTTATATTTTTTGTTTGTATTTTTGTGTTTAAGTGATCGACCAATACATATATCCATTCACTCCTTCTAAATAGCTTTTGGGGACTTAACACTTCTTTAATTATTTAATCAAATCTTTTTATAAATTTATTTGTAATATATTTGATATACGAAATTAAAAAAAATATTTTTTTTCCTTTAATTTTCTTGTCTAAAATAATTGTGTTTTAAGCTCCAGCTTCTGTTAAATAAGCATGTGGATGCACCGGTTTCTCCGCACGAAGTAACAACCAATTTTGATTATCTTCATCAATAAATTGTAATTTATCTGCCCAACCCTCAATTAATTTTGAGTAAAGTTTTTCACTAAATTTCTGAAAAATTAATATAAATTAATTTTTTAAATTAATTTTTAAACTTGAATAAATTCTTCTTTATTTTCAACTGCTCTATCACGTTCAATTACTAAAATTTCTCTCAAACGTTTAGTCATATTTTCTGTGTAAATATTTGTTAAACCAACACTATGAGCAATCTATAATAATTTAAAAATTAAACAAAAACATATCAACATTTAATCCAACTTCTCTATATTCTTCCAAAGTTTTTAGTGCATATTGCCGTTTACGAACATATTCATGAAATTTTGGAGAAAGAACTCCATGTCCTTTCCCATACATCGTGACAAGTACTTGTCCACCAGGCTTAAGCCAAGTCTTAAAAAAAGAAAATTTTTGAAGTTTTTCGAAAAAAATATATTCTTTTACATAAATATTTCTAAATAATCTTTTTGTGTCTTTAATGTGTTGAATACAGTCTCTGCTAAATACAATATCAAAAGCATTAGCTTCATAACGATAAACCATAGCATCAGCAATTTGATATTCAACACGATGATCTTTGTCACGTTGATTACGATCAAAAGCATGTTGAATCATATTTGAAGAAAGATCACAACCAAGTACTTGGAGACCAAACTCCTTGGAGGAGGAAAATATTAAATTTGTGGTTAACGTAAGACTCTAATTTTAATAACTTTTTTTGCCATAAGTATTTCAGTTTTAACATTTTTTTAAAGTAAAATACCCTAGCAGCTTGTCTAGCTCCTCCACCGATTCCAACACCAATATCAAGCATTTGTTGTCCAGGGCGTAAATGACGGAAATATTTAAGCACTCTTCTGTTCTCATTTACTCCACCTAATTTTTGTGATTTTAAAAGTAAATATTAATTCTAAAAAGCCAAACCTGGGCTGATAAAATCTGTCCCAAATATCCACTCGTAACTAGCAACATTGTCTTCAGTATACTAAAAATAAGAATACAAATTATTTGACATAATTCCAATTTGTTAATGATGATAAAATTATAATTATATAATTTAGTTTATAGTTATGTTTTATGAATATTATAGTTCTATTTATAGTTTGAGTATGGGTATAATACTAATATTTTACCCTATAGAACCTAATAATAATATTAATTACCTACTAATAACCGATTCCTAATGATAATAGGAAAGTTTCCATTATCAAAACCTCCCCATTTTACCCTCACTATTTCGACATATTAAATTCAATTTAGTATATCTTTTTTTAATCTTTTATTTTAATCCACCAACAAATTTAATTTAAAATAAAATAATTAAATTAAAATTACCTGTGTTTTATCCAAAAATTCCCTGAAAGTAGCTAATTTATCATCATATAATCTAACTTCAATAGCTGTTGTTAAGCTCCAAAAAACGTCAAGAAAATTAGAATGTGCATAAATGCTGTCCTGTACTTGACTCATTCCATAAAAATTAAATCCAAGTGTTTGTTGTTGTTTTAAATTATTTTGCTGTTTTCGAAAGGCAAAAACATCAAGAAATTTAGTTAAATCAGCAATTGAACGAGAACCCCATTGCTTTAAGTTTTCTCTAATAATTACAACACCATCTGTTCGTATTAAACGAAGAAGCAATCCTAATACTTGAGCAATACGATGGCGGTCATTTACAATCTTTTAATTACAATTTAGATAGTTTTAAATTAAAAAAATTTTTGAAAATTTGCTTCGTTTTCCACTCCTTAGTTTTATCAACTTTTTTGGCTTAGAAAATTTTGCTCTATATTATTTCCTAACAATGTCTTTTTAATGATAAAATAATAATATTTAGCTTACCCCTTGTCCAATAAATAAATTAGAGCAAATAGCAGCATCAAAACGTGTTTCTAAATTCTCTTCTTCGTTGTCATTATCTTCTTTATCTAAACGTTCTGATATATTCATCAACTCTCCAATATCCATTTCCTCCAAATTAAATTTATCTTCGAATAAATTTCGTAGATCAGAACTTTTTAAAGGAATTTATTATTTTTTAAATTTATTTAAAAATTTACTTTAAATTTCTTTCATTAACATCTTGATCACTAATTAATAAGAGAACGGTTTCACCATTTTTGGGTGCAGTTGGATGATTTTGAAGTGCATAAGCTAATTCACAAGATAATGCACTCATTTTATTGTTTTAAGATTTTTTGAGAAAAAAATCTTCAAATTATTTAAAAGAAGAGAAAAATTAAAATAATATTTATTTTGAAATGAAAAGGGCAACCACGAGATAATAAATGAGATGATATTAATTAATTATTATAGTTTAAGTAAATAATACATAAATATTTTATTTAGTATTTTATAGTCTCTTCTCTTTTTTTTAGTTGGAATTCGATGAAAAAAATTAGAAATTTAATTTAATTGATATTTAATTTTTAAATTAAATAGAGTTTGGATTATAATATTCTCAACTAGACTATGATATTTATTGTAGTAAGGCCGGCAAAGTTCCCATCCAGCAAAGATGAAAACGATCAGTTGGTGGGGTGGATGATTGAGGAGAAAATTGAGGGGAATTATTAGCGAAATTATACATACATATGTATACTATCAGAATCAAGTTTAATTCATTCTTTTGCTAATTTCGGCCGCCTTACTTTAATTAATAAATTAATTTAAATAAAATTAAAAAATAGTTATTTAAAAATTTAAATATATCGATAAAAAATTTCAAAATTGAGAGGAGACAGAATAAAGAATTAATAATGAAATAAAAATAATTGTTTATTCATTCTACTTCAATGGTTTTATAATAAAAAATTATTATGGGAGGGAGTAGAGTGAGAAAAGAATGAATGGGAGAGAGAGAGTGATGCAATAAAATATATTTATTTAATGATAATATTTTTATTTATTTTAATAATATCGATGTTATTGAGAAATATTTCCACAAAATTAATTTATTAAATCATTTTATTGAAGAAATTTCCATTTGGGAAAAGTTTGGAAGCATTTTTGTTTATATTTTTAAAAGAATTTAGTCGACTGATTTAAAGCCTGCTAAAGTATAAAAATAAATAAACAATTAATTTAAAAAATGAAAAAAATTTTATTAATTGGCCTTTCAAAAAAAAAAACTTTAATAAGCACTGTTTAACGTGTAAAATTCTCGAAAGCTTACAGCAAAAATGTCTATCAAAATAATAAATGTTGAAATTAAAACGATCCCATTCCAGGCATATACAAAATAGAGATTGATTTTAGCTTATTTAAAAAATATTTTCTCTAATTAGAGGATGTTCTAAGTATTTTTTCGGCAGATGTAAAGAAATGAGGGTATCTTCTGCGGAAAATTTTTGTTAAATTTTTATTAATTATTTCTTATTTAATTTTTTATTTTTCTTTAAGTATTTCATTGCCACAAATAATTTTTCGATCTCTTAAAAATTGTTGAAACTTTTCTTTAGGCCAGAGTTGCGTCGTAATTGAAAATTTTTTTTCGGAATCGTAATTCGTAATTTTAAAAAAAATTTCGTAATCGTAATTCGTAACTCAGGGTGGCCTTTTTACCCTATTTATAGAGGATTTTCCCTATTTTTGATCTTTTCGCCCTATTTTTTCCCTATTTTGTACATTTGCCATATTTTGCCCTATTTTTATCAATTTTTAAAATTTCAAGATGACGACAGTCATCTTGACGTGGTCGACGACCGAGGTCGTGGTCGGCGACAGTCATCTTGACGTGGTCGTGGTCGACACTGCATCTTGACGTGGTCGTCGACCGTGGTCGTGTTCAACGACGGTCATCTTGACGTGGTCGTGGTCAACGACAGTCATCTTGACGTGGTCGTAGTCAACGACAGTCATCTTGACGTGGTCGTAGTCAACGACAGTCATCATGACGTGGTCGTGGTCGACGACCGTGGTCGTGATCGAAGACAGTCATCTTGACGTGGTCAACGACGGTCATCTTGACGTGGTCGTGGTCAACGACCGAGGTCGTGGTCAACGACAGTCATCTTGACGTGGTCGTGGTCGACGACCGTGGTCGTGGTCGACGACGGTCATCTTGACGTGGTCGTGGTCGACGACGGTCATCTTGACGTGGTCGTGGTCAACGACAGTCATCTTGACGTGGTCGTAGTCAACGACAGTCATCTTGACGTGGTCGTGGTCGACGACGGTCATCTTGACGTGTTCGTGGTCAACGTCGGTCATCTTGACGTGGTCGTAGTCAACGACAGTCATCTTGACGTGGTCGTGGTCGACGACCGAGGTCGTGGTCGAAGACAGTCATCTTGACATGGTCGACGACCGTGGTCGTGGTCGAAAACAGTCATCTTGATGTGGTCGTGGTCGACGACCGTGGTCGTGGTCGAAGACAGTCATCTTGACATGGTCGACGACCGTGGTCGTGGTCGAAGACAGTCATCTGACGTGGTCATCGAAGACAGTCATCTTGATTTTTGAAATATATTTATTTAGATACAGCTTCATCTTGATCTGCTCAATTTAGTTAAAACTATTCGAAAACATGCGGAATAAAGATTTTTATTCAAAATTTTAATTATTTTTATATTTTTAAAATAATTTCCTATTTTTTGCCCTACTTTTGACCGATTTCGCCCTATTTTTTCCCTATTTTTGAGTACCTGCGCCCTATTTTAGTGGTTTGGAAAAGTCCACCCTGTCGTAACTCAAAAAACGCCGTAATTCGTAATCGTAATTCGTAATTACGACGCAACCCTGCTTAAGGCAAATGTAATTATAATTTAGAAGTAGTAAGATTTTAAAGTGTTTGTAGTAAAATATAAAGAGAAAAATAAAAAGTTATTGAGAAAGAGCGAATGATAAGGCTTTAAAAATGCTCACAAAACCATAAACTTAGTCTATTTATTTGATCCATAATCCATAAACCTTTCTAATCAATATTTACACGATTTCTAATGCAAAATGTATTAATTAAACCTGTTATTATAAAAATGAGAATTATTATGATGAATAAAGGTAAGAAAAATATTTATCAAAAATATAAAATTTATCAGAAATTACTGTTAAATTTTTTTAATTGTAGGTATTTAAATGATTTGATTAGTACAATAGTCATAGAAAAATATTTGTTAGTTAAAAGGGAATTTATATTTACATTAATAAAAATATTTTCGATTTAAATAGGTTCTGGAGTGTCACGATCAGCATTAGCAACACCTGTACCTGAAAAGTAATGAGAATCCCCAGAATGTCCAAGTAGCCAAAATGTTTCCATAACTCCTTTTCCTTTAATAATTACTTCTCCTCTAGGTTCTGTTACATATCCTCCAATTATGTTTGTTAAATAATGATTAGTTGTGGTTGATATATGGATACGTCCAGCTGTTGAAAGGAAAAGCATATTTTAGGGAAATTAAATTACTTTTCCGTTATATGTCCGCTTTCTTCTTTGTTGGACATGTTTGGACCCTTGTAAATCAGCTCAGATGTCCCCACGGACCGATTATGGTATCATTTGACACAGCTCGATGAGCTCTATCAATCTATTATTATTGAACATCTTGTTAACTGTGGGGAGGGGCAAATAAGTACCCTTAATGCTTTACCATTATTCAATATTGTCCATTTGCGACATTTATAAAAAAAGGAAATATGAAAATGAAAAAGGTATTTGCGGACACATAACGGAAAAGTACCCAATTTATTTTTACGTCTTCCGTTAGATTCCATTCTACTAGCAGTATTTACAGTGTCTCCAAATAAACAATAACGGGGCATTGCCAATCCAACAACTCCAGCTACTGCTGGTCCTTAAATATTCTTATGAGAGTAAACGATGAGGCAATTAACAGACCAGTATGTATTCCAATACGTAAATTAACACGTTCATTTGGCAAATGATCAACTCTAAATGTTGAGACGGTACGTAGGAAAGCAAAAGATAATTCAGCAATTGCCTTAGCATGGTCATTTCCATTTTTCCGAGGAATTCCAGAACAAACTAAATAACCATCCCCGATTGTTTCAACTTTATAAACATCATGAGTGTCAATAATACCATCAAACGAAGTGTAAAGTCCATTCAGTAAATTTACTACCTTAAATATAATTTAGCAGCTCTTTGTTATCTGAGACTTTAAAAGGAATTAGTTTGGCATAAATTATGGCTTTTGTGTTTGGAAGTATAAACTTTTCATTGGACGCATAAACTGGACAAGAGCCCAAATTGTATATTATCAGTTTTTTTGTTCATTACGCTGTCTATCAGAGAACATGGCCCCTCATACCATATAGCCTCTATAAACAAAAATACAAGGATGATTACAAGGATGACACTGCTTTGAGGTATTCAAGGAAGGGTGGGAGAATTTGGGAACAAAAACTAAATGAGATCTTGCCTGAAGAGGTGTGCATTTACTAGCTAATGTTGTGAATGAAACAACATCAGAAAAGAAGATTGTAGCTGCCATAAATTGTTCTGGCTCGACGTATTCCCCCAATTTTAATTTTTCAGCAACTTGTTTTGGAAGCATTCTATATAAAAGAATATCACTTTTTCTTTTTTCTTCAACTAATTCTCTAGTTCTTTCCTCAACTTCTTGTTCTAAAGAACTTGCATATTGCTCTAACATTCCAAAAACATAATCCATTAAATTTTTATTACCATCGCTGACCATTTGTTTAAGCATTGAACGAACTTGGTCGATTTTTGGACGTTCAGGAGGATTTTCACTCCAACAATCACGAACCAAATGTAACTGTGAAATTTATTTATAAAATATTTTAAATATTATTCTTTTACGAAATTTTGATTAATTTCCTCTCGAGGATGCAATTGAGGTCGGTGTGGAATTGCCACATTTGATCGTCTTAGTCGGTAAAGTATCTCTAAAAAAGCAATGGTGTTTTTCAAGGTGTTTTTTTCTACAAACCATCAACATCATCTTCTCTTTCAACTCCATTCCAAACAGTTTCTCTATTAACTAATTCACAACAAATTATAGCAAAACTATAAACATCTCCTTCTTTTGTTCCTTTTCGATTATTTTCTCTTAATAATTCTGGTGCTGTCCACAATAATTCTTAAAAAATAATCGAGATTTATAAAATTATATTCTTTTTTACTTCTTTTTGACATTGGTTGACTTTCTCTAATCATATTCAATCCAAAATCGCTAATCTTTACTTGCCAACGATCATTAATTAAACAATTCTCTGAGGAAAGCATTCCATGTACCCCTATGGATGATTGATGTAAAGCTATTAAACCATTAGCTATATCCTGCATCAAAGTAAACATAACAAAGGCATCGCTCAAGTATTGTTCTTTGGCGATTAAATCCTATACATTACGATTTAATAAAATGATAGAGGAATATTTAAGTTTATAGGTTCAGTGTAAACTCACACCCTTCCCCCAAGTGGTTCTTACCGCCGAATAGTCCAATCAAGTAACGTCTGATTTAAGATTGAGACATATTTATAGGGGAATTGTATATCAAAATTGTGTAATTGTGTACTTTATGCACCATGAGTTTAAAATGATATAAGCACACCATAATAATCATGACTGTTTTTCGGTACCATTCGAAGGATTAGAGATTATTAGAGATTTATTAGAGATTATTAGATTATATTAGAGATTCTGTTCGTGAAGACTTATAAAAATTTGGGTATTTGTAAAAGAATATTTTCTTTAACTGACTTTTCTTTTATTGAAGATTAGAAGTGAATGGGATACAGACATAATAATGTCGATAATTTGTGTAAAGACCTTCTAATTTTTGTCCTTCTAATGGTATTAAAAAACAGTTATGATTATTATGGTGTGTTTATATCATTTGAAATTCATGGTGCATAAAGTACACAAGTACCCAAAATGGAGCTATAACCTACCTTTAAACTGCCTCTTTGGCAATGTTTCCAAATACCATATAGTATTGGAGCATCTGTACAAAGCCCACAGAATTTGTTTAAATTGTCATGGTCTAATTGACGAAGCTGAGAAATAATGAATATTTATTCTTTATTAATTGTTCCCTTTACCTTTCTCAAAAGTACAAAATCTTCATTAAATATTCTAACTCTAACTTGATATTTAATAGCAAAAACAACTTCTCTATTATATAAAAAATGTGCATAATTTTCTGTTTCCAATTTTTTATCATCCATACTTGTTAATTTTGTACTGCCAGATTGGCTACTTTGTAAACTTTTTAAACTTTTATTTGCTTCTAAACTTCTCATATCTTCATTACTTTTTAATTCTTTTATATTCTGTAGTTCAGAATATGGAATTAGACATTCCCTGGTTAAACGTTCTTTCTCTCGCATTTTTTCCCTAAATTTTATAAAAAGTTTGCTTTGATCTAAATTTTCTCCGAATTTTAAGGATTATTTCCTATTACCATAAAAACTATATTATCTACCCTGGGTAATTATTGTTTCGATCTCTCGCTGGAGGAGGTAACTAATACAGGCGGGGTAATTATTTGAGGGAGGGACATTAATACAGTTTTTACGGTATTTGCTCCCCATACCTCCCCAAGTTCGGATACAGGTACCTATTGAAAAGCCCCACAGTTAGGGAATTTATTTCACACAAAAGTTAAAAACTCGCCTAATAGCATAACCAACACCCGAAATTGTTGCAAAGAACAAAAGAAGAATTAATCCAACACCAATTAATATATATGTTGTCATATTTTGTGGACATTCTGTCCCAGTATATCCACATAAAGGTTTATATAAAGGTCTCTTTCCTCCTCTATTTGCCCAAATAACAGATTCATCAGTATATTTTTTAGTTAAAGACTGGAATTTTTAAAAATAAATTTTAAAATTAAAAAAAAGGATTACCAAAATACTATTTAAAATACTTATTTGAATAACATCTTGTGGTTGATCTTGAGTATCAAGTATAGTAACATAAAAAGTTGGTTCTCTATTTCCTAATGAATCAAGTATTACTGTTCCTGTTTCACCTAATATTTTTAAAAAGTTCTCCTTCTCTTTTTTTAAATTACCAATAAATTCCCCATTACTCATATTATTAATTAAAGTCCCATTTCTAGCTAAATCCGTAGATAAATAGCCATATTGTGCTTTTGTTAAATTTAAAGCTCTCAAATACGAATAAGTTGTGTCATACAAACTTCGAGCATATGGAGAAGGCTAAAAATTTTAAGTTTCTCAATTTAGAATGAAAAACACATTTTGTTCATCAGCTCCACCCATACAAGAGCCATTACAATTAAATGGAGGCTGGCCAAATTGTGCATACATTTTTTTATTGAATGTGTTAATTTGATCAACTGATTGATTTTCGAGATCAATCTTTTTATTATTAAAAATAGTTTAAAATTGAAGAGAAATCTAAACATACAACAATTGACCTTCTAGCAGTTTTTAAAGCATCTGCATCCCTCCCATCGTTAGACCCGTCTGATTGCTTCCAAAAACTGTCATATTGAACTCCATTTACTCCAGAAGAAACTTAATTAATTAATTCAAAAATACATAATTTACAAAACTTTTCCGGTATGTTTACTTTAAAAAATTCTTAATTTAAAAAAATTAACAGAAATAACAATTAAGATTATTTGTTATTATTTGCTATTATTATTTGCTATAATATCATTCTGCTATTTAGTTTAAAAATTTAAAGAATTGTTTCTTAAATTAAAAATTATTTTTAAATTTCCTAATCACTTTGTTGAAGCATTCCTTGATTTTGCAACTGTGCAATAATCAAAACATATTCTGTGCTTTCAACTAAACCCAAATCATTCATTGCTAAAAGGAAATTACGTCGATCTACAGCAGAATCAAAACAAGAAACAATAACTTTAATATAAATATTATTCAACTTAATTATATTTAGAAACTTCGTGAACAAGTTTTAATTTTATTTAACGTTTCTTTCATACTAGCGGTAGTTGAATCCATTTGTTTTTTATAAACAATTGTTATATTTGGATTATTATTTAAAAGGGACTCCATATCTTGCTGAAAATATGAACAAACCCTTAAATATTTAATTTAAATAATTCTTTTAATTTTAATTTATTACATTCCAATATTGTCTGGAATGTAAATTGTTGATATTTCTTGCCATTGAAATTGCATTAAAAGTGCTTGCACACCCATAGCTAGCCTGTAATTTTAGGTACTTTCTCTGATTAATTTTCTCAATATTTTGCTAATTTTTACAAAAATTTCCTGCTTTTTATGTCAGGAAGGTGAAAATTATTCTATGTATAGGATGATACTATAAGGCTAAATTGAAGTCTCGATCTTTTTGATGTTAAAAAATATAACTAGTTAGTTCCATGACAATGGTTTTATGACTAGGTTTTTCTGGAAAATGCATGGACAATCATACCTAAATTCCCATATACTTTTGATCAACACAAATGACTTAAAACTTAAGCACTAACATTAAGTTGAATTCATTTTTAGTTTGGTTATTAAATATTTTAAATTAATATTTCTAACTTTAAAATTTCTTAAGAAAATCTTCACATTCATAATTTTTAAATTTAAAAAACTTTTACATATTTGTGTTTGTATTAACATTAGTCACAGTTGGAATATCATTTAGTTCAGCTGCAACTGCTGCACCCCATACAAATACAGGAAAATTATAAAATGAAGAAATATATCCAGTAATTAGGGCAGCTATTTAATTAAATAAATAAATTATTATTTCCAAACAGTTTATCTTGGTTCCCCAAAAGTTAAAAAAGCACGGAAGTTTACTGATTATTAATCGAGTTATTAATTTTATCCATAATAATTTAACTCAAAATTATTACATGTAACGCAAGGTGGGCCTATTATAGCATCAACATGCAAGTTGACAAATAGTTGATTTGTATAACCAGAAGCCAAAGCTTCATCACAATCACACATAAACCAAGTAAAACTGTGAAAAAGAAATTAATTTTAGAATATAAAATTTATAAATACTTAAAATTAATATTGTTAATTAATTGTTCACTAGCAGCCCTTTGCATTGCTAAAGTAATAGCTGGTGCTGATTGACCAAAACCAAATTGTGCTCGTAAATCTTTTGAACCATTAGCAAATAGCAACCCAACTTTCAATTGCAAATTTAATCCATTTGAGGGTGTTGATGTTGTTGGTGTTGGTTGTGTTGTCGAAGTAGATGGAGGTGTTGAAGTGGTAGATGTGGAAGTTGTTAATGTTGTGTTTGCTTTAATAACTGAAGTTGTGGTGGTAATTGTATTCGGTTTTGTAATTATTAATGTGGGCAATAATGTTGTTGTAGTCGTTGTACCTGTAGAATCAGGTAATATAATAATTGTTGTTGTATCATTTGTTGAGTTTAGTTGGCTATAGACACAAACAATTAAATAATTAAGAAGAAATATAGGAGAAATTGATAGTAGCTTCATCTAAAATAAATGATTCATGATTGCATTAAAGCTTTTATTATATACTATTAGATCTATAGTTTTTAAAAAGAAATGTAAAATAAGCTTTAGAACTATGTTAAAATTAAATATCAAAAAATAATTTTTTTATAAATCTGAGAAGATAATCCACAAAAAGTAAATTGCATCCCTAGAAGTTCCTTGTTTAATATTAATATCCATTATTTATTAATAATGAAAATTCTCGATAATAATTTATTAAAAATAGAGTGAGGATTAAAAGTAAAATTTTTTAATAAAAGTTGTTTTTATTAAAAAATTGTCAGACAAATTATAGTAGCGCATTCAAGAAGCCAAATTAAAATATTTGTTGATAATTTAAGGAGATAAGTTTTATTAACTAAAGAAATATTTTTACTTTCTTATTAATTATTAGAAGCCAGTAAATCATAAAATAATTTTAAGAGTTAAATTAAATCCAAAAGTACATAGGTATTATGAATTAAAAATACAGTAAGAAAATTTCTATTTAATAATTATTCCTCAACTAAAATCATTTAAAATTTTACTAGGTTGTAGAAATAATCTATGAATATTATATAGTTTTGTCGTTTTTGAGTAGTTTTTTGCCAATTTTTCGTGCCTCACTTTCGGACCAAGTATTCCTGCCCGGCTCAATCTTTCGGTCCGAGTCAGTCCATTTTAACAACCCTACTGAATATCATAAAAAGTTCAGATATGTTTGAATTACGAACAAATGGATTCGTCTTTTGGATTTTAATTTAATAATAGGATAAAAAACTTTTAAAAATTTATGTTTTAATTTAACATAAAAAATAGCACAAGTTGGTGTTATTTACATGATTTAGAATGAAGTTTAGAAAATTTGGCACTAATTTTTTGAACTGTTTACTGAAAATCTTTCGTAGTTATAGAAAATCAAACCGATTTTTTCAGGTTGTCGTTATCTCCTCTAAACACTGGCTTGAAATATATTTTCTAATTAAAGCAGTAAATTCTTTCAAGACACTTAGTATAAAGCCTAAATTAGAACACTTAGTATAAAGTCTAAAGAAAATGAACCACTGTGGTTCTATTAGAATAAATACGATTATTTAATACATAGGCCACGCAAATTATCTACTGCAAAATCTCATTATTTTTAATTGTTACTCTTGTGTTTGTATGAAAATTATTTTTATGCAATGAAAAATATTTTGGCCCTTGTCCAGATTCAATTTATTACGTCATGTTTGACGCGCGATCAAAAAAATATACAGAATAAGTGGTCGATAATATGTATATAAATTATAGTACAGATAAACTGATATTTATAAATAGTTCAACTATTCTTTAATTAAGTTTTAAGGGAGGTTATGTGTGAAAACAAATCAAAATTGTCCAATAGTTTTTTAAAATTAGTGGGAGTATGCACATGGCTAGGAACACCCGTTACCTTATTCAAATAAATTATGTTTCTGAAATTTTTAAAAATTAAATATAACTGTACGAAGTTTATACGAATAACGGATGCCATGGATTTCCAAACTGATTAGAAATCATCTATGGATTACAAATCATGGACAAGAGTCAATAATTTTATATCTTGAGGTTTTTACAGATAAAAAGATAATGGAATCGTTTTTAAAAATGAGTAAACAAAAGATATATACAAAAATAATGCCAAATTTTGATCAAACAGGTTCTGGAGTGTCACGATCAGCATTAGCAACACCTGTACCTGAAAAGTAATGAGAATCCCCTGCATGTCCAAGTAGCCAAAATGTTTCCATAACTCCTTTTCCTTTAATAATTACTTCTCCTCTAGGTTCTGTTACATATCCTCCAATTATGTTAGTTAAATAATGATTAGTTGTGGTTGATATATGGATACGTCCAGCTGTTGAGAGAAAAGAAAGAATAATTTATGGAAATAAAATTTATTTTTTTACGTCTTCCGTTAGATTCCATTCTACTAGCTGTATTTACAGTGTCTCCAAATAAACAATAACGAGGCATTGTCAATCCAACAACTCCAGCTACTGCTGGTCCTTAAATATTTTCTTTTAAAGAAATTAACAATTCATTTATTAACCAGTATGTATTCCAATACGTAAATTAACACGTTCATTTGGCAAATGGTCAATTCGAAATGTGGAGACTGTTCGAAGGAACGAAAAAGATAATTCGGCAATTGCCTTAGCATGATCATTTCCATTTCGACGGGGGATTCCAGAACAAACTAAATAACCATCTCCAATTGTCTCTGTCAAATATATCAGTGTCAATTTAATTAAGTTAATCTGCGCTTTACTTACCAACTTTGTAGGCATCATGACTATCTATAATTCCGTCAAATGCTGTATATAGACCGTTTAATAAGTTCACAACCTTTAAAAAATTAGTTGTAAAAGACACAATTTAATGTCTAAAGTCTATTATGCATGCCTGAAGAGGTGAGCATTTACTAGCCAAAGTTGTAAATGAAACAACATCGGAGAAGAATAAAGTAGCAGCTGTATATTGCTCAGGTTCAACAAATTCCCCCAATTTTAATTTTTCAGCAACTTGTTTTGGAAGCATTCTATATAAAAGAATATCACTTTTTCTTTTTTCTTCAACTAATTCTCTAGTTCTTTCCTCAACTTCTTGTTCTAAAGAACTTGCGTATTGCTCCATCATTCCAAAAACATAATCCATTAAATTTTGATTTCCATCCCTAACCATTTGCTTCAACATTGTTCTGACCATATCAATTTTTGGACGTTCAGTCGGAATCTCACCCCAGCAATCACGGACTAAGTGTAACTAAGATAAAAATGAGGATATCAGTAGAGATCGCCCTTTTTACCAAATTTTGATTGATCTCCTCTCGAGGATGTAATTGAGGTCGGTGTGGAATTGCCACGTTTGATCGTCTTAGTCGGTAAAGTATCTCTGAAAAAGATGAGTGTGTGTTTTTCAGAGTGTTTTTAAAACAAACCATCAACATCATCTTCTCTTTCAACTCCATTCCAAACAGTTTCTCTATTAACTAATTCACAACAAATTATAGCAAAACTATAAACATCTCCTTCTTTTGTTCCTTTTCGATTATTTTCTCTTAATAATTCTGGTGCTGTCCACAATAATTCTTAAAAAATAATCGAGATTTATAAAATTATATTCTTTTTTACTTCTTTTTGACATTGGTTGACTTTCTCTAATCATATTCAATCCAAAATCGCTAATCTTTACTTGCCAACGATCATTAATTAAACAATTCTCTGAGGAAAGCATTCCATGTGCTCCAGCAAATGACCCGTGCAATGCTATCAAACCACTAGCTATATCCCTCATTAAAGTAAACATTACAAAAGAATCACCAACATATCTTTCTTTGGCGATTAAATCCTATTATTGTTAGTAATATTTTATTAATATTTAGTTTATTAAATACAATCCTAACAAAATCCTAATATATTTCCTAACTCAAAATAAGAATAGAATGCTAATTAAATAATACAGGGTGACAAGAAATGTTTGGGGTGACAAGAAAATGCTTTTACGGTGACAAGAAATGTTTGCCCGGTTTTATCTCATCTCAAGAATGGCCACCGTACTCACCGAATTCGAATCGGATGTATTACTCTGTGTGGTCTAATTTGGAGGCCAGGGCCTGCGTTAAACCACACAAAAGTTTGGAGTCGCTTCGCCAATAATCGTTCGGGAATGGGAGAAAATCTCAACCAAGGAGGTGCGAACTACATATTGTCCACGATTTTTCCTCACGCCTTTGACTCTGTATCCAAGCTAAGGGGGGAGGGGGCACTTCGAAAATTGTTGATTGTATTTGTTCCTTATTTATTTCTTTATCATAAAATGTTATTTGATCTCAATATCTTCAAATTGAATAGTTATATTATAAATAAATAAAAAACTGTGTCCTAAACTTTTCTTGTCACCCTGTATTATGTATTCTATGCTACCTTTAATATTTAAATTTAATTTTCAAAAATACTTTTAAACTCCCTCTTTGACAATGTTTCCAAATAGCATAGAGAATAGGTGCATCTACACAGAGTCCACAGAATTTATTTAAATTGTCGTGGTCTATCTGACGGATCTAAGAGGAATATCCTTTAATTTTAACATTTAATGCAGTAACTACCTTCTTTAAATTAGCAAAATCTTCATTAAATATTCTAACTCTAACTTGATATTTAATAGCAAAAACAACTTCTCTATTATATAAAAAATGTGCATAATTTTCTGTTTCCAATTTTTTATCATCCATACTTGTTAATTTTGTACTGCCAGATTGGCTACTTTGTAAACTTTTTAAACTTTTATTTGCTTCTAAACTTCTCATATCTTCACTACTTTTTAATTCCTTTATATTCCTTAATTCTCCAAAAGGTATTAAACATTCTCTGGTTAAACGTTCCTTTTCTTTTAATTTTTCTCTATAGAAAATAATTTTATTTTACTAGTGTAACAAATGTAGATCCTACCTAATGGCATAACTAATACCCGAGACTGTTGCAATAAATAAAAGTAAAATTAATCCAACACCAATTAATATATATGTTGTCATATTTTGTGGACATTCTAAACCTGTATATCCACATAAAGGTTTATATAAAGGTCTCTTTCCTCCTCTATTTGCCCAAATAGTTGCTTCATCAGTATATTTTTTAGTTAAAGACTGCAAGAAAATAAAAAATTAAACGATATATGTATGTAGTACAAATCGCTTAAATATTTTGGGATTGGATTTATCAAATTTTTTATGTCAGTTAATCATCCCTCTAAAAGCACATCGTTTAAATTAAATTCCCAAATATCCGGACTTAACAAATACATGTTTAATTATGTCTCTAATGAATTAAAATATTATAAAATTCACCAAAATATTGTTTACAATACTTATTTCAATAACATCTTGAGGTTTATCAGACGCATCAAGCATTGTAACGTAAAATGTTGGTTCTCTGTTGCCTAATGAATCAAGATTTACTCTTCCAGTTTCTCCTAAATTATTATTTTATTTTATGTTTATTAACTTTTTATTTAAAGCTTAATCGTTAAATTAAACCAACGAAGCCTTAACTATACTGCCTCAAGTTTCAAATCATTACCATCAAATTCCCCTTTACTCATATTGTTTATCTGTGTCCCATTTCTTGCTAAATCACTTGACATATATCCATATTTTAACATTGTTAAATTCAATGCTCTCAAATATGCATAAGTTGTATCATGTAAACTTCGAGCATATGGAGAGGGCTAAAAGAATTTAATTCTCAATTTTCAATTTAGAATGAAAAACACATTTTGTTCATCAGCTCCACCCATACAAGAGCCATTGCAATTAAATGGAGGTTGTCCAAATTGTGCGTACATTTTTTTATTGAATGTGTTAATTTGATCAACTGATTGATTTTCGAGATCAATCTTTTTTTATTAAAAATATTTTAAATAAAGTTAAATCTCGAATTCGAATGCTTAACGGGCTGAGGATATTGGAGGTGAAATCTCAATTAATGAAAAATTTCAAGAATGAAAATTTTAAGAATAGGTATTTCAAGATCGGAGTGTCTCTAATTTTCGAGAGTATCTAAATTCGAGATACGATTTAATTCCTAGTTGAAGAGAAATCTAAACTTACAACAATTGACCTTCTAGCAGCTTTTAAAGCATCTGCATCTCGCCCATCGTTAGACCCGTCTGATTGCTTCCAAATACCGTCATATTGAACTCCATTTGCTCCAGAAGAATCTATATTTTTTAATATATTAACTTAACTTCAAACTATTTTTTATTATTTTTAAATTAAAGAACTAAAAAAAGAAAAAAAGATCCTGCTAGCTAAGCGGGAGTTTAAGATTTATTAAAAGGGAAGAAATCAGGATATATACATATGTATATATTATGTTGGCGAAGGTGTTTAGCAATAACTGCCAGCAGGCTAAACTTTTCCTCCTCCTATTACCATAAACTTAGTCAGACATTTATTAACGAAATTACATGGTTTCAAATATTTTCCTGCATATATATATCTACACTTATCTATACAGAATTTAACATGAAATTCTTTAAATAATTCATTTTCCCTACTTATTTCTTGTAACATTCCTTGATTTTTCAACTGTGAAACAATCAAAACATATTCAGAGCTTTCAACTAAGCCCAAATCAGTCATTGCTAAAAGGAAATTACGTCGATCTACAGCAGAATCAAAACAAGAAACAATAACTTAATTAATTTGAATAAATTAATTATTTATTTTTAAAAACTTCGTGAACACGTCATAACTTTTCTTAAACTATCTTTCATACTAGTAGATGTTGAATCCATTTGTTTTGTATAAACAATTGTTATATTTGGATTATTATTTAAAAGAGATTCAAAATCTTGTTTAAAATAACTACAAACTCTTAAACAAAAATTAAAATTTTATTTTTAATTTAAATAATTATTTATTTGCCTTCCAATATTGTCGGGAATGTAAACTAAAGAAATTTCTTGCCATTGAAATTGTGACAAAACTGCCTGAACACCCATAGATAACCTTTAAATTAATTTAAAAATATTCTTTTTAATTAATTCCAAACTTACATAACAGTATTTGTGTTAATATTGGTAACCGTTGGAATTGGATTGAATTTTGAAGTAACTGATGCACCCCAAACAAAAATAGGAAAATTATAAAAAGAAGAGATATAACCAGTCATTAGGGCAGCTATAGAAAATTGAAAAAATTTTTTGAAATTATTTTTCTGAAGAAAATTTTGTTTTCAGTACAATTATTTTCGTAATAATTCAATATCTCAATTATATTTTCTTGTATAATTTACCGGTAACACATGGGGGGCCAATAATAACATCAACACTTAAATTAAGAAAAAGTCTATTTGTGTAGCCAGCGGCCAAAGCTTCATCACAATCACACATAAACCAAGTAAAACTTTGAAAAAGAAATTAATTTTAGAATATAAAATTCAAAACTACTTAAAATTAATATTGTTAATTAATTGTTCACTAGCAGCCCTTTGCATTGCCAAAGTAATAGCTGGTGCTGATTGTCCAAAACCAAATTGTGCTCGTAAATCTTTTGAACCATTAGCAAATAGCAACCCAACTTTCAATTGCAAATTTAATCCATTTGAGGGTGTTGATGTTGTTGGGGAAGTGAATGGAGTGATTGATTTTGAAGTTGTTGTTGTTGTCAATGTTTTATTTGTATCATCATTAAATAACGTGGTTGTTGTTGTTGTTGTGTTTGTTGGATTAAATAAATCAGTTAATACAAAATTAGTTGTTACTTCAGGTAATGTAGATGGTGAGATTGTTGTTGTTAATTCAGGTAATACTGAAATTGTTGTTGAATCATTTGGAAGATTAAATTGGCAAAAAGCAAAAATTATTAATTCAAATAAGGAAAAAAGAGAAAGTATCCTCATTCAAAATACTTTTATAAATTTAATAATAAAATACTACTTCCATAATAATTATTAAAAAGATTTATGTAAATATTAATAAATGTTCCACATTTTATGAATCCAAATATTTTTTATAAAATAATACTATATACTTAAAGACATTCAACATTGAATCCCTATAATAAAAGATCGCTTAACATTATTAATATTATTTTTATTAAAAATTTGAGTTGTCTAAAGTAATAAAAAAATTTAAAAATTAATTAATAATAATAATTACATTTATTTAATTAAATTATTTTTTAATTATTTTTTTTAAATTTTTTATTTAAATTACTAAAACAATATTTTGTATAAAATAATTTTTCCTCTTCTCCAATAATAATTATTATAATTATTATTGTACCACCGAGCTATAACTTTGTTCAAAAGTGTTAAATCCGTTTGATTCAGCTGGTCGAGCCGCATCGAACCATACCAGGGGCCTATTTCAATTGTCCACAGATTCTGCATTCTGTGCACAGAACACAGATTCTGTGGAAATTCTGTTTCAATTAAATTCTGTGTGCACAGAATCTGTGGTGCCCGCAGATTCTGCGGAAACATCCAATGATTCTGTGGAAACATTCCGCAGATTCTGTGGATGAAAATTTCTGTGGAAAATATAAAAATCTGTGGATTTTTTCCACTGATCCACAGAATTTGTATTTCAATTATTTTTCTGTGGTTCTGTGTATTTTTTCTTCTAAATTCAAATTTTTTATTTCCGCGTTTTTGAAAATAACAGTTTTATTGAAACGAAAAATGGTTTGGACAGTTCGGTACTACCGCAGTATTAATGGTACCTGATTTTTTGAAGTAAAACTTTAAAAATTCTTAAATTAAACTGAAAAATATTGTAAAGATTTAAAAATTTTCCCTCCAAATCACATAACATCCCTTTAAATCTCTTTGATATCACTTTAAAACCGCTGATATACCGCTTAATTTTCTTGTTCATCCAATATCCTTAAATCTCCAATTAAATTAATGTCCTAAAGCAGGGTTCGGATCGGAAAAATCAGGAGATGTCGATCCGACATGTGGCTTTTTCAAACTACGATAGAAGTTGTTGCAAGGGAGGGAAATGTTTGGGGATTGTTTAGTCAGAAATTGAGGTTCCTGGAAATCGAAAATGCCTGGAATCCAAAATTATAGTCAAATCGGAACTTTAAAATCGTAGAGGAGTGATTAAGTGGGATATCCATTGATTTTGAGGTTTAATATATTGGAGTGATTAAGGAGGAAATCTATCATTAAATAGGAGGAGAGATTATGACGGATATCAATGAGAGATCATGGGAGATATCCCAGTATACGCTATACAGATATATTCTATAGATCCTGGTAAACATCCCCTCATTAGAGATATCCATGATGATTAGAACATCATAGCTCTAAATTTCAGAATCTCTCACGTTTTTTATTTTTTTATTGCTTGAATATAACAAAAACTGCGTAAAAAAGATGTACCTTTTTCAAAATTAATTTTAAGCAATAATTTTAGGTAATAAAATTATAATTTTTATATCAAAAAATAGAGAATGATTCAAACTTTAATAATCTTTAAAAATTTTGAAATTTGGTTAAGCCTAGGCCTAGAAAAAAATTGTTAAAGTTTTTCCACAGAAAGTTCGCAGAAAAAATTTTAGGGTGGATTTTTTAAAGAATTCTGTGTATTTTCCGCAGACCACAGAAATAATTGAAACAGAAATGCACAGAATCGACTAAAAAAGCCACAGATCTGTGGATTTTTTTCTGTGCACAGAAAAATAATTGAAATAGAATTCTGTGGTTTTTGCATGTTTTTGGATGTTTTGCAGAATCTGTGGATGTTTCCACAGATTCTGTGCATGTTTCCACAGAATCTGCGGACTTCTTTTTCCGCAGAATCTGTGGAATAATTGAAACAGAATTTCTGTGGTTCTGTGGTCTGTGCACAGAACGCAGACCGCAGAATCTGTGGACAATTGAAATAGGGCCCAGGGCGCCATGGATTCGACAATTTTGAAATAAGTTATAGCTCGGTGGTACACTCGCCTGCTCCCATAATAAATAGCCAGAACTTTATAAAAACATCTTATTTTTCTAACTAACTTTTATTTTCATTTTAAAAGAATCAAATATATACATAAATTTGTTTGTAGTTGAACAAAAAATAATAGTATTTTAATTTTGACTGTAAGCTTCGAACGTCACCTATTTTCTACGACAATCTACTAGGTTGTTCATCTAACTGACGTACATTTAACATTGAAAATATATGAAGATTTTAAGCTTTGTTTATTAAAAAATATTATTTTTATTATTATTTTTCTATTTTTATAGATAATCTTCAAAGTATTTTACTTAATTTAGAATTTAATATATGTTCATATTTTCAAAGTTTTGATAAGTACATAATTTTTTGTGTAATCTTAAAGGCAATAAATGAAGAAGCCAATGGGAAAGTACGAAGGAGGAATCCCTTTATTTAAATTTTTGTACAGTATTCAGACTTTAATAGACTTTATTAATATCCATATTTATTTTCTAAAATAAAAAATTTAAAATAAGTTAAAAAATAAAGTTTAGATAAAAGTACATATGTAGTAGCTATTTTGTGTTTGATCAGTTAAAGTGTATAGTTTATAGCAGGAACTTAGAGAACACTAGTAAATTATTTAAATTAAAAGATGCAAATAAAAATTCGTTTAACGATAAATATTTTAATATACGAACAAAATTTTACGACAAAATTTTTTATTGTCATTAAAATTAACTCCGGAGTATGGTCACTTGTCGATTTTTGATTTATTATGAAAAGGAATTGAAATTATACAATTGGCAATTGAAAAAAATCAAGAATTTAGGACAAAAATCAGAAAATAAAATGGAATACATAATACAATTTTTCCCGCTTCCCGCGGAGACTAAGGCACAGGACAGGGGTTGGAGTAGTTTTGACCTCTGTGATGGGGACGGTGACTCTACTTCCCACCGTCCCTGTTAACCAACGCCCCGGAAACGTAGTTTGAACCCTAATTTCAACAAATGTCCTTGTTAAACTATAAGCCTGATAAGTTAATTTCCAAATGAAAATTTACGGTATATAAATAGTATCTGATTAAACGCCCAAACCAACAACAATGCACCAAAAAATTTTATTTGGTGTTTTATTTCGTAAGTTTCATAACTTTTCATACAATAATTATTGTTATTAAATATACCATAATTTATTTCAATATTAACTAATTTTTGGCAATTTTTGTCAGTATTTTGCCGATTCATCTCAATATTTTATGGCCATATTTAGCGATTTAGTTTCAATAAAAATCCGTCCTCTAATAATTATAACAAAACCACCATTAGTATGATAATAATAAAATTTTGTTAAATATTATGTTAAGTATGTATTATTTGGCCATTCCCTTTCTTTTCTAAGTATTTTTCAACAAAATTAATTGATTAATCGGACGCATTTCCCTCTAAATTCATTGAATGAAAAATAAGAAAAATTTGTCAAATGGAAAAGAATGAATCAACCAGTCATTTGGGAATAAAAAATTTTTTTTCTTTTTAAGAATTCTGCAACCACTTTTTTTTAAAAAAAATTCTCTTTTCTTTCCTTCTCGAATGTTGACAGGAAAACTTTATAAAAAATTTAACAAAAATTCTCTCTCTCTTTATTTTCTTTTTGTTTATCCAACAATATTTTCAAACACTTAAATTCTTTTAACTTTGACGAAAATAATTTAAAAGTTTTCAAATAAATCTGAGTTCGTCTGTCTATCATTTTTTTGAACTTACTACGTATTAGAAAGATTTTTTAAAATGTATGTAAATCTCACAAAACTAAAAATGAGTTGTCGTTAGTTAATTGTGTTCGAATTATGCTGACTCAATTGATACACTTTTTTAAGACTCTAAATTAAAATTTTCCAGCTGATTGTGAGATTAATTAGATTTTTTTCCTTTTTTATTGGTGACCGGTAAAATCGATTTTTCCGGAACCGGATTTGCAACTAGAGCCGGACCGGATCCAGCCGGATTTTTCCGGATTAATCCGGTCCGGTTTTAATCCTTTGGGACCCGGACCCCAGAAAAATCCGGCCGAATCCGGTCCGGCCCCGGTCACTCCTTTTTATATTCCCTAGATTATTTAGATATATTAACAATTATTTTGGGTATACTTAAACAAATTAAATGGGACATCAACCAACTACTGATATTTCTAATCCTTTGGTTGATACAAGTTGTGATTGTGATGGAAATGCTGAGGAATTAAAAACTAGTCCAAAACGAAGAAAAGGATATATTCCCTACTCAACAATTTATGAAAGTCAAATTGAAGTAAGAAAAAATGGTTATTGGATTCCTTGTCTTCCTGTTGAGGCAACAATTATTAAAGTACAAAGGGACACTTCTTCTGGATATCATATTTTAAATCCTTTTATGTAAGTGATTTTTTGAAATTTTTATTTTATTTTGGTTCCCCTTGCCTTCCTTTTTTAAATGAGGGTAGTAATGGTGCAAAATTGGGGAGACAGGTTAAAAACACGTTAAAAATTATTTTTTTCTGAAAATAATTTTATGTAAGTAATCGACCATGCTGATTACGAATCTAAGCTCAGCTTCCTGATCAGCATGGTCGATTATTTATATAAAATTATTTTCAGAAAAAAATTTTTTATGGTGTCTTTAATGTTTTTTAAAACTTAAAAAAATTTTTTAAACCACCCATAATTTAAACTCCCCAATTAAACCCTACGATTTGCACCATTGCCAAAATAAATATTTCAGTTTGAAGGTTAATAAATTTTTGAATTTATTTTAAATTTATTTTTCTAGTTATACAATTGAACTTGAACATGGTCGCTACAAATGGAGGGTTCTCAAAAGATATAAGGACTTTTCTTATTTATCAAGTCGTTTAATGGCGCACAGAGCTGCCGAAATGTTTAAAGCTCCAGTTAGAAGGTTTTTTCATTTTCGATAAAAAATTTTTTTACAAATAATTTTAGGGCAAGGCATCGAATTGAAGAAGTAATTGAAGGTACTACAATTGAAGAAGAAGATAAGCAAAAACAAGGAAAAGAGCCAAATTTATATCCGGTATTATTTGAAGTTTATTTAAAAGTTTGTTTTTTTGCATTTTTTAAACAATTTTGGATTTATTTTCCGTTTTTAAAATTAATTTCTAATTGTAATTTAAAAAATTTGTTTGGATCTTTATGTTAATTTTTCTATTTAGGTATTTACTCTCTCCAGGTCTCCTGAGATTGATGATTACAATGAGGGTTGTGTTGCCGATTCTACATGGGAAACAAGTGGAGGTTTTTATTTTCTAATATAGCGAAGGGTTTCTACAACATTTTTGATAAAGTAGATTTTATATTAACGAATGTTTTCGTTCTCCTCTTATTAAATCAAAACTACCACGTGGTTAGCCTGTGACTAAGAGACTAGCCAGGATCTTCAGCCCCCTCTTGCTACGTCCTTTGTCTTTACTATAATCGTTTAGACATTTAATTTTTCTGATTTCATTTATAAATATTTTCAATTTTTTAGTTTCTAAAACTTCAAATGAAAATAATTCAACCAACAATTCTTCACAACAAAATTCAACACACCAAATACCTTCAAAATTCCAAACAGCTAATCAATTACCCCATTTTCCTGTTTTACCTGATTCTGTTCTGTCAGACACACAAATGCAGGAAAGAGCAAAAAGATTGGAGAAATGGCTTCGTTCTGTACTTGAAATTCCCATAAACAGAGAATATCACGAAACGGTTTATTTTTTAAAGAAATTTAAATTAGAATATTTATAAGTTATTTAAAAATATTATAAATTTAATTTTTGACAATTAATGTCTAATTCAATCTTTAAACGAATTTTTATGTCAAGTTCTATTGAACAAGATACGACCATATTTTTAATATTTTTCAATTTTTTTAGTTCAATTTTTTGTTAGGTTAGCTCTGCGGATTATCGATTTAAAAATGACTTTCTAATATTTTTCATTCATTATGAATAATTTTATTTAATTTTTTGCGAGATCCAACCGATTTTGTTTTTTACAATTCATTCTTTATAAATAAAATTTTAAGGCAGAATTTCTCGACGTCTCTCGTTATTCTTTTATCAATGAACTTGGTGGAAAATACAAAGAAGGAAAAGTGAAGAAACGGCCCGGTGGTAACAAAGTATATATTGGGTGTAAACAGTTTTGCCTTAGTTGGCTTCTTCCTTGGAGCAGAAGGTTGATCTTAATTTTTTAAAGCTTAAATTTATTTAATTATTTAGATGGTTAATGGTCAAAGATACTTATGTAAGTTGAATTTTTGTAAAAGTAAAGTCGATTATTATATCGTGTCATTCTATTAGAGATCGATATTTTCAAAAATCCTGGATCTGGATTTAGTTTAGTAACCTGGACAGGATGCTTGAACTAGATCCAGAAACTGGATTTCTGGTCAAATTTAATCCAGGAAATCCAGACGTAAAAATCTGGATCTGGACTCTGGATTTAAGTTATTGACCTGGTCTGGACTCTGGATCCAGGAAAAATCCCGACTGGATCCAGATCCAGAACGATCTCTACATTTTATTATCTATTATTTCTATTTATTTTTTATTCAGGTAGCATATATGGATCCCTCAAATGAGCAAATACGTCTTGTCCTCCTTTTCGATGAACAATTTGAAATTAATTCACACGAGCTTTTAATTAATACAAAACAACGTCCTAAAGAATTTGTTGTTTCTAATCTTCAACAGTTTTGTTTTTTAAGAAAATTTTGAAAAAAAATTATTTTTTAGTGTTTTAATGTTAAAATGTTCAACAGAAGAAGATACTCAAGATTGGGTAGATACAATTAAAAATTGCACTGAAGAAAGAAGTGGGCAAATTTGGTTACATAAAAAGCGATATGGTTCTTCATTTCCTCAACGATTAAATTCTTATTGTCAATGGTTTGTGGATGCAAAAGATTGTTGGGAAAAAGTCTCTTCACTTATTGAAATGGCTAGAGAAGAAATTTTTATTGCAGATTGGTATGTTTAATTTTAATTATTCTGAAATTTTAGTAATTTATAAGAAATTTCTTATTTTTGTTTTCTAATAATTAAAAATATCCGGCGTTCGTTGCCGATTTTTTATTTATATGCCTTTTAGTTATAATAAGATGTAAATATAATTATTTTAAAGGTGGTTGAGCCCAGAAATATTTCTGCGACGTCCTATGGCTGAAGGTAATCACTGGCGTTTGGATTACACATTAAAAAGAAAAGCGGAAAAGGGTGTAAGAATATTTGTTCTTGTCTACAAGGAAATGGAGATGGCTTTGGGCCTGAAAAGTTTGTATTCCAAAAAATTGCTTCAAAGTCTTCATCCAAATATAAAAGTTTGTTGGAATTTTATATTAATTTTTTATGAATACGAGATTGCTAAAAATTTTAGGTTATGCGCCACCCTGATCATTATCTTGGTTCTGGAACTTTCTTTTGGGCGCATCACGAGAAATTGTTAATTATTGATCAATTGATTGCCTTTGTAGGTGGAATTGATTTTTGTTATGGACGTTGGGATGACTCAAAGCATCTTCTTACTGATTTGGGTTCTGTTCAGTTTGCTGATCAATCTACTAAAACAAAAGTAATTTTATAAGGAGTTTAACTTTTTAATATTTTGTTTCAAGGTCTCAGTTTCCACAACTGGTGATTTTCAAGAAATTAAATTAACTGAAGAGCATGAAACTAATGTTCAAGAGAATGGTGAAAATGTAAAAATATTAGAAAAAACAATCATTGATGGAAATAAACCAGCACAGGGAGGCCGTTTGAAGGATGTAATGCACCGTGCAGTTGAAAGAATTCGTTCTAGCCGTTCAAGAGAAGCAACTCCAACAACAACAAACACTACAAACCAATTATCGACTCCTGAAGAAGCTTTTACATCCGAAATAAAGAATGTTACTCCAAGTATATGTTTCAATAATTTTACTGGAAATTTGTCGGCGTTAGAAGAGCACGATTCCACATCAATAACTAATGAGGAAAATTCTACAAGAAATTTTGAAAGCAATGGAACTGAAAAAATAGATAAAGCAAAGTTTATTTTAATTTATTTTAATTAATTAAATCTTGATTTAAGGGAAAAAAGAAATTCCATTGGGGCTATTGCATTGCTTGCTTTTCCAATGGAACCTAAACAAAGAACTTTGGTGAGAAGAGTTGTTTCTAACTTGAGACCCGAAAAAGCAAGACGTCGATGGAGATTGGCATTACAGCCATCAGAAGAAACACATGACGAGTATATTGTTAAGTAAGTTGGTTTTAATTGAAATTAATAAAAATAATTATTTAAATATCCATTGGGGGGAGGTTGACTGTGAGATTTATAATCTTACGCCATTATTATAAACCTCTATTTTTTCATTTTAAATCATTTTTAAAGTTATTGTCGTCTCCAAGATTCAAAAGTAGATATGTCAGGACTTCAAGGAGCTGGTAAATTATGGCCTGGAAAGGATTATGTTAATTTTGTACACAAAGATTTTGTTGATGTTGATATTGCATTTAGTGGTATTTAACTTTAAAATTATTAGAACTTATTTTTAGTTTGTCAGATTTTATTAATCGCTATGATAAGCCAAGAATGCCATGGCACGACATCCATTCTATTGTTTATGGGTCGGCGGCCAGAGATGTAGCCAGACATTTTATTCAGCGATGGAATGCCACAAAGGTTTAATTTTCTAAAATTATTTTTAGTTTTTTTCTTTTTTAGACAGAAAAACTCAAAGACAACAATGCCTACCCCTATCTTGTTCCAAAATCATACAATTCAGTTCGAGTGCCCAAAATATTCTTTAGCCCCGAAACTCAACGTGTGGAAGTTCAAGTTTTGCGTTCAGTTTCTCATTGGTCAACATTAATTGATAAAACAGAAGATAGTATTCAACAAGCATATGTGTCCTTAATTGCAAATTCTCGTCATTATATTTACATTGAAAATCAATTTTTTGTTTCATTAATTAACAGTACGGATGTTAATAATGGTGGGTAAATTTAAAAAATCATTGACTAGGTTTTTAATTATGATTTTAAATATCTTATGAATAAACTCCAGATTTTAATTAAATTAAGATTAATTTTCTAGCATTTACAAAAATATATTGACTTTAAATTTGGTTAAATTATAAAATTTATCTTTTTTAATTTTTTTAGAAATATGTCGTGTCATTTGTGATAGAATAATCAGAGCTCATCGGTAAAATTTTCAGTTTAATTTTCATTCTCATAAAATTTAGGGAAAATGAAGCATTCCGTGTTTTTATATTAATTCCACTTTTACCTGGCTTCGAGGGGGATATTGGTGCTACTTCATATTCTGCATTGTTGGCTGTCCTCCATTGGACAATGCTTTCAATTGCTAAAGGAGAACATTCAATGGTTGAGAATTTAAGGCTAGCTGGTGTTGATAATGTACAGAAATATATTTCTTTTTGTTCACTTCGTACTTGGGATTTGCTTTGTGGGAAAATGGTTATCTTTTTAAATTTTTTTTAAATTTTTTGCCAACTTTTAGGTAACAGAGCTTGTTTACATTCATTCCAAATTGTTAATTGTTGATGATTTATATACAATTATTGGCAGTGCAAATATTAATGATCGTTCTCAAGCGGGTAATCGAGATTCTGAGGTTTAATATTTTTTTGTTTTTATTTTATTTAATTTTTAAGGTTTGTTTACTTATAACTGACCATGAATTTATCGACACAAAAATGAACTACCAACCTTATAAAGCCGGGAAATTTGCCTTTTCACTTCGAAAACGTTTAATGATGGAACATTTGGGTCTTTTAGAAGGAACATATCCGAGAGTTAAAGCACCTTCAACAATTCAAATTAATGTAGAAGATCCTATTAGTAATACATTTTATGAAGATATTTGGTGTAGAATAGCAGAATCAAATACTAGAATTTATGAAGAAGTGTTTAAAGTATTCCCTACAAATTTGGTATGTTTTTTGGGTTTTTGTTTAATAATTGGGGTGTTATTTTGAAATACATGGATTGTTGTTTCTATATCCAAATTTTGATTTTAGCGTCGCAGCTGAAAATTCTGGGAATTTTAGAAGGCCAAAAAATTTACATTCTTTGCCCACCACCTCCCCAGATTTTCCTTTTCCCCATTTTGGGGGGGGGGGGGGATTTCCTCGACTGCCCCCTGGCTACGGGCCTGGTTTTTACTCCTTTTCTATTACAAGTTGTAATCTTTTTATTATTTTTTCAAATTAATTTTAGGTCGAAACATTCGATGAACTTCTTGCTTGGCGTGCTGAAAACAAATTAGCAGATGATGATCAAGATGCAGCAAAGGAACGCCTTTCAAAACTTGTTGGGTTTTTGGTTGAGTTTCCAGTCAATTTTCTTCGTAAAGAAAATCTTTCCCCAACTTTTGCTTCAAAAGAAGGTTTAGTTTCTTCTTCGATTTTTACTTGATTCTCTCCAAAATTCTAAGCATCGGTTATTATTTTATACATGTATTATGAAAAAGTTTATTTCGACACACATTGAGGCCTTAATTTAGAATATTTATGTTTTTCTAATTGCTTAATTCTAATTAATTTTTATGAAATATTTAATGTCAGTGACATTTGTTTAGTAATCTCTATTTTGTATATTGAGAATTCGTTTTGAATTTTTTTAAAAATTCTTTCTTGTGATCATACAAAATAGAGAATATTTAAATTTTATTTTCACGACTTATTTTTCCTTATTTCTCTTGCCATACATAGTCTGTCGCTTTTCTGAACTTATTTAGTCAATTTGTTTTTATGACTTATAAAAATTGTACTATTTATAATATTTAGGAAAATATTCTTAAAAGATGCAGCTAATATATAAATATACTTATTTAATAATAAAATTTTTAAAATTTACTTCTCTATTATCGAACCTCATTTGTAGATACGTCCAATACCTCATTTTAAAATAAGTTTTAATAACTTTGGTTAGCCTCGATTTAAGAGGTAATTTTTTAGCCACAAGGGGTATATCTACAATTGAGGTCCGATTAACGATTAAATGTATGTAGCTTTTTGCATGGTTTTATATTTTATTCTACTTAATTTTTGATAAATTTTTTTTCTTTATTTTTGAATGAAATATATTAATCATTGAGATAATTTTCAAAAAAATACATTGCCTAATTTACTTTGATATAGTAAGGGAATAAAGTTTTAATATTAATTAAAAAAAATTATCATTATAATACTTTGAATAGTAGTACCATTTAAAGTTTCAAGTACCTAAACCAGTAGGCCATATTGAACAAGGCAAATATAAGTGGAAATAATATCCCTGCAATATTTATAATTTTCGAAAGCTAAGTAAATTTATTAGCTAAGTTTACTGAAAGTCCCAAACAAAGAATCCCTCAGTATTTCTAAAACTTACTTGAGATATAATCAGCCCTTTTTGCTGGATCTACTTCTGCTTCTAACCTTCTAATTAACCTTCCAATTAAAGGAAGTCTTCGGCCAAATATTAACAAACAATTTTGTTCTCTTTCGTTTTGTCTTCTTTGTTGTGGAGGGGATGGAAGTGAAATTGATGTTTTCGTCTCATTAAAATATTCTTTGTTATCGTTATTTATTTTAGTTGAATTTCTTTGAATACTTTCATCTGATGAAGATAATGTTTTTTGTTTTAAAATAGGTGGTGGAGGGGAATTAGGGATATCAGCCCTTCGAACCCAAACTTCTTCAATTTCATCATCCTTTAAATAAAATTTTAAAAAAGTATTTAGAAATAAATGGTAAAAATTAGGTTTTCGAGGCCCTGCTCTTTTGCAAAAATGGTACACCGAACATTCCTGATTCAAATATGTAGATCCGAATTTCCGGATCGAAAATAAAATAACCAACATATAAGTAAATAACTCTATTAATTACCCTCCCTCGAATAATTTCCCCACCTCTATTAGATACTCTCTCCAGCGAAAGGTTGAAACAATAATTACTACATTAAAAATAGTTATAATTAGCCTTCCTAAAATAACCTCTATTAATTACCCTCTCCAGAGAGAGGTCGAAACAATAATTACCTATGGCCTACAATAATTACCTACAATAATCTATTAACAATCCCGGTCATTGAAAGTACCTATTTGCTTCTACAAAATTTAGATAATTTACCATAAACTGTGTAGTCAATGGAGTGTAATGTAAACTCGGTCTATGAGTTAATAAGTTTGGAGGCATTTCATATCCTGGACATATTGATGGCCTTTGTGATTGAGGATTGAAAACTGAAAGTAAACGTCCCTCTCCTCTATATCTTGCCAATACTCTATTATTTCTTGTTCCTATTTTTAAATTATTTTTAAATTAAAAATAATATTTAAATACTTTTATAAAACATTCTAGAAGATATGTAAGTAACACAGGCAAATTCTAATAATGCCGAAAAAATAAATGCTAGGCAGGCTAGAAAAAATATATGATTTAAATAAATTAATAGATAGTAGTCGAATCTCGATAAAATGTTTTCCCGTTAGCACCTCCCTCTCCCTAAACGTCTACAAAATTCGGTCTTGATAGCGACTCTTATCGAGATTCGACATAATTTATAATTTCCTTACCACCACACCATATATCAATTGCTTTACTGTAACTAACAGGTGGAAGTTTAGCTAAAAATATTTATTTTAATTAAAAATTTGTGAATGATATTTTATTTAAATTGTTTTGAGCTACCATTTATTCCTGATGTTTGAGTAGTCATTGTTAATCTGAAAGAAAGATATTATCGAAGGTGAGGAAATAAAATATAAAAACTAACAAAGTAGTAACACCCAAAGTAACCCTTGCAGGAACAGCTGTACGATCTAACCAAAATGATACCCAGGAAACAATAACCAGCATAGATGATGGAATATATAATTGTAATAAATAATAACTAAATTGCCTTCTTAATTCTAAAACGGTACGTAAACATCTTTTAAAAGCAAAATAATTCTAATTTTTTTAAATTTCCTACGAGTAAGTCCCAGTATTTGTTTTGGATGTACAATATCCAGTAGAAACGTTAGTTAATTGAAAACTAGGTAGAGAGGATTCTAAACCCTGTTTTAATTGAACAGGTTGAATTTCTTTCCAACGATATTCTAAAATAAAAATAATCTGAGTACTTAATTATAATACAATATATACCAATATCAGTATCTGTATAGGCATATGATGCCATATCAATTAAACAAGTTTGGACATCCATTGGATAATACTTTTTTAAAAAGATGTTTAATTTTATTTGAAATTTAATATTTTCTTTACAAAAATGTTGAAATTCTCAAATTAGTTTTTTAGAGAAAATATAAAAAACCCTTCGCTACAATGCTTTGAATTATTATCAGGCGCAATAATATAGGACGTTAAAAATAAATTTATTAATTACCTGAAGAAACATTGGACAAGAAAGAACAAGTGAAATCCTCACACTATACAAAATTCTACCGTCCTAAATATTTTTAAAAAATAAATTTAAATTTAATTTTAAAAAATATTTTACTTTATGTATTCTAATAAGTACATTAGGTTTGTCAATTTCGTGTTTCCTAGCTTGCTTTTCATTCTAAAAAATTAGTTTTATAAAAATATTAAATTATTTATTTAGTACATATCTTTAATGGGGATCGGGATGGGAATGTTATACGAGAATCGAGATAGATATATTGGGAAATATCGAACAGAATTTTGTTTGAGATCTCGTCTCGGTTCAACTTCCAATTTTGAATTGTTTTTAAATAATTATTTTGTTTTGACTATCCTTTCAAAGTAATTTTTAAAAAAATTACTTGAAAAAAAGTATCAGGCATCCAAATTTGTTGTCCCGCAGTTAAAATAATATGATCGGGTTTTTGATCATTGGGTAATCCATATGCCAATCTTCCATCTACCCATTCCTCTCTAAATGTTAATTGTGTACTATATTCCATATTTACATCATCTATTTTTGATATACTACGTATTAACATATTTATATTTACAACAACTGGGCCGTGATCTCCTTTAAGAAAATTAGAAAATGTTTAAAGGAAAATAATTAATCTACTAAATTTTAATTTTGGGAAATTTTTTTATTAACAAAAGAAGGTCGGGGAAATGTCCATCTAGCCTAGTTGATAAAGCAAAATTAACCAGATAAAGAATGATTCGAACAGCTTTCAGGACTAAGCCTATCATATATATTTTATTTTAGTGAGGAATTCGGTTGATTTATTAAAATTTTTAATTTAAAAATTATTGAATAGAGGAAATTTTTTAAATTAAAAACCATCTAAGGAAAGATTTGTTCCTGGTGGACGAACACGCCAGTCATAGCCACGATTGAGCAATTGTGAGAGAATTTCAGTATCAGAACTTGGACTACTCCTAAAAAATAAATTTTTTTATTAATTTTTAAAAATAAATATTCAAATAAAGTTAAAAAGTTTTGTTAATTTCTAATAATTAATTCTAAAAAATATTCACCTTGAATTTACCATTTTAATATTACTTATTAAAATAAATAAAATAAAAATATTTTTAATATTATAAATTCCATTATTTAAGAAATTGATGAAAAATAATGAAAAAAATGATGAAATTAATAATTTAAATTTTTGTATAGAAAATAATAAATAAATTTTAATTTGTTTAGAAAACATGCAAAAAATAAAAATATTTTCTTAAATTAATTTTTTAATTAAAAATAAGATGAAAAGTATTTTTTAGATAATTAACTTTCACTCATTATATGTAGAAGAGACTGTCCATTTCCTCTTAACACCTCTTTACTTATTTAAAAATAATTATTTTTAAATAAAAATAACACGTAAAACTAGAAGAAAAAATACAAATAATAATAGCCTTTAAAGTTATTTTAAAAAAATAGATTTTTAATTGAAAACATGCAATTAGCAGCTTTGTAAATATGTAAAAAGGTATTATTTCTGCTTTTTTCCTTGGGGAAATTTTTTTGTTTTATTTTTTGAAATGATTATCTGCAAAATTTCTAATAATATTTAAATTTTGTTTTAATTTTTAGAAAATCTTTCGACAAAAATTAATTTATGGAAAAATGTATTTTAACTTTTAGTTAATTGTAAAAGAACAAAAACTATTTTAAGAATTTTTGGAGATGTGTAAAAAATATGTTTTCCAAATGAGTTGAGAAATTTTGGTTTCATTTCCAGTATAAATATATTGGGATAAAAGCAGCTTTACGGTATGTCGGAAAAATTTTAAAGTTTTTAATATTTTTGAAATTTAAAAGAAAAGTCCAAAATCCAACAAAAAATAAATTTATAAAATAAAAAAAATTGACCAAAGGCTAAATATAATTACTAAAAATATAAAAAGGATTAGTAAATAATTTTCTATTTTTATCATTTATTATGTCATAAACAAAGTTTTTTTCTGTAAAAACTAAATAAATAAATGTATTTTAATCCTTAGAATATCCTGTCAAACACATGTTCCCCTAAAAAGAATTTTATGAACATTTAAAATCCAAAAATGTTGCCGATGTGAGAGAAAAGGAGGGAAGAATAAAAAATGAAAGAAAAATCAGAGTAAAACCATCTGGTACTAAAAAGTTTTTAAATTTATAAAAATTAATTTTTAATTAAAATATTACAATTCAATAATTAATTAAGTTGCTAAAAATATAAAAAATTGGTATTTAAATTAATAAATATGTCTAAAAATAAAATAATTTTAATGAAAAATTTATAAAATTTGAATTTTAGAATTAAAATATTAAATATAAATTTATTTAAAATTTAAAATTAAATATTAATTAATTTTTAAATAAAATCATAAAAAATTTTATGAATTACTAAATTAGTATTTATGTGAAAATAAAGATAATAGAATTTTTGATAGACAGATTTTAAATTAGTATAGCACCCCGTCACCCGACCCGATGAATGTTTAGAAAAAACCCCGATCCAAACCCCGAAGGCTCTACCTCGGTAAAACTCGAAACCCGGCACTCCCGCCCTCGAAGGCTCGGGGTCTACCCGATATAAAAGAGATTTGTTATTTAAAAATAATTTATTTTTGGCCAAAAATTAACAAGTAAAACACCTTATTGTTTAAAATTATATTTAAATAATTTTTTAATTATTATTTTCTAATGGTTGTTTTCATATAATTTTTTTGTCATTTATTAAATGTACTTTAAGGAAAACATTTCTTGGCCACCAAATCTGGCAAAATCCCACACGCAAATATTACCAAAAAAAAGTAATTTTCATTAGATAAAAACAAAAAAAGTAGAAAGAGGGGGTATAAAAAATAATAAAAAAATATTTTTAAATAATTAAAAAGAAAATAATATGTATTAAACAAGAATCCGGGTAATCTCTTAGTTAAATAGCAGAGGTGTGCCGAAACAAAATTTAAAAATCATTACAACCGTGTAACTTTCCAAATCATCAAAAGGGACATGGCACCTAAAAAAGGACAAAAAAGTGTGGCAATGCAGAAAAGGGTCGAGAAGGTCAAAAAAGGAGGAAAATGTCCCTAAAAAGAGGTAAAAGGAGGTTCAATTTTTACGAGGAAGAAAAGAATATTTAATCTGGATATTTTTTCAGAAGTAGTGCTCGGACATCCTAAAATTGCCAATCTATTTTTAGCCTAAATATTTATTTTAATTTTTATTTTAATTTTGTTAAAAAATAAATTGGGAAATATTCTGAATGGATATTCTTTTTATTTGCCAAATAAAATTTTTTGTATTAAATAAAGAGTATTTTTAGCTTAACTAGCCAAATTTATATTTTTTTATTTTAATGCATTAATAAAAAATAGGAATTTTGTGCAAAAAAAATCTAAAATTTGAAATTTTAGGGAAAAATAAATGAAAATAAAAAATAAAAGGCTAATTAAAGGAATTGATGAATTCATTGAATTTATTAAATAATATTCGAAAAAAAAGAATAAAAATAACTATAAAATATTAATTTAGAAATTAAAATAATGTAAAGCATATAGCTATTTAATTCCTAAAGCTGTGCAGCAGGCGGTGTTGTGTAATGGCTAACAGTCTAACAGAACAGTCCGATCTACTGAAGCTGGTTGGCTCCCAGCCGCCGATTAACCTTTTGCAATAGCTGAAGGAGAGAAATAGCTACTAAAGCCCAGCTGCTTTACTATAAAATAAAAATTTCTTTTAATAAATTGAACAAGAATTTCTTACAGACTTGTAGAGGAGAAAGGTAATTATTAAAAAATAATTAAAAAAAATATTTTTTTAAATTTATTTTACAAATAATTGGAAGGTTCAGAAAAAATTTTTTTATTAAATAAAAAAATAAAAAAAAATAATAAAAAAGCCAACAATAATTAATTAATACTTGAAGAGGAAAAATAAAATGAAAGAAAAAAGAAATCTGTGCGCGACGGATAAGGCAAAAGGAAATGAAACGGAAAAAAGACAAAAAATAAATAAATTTTATTTTTTAAAATAAAATTAAAAAATATTTAATTTTTGTAAAATTATTTAAGAAAATATAGACAAAAATAAATAAAAAATAAAAATTAATAGAAAAATAAAAATATTTTTTTTTCGTCCAAAAATTCATCAGTTGTATAAATAAATAAATATTCTAAAAATCCAAAAAAATAATATTTTTATATTTTTCTTTTCCTTAAAAATATTATTTTCATATTATTTAGTGAAAAAAGTGCTTTTTAAAAATAAAAGACAAAAAGGTGTGCGTGCAATTTTCCCATATTTAAAATTTAATTTAAATAAATAACTAAAAAAATAATTTTTAAACTAAAAAGGAACATTTTAAAAGTTAAAAAATTTTTTAAACAAAAAAAATTAGTAAATATTTAAAAAATATAAGAAGTTTAAAGTTAAAAATAAAAATAATTAGCAAACAAAATTTTTAAAATAAGAGAGTTTTTAGTTTTGTTTTGAAGTGGTTTATAGTTGTCAAGAAAGAGTTTTTTAAGCGGTTAATTAACAAAAACAAACAAATGAAAATATTTTTGATTTTAAGTAATTTTACTGAAAATTTAAAATATTTAAAAGTTAAAATAATGAAATAATTTTATTTGAATTATGTTAATTGTTTAATTAGAATTAAAGTGAATGGAAATTTTATTTCTTTATAGAGTATGAGCGAGGTAAAAGTTTAATCCCGGGCAGGCTTCGATCCTGCGACCTCCTGCTGCTGGCAGTAGTAACAACACGTACAGGTGCTCACACGTACAGGTGCTCAACGGACTGAGCTACTGGGACGGTGCTTTCACCCTCTCTTTTAATAGATAGACCTTATAGCCCCGCCTATTGAGCGTTTTAAATGCTAGTCAATTGGATCGTCCTTACTATATAATTAATCGAGTAATCCAAATATCTTTTGATTAAGAAAATATGAGAGGATACATATAAAATAATTAAAAATATTTCTTTTGATTGTCTATTCAAATTTATTTGTTAATTAAATAATTAATTTAAAATATTTTTGATTTTATAAAAATATTCTTTTTTACCTTTCAATTTCCTCCTTTTTATCATCAAAAAACTTCAAAACTTCTTCTTTCGTTGTTGATTCAATAATTCCTTCTGCCGCTAACCAATTATTATTTAAATATTTACTATTAATTGTTGTTGTAGCCTTAATTTCTTTAAAATTATTTTCTTCTTCTTTTTCGTCCAAATCTTCCAAATAATATTCAATTTCTTCATATATAGGCTCTTCTTCATCATTATTATCAATAAAATCTTTATCTTCCTCCAATTGTTTATTTCTTTTTTTATTTTCACTAAATATAGCTAAACGGGGAGGTTGGACAAATAATTCATTATTATTATTGTTTTGACGAATTTTATGTAATAATTTATTTGGGGATGGAATTGGTGTTGTATTATTTATTAAAATATTTTTTGTAACACTCATTGATTGACTTAAATTTATAAAATTTTTTAAATAAAATATATGGGCGATTAAATTAATAGAAAATACCTAATAGTAATTTGAATTTTGGAAACTCCTATTTTATTTTTTCGCAACTTTTTTATCCTTAATCCAATCCGAGCGAAGCTTATATCATTCGAAATCTCTCGATGAGCGCTATCTTTTTACTGGATGGATCAAGTCTGCCCATAAAAAGTTACTAGTCGGTAAGTGTGGAAAACAACGATTCTTACACTTTTGTTTTGTAACTAGTATTTTACAAGTGATCAAGACTAAATTCATCCGGTTGAGAAAAAAGATAGCGATTATCAAGAGCTTTCAAATGATATAAGCTTCACTCAGATTGGATTAACGATCAAAAATTTATATCCGATCAGATTAGGAAAAAAGGAAAATGGGGGGAGATAATAGACAAGTATCCTATCCTTTTATCGAAATATTGAAGGGAAGGGGGGGGGGCAAGAAAAATTAAATTTTAAATAAAAATATTCAAAAAACAAACCAATAATTAGCAAGAAAGACTTGATTAAATATTATAAAAAATAAAAATAAATTAAATCCTCCCTTCAAAATCAAATAAATAAAAGAAATAATTAAAACAAATAATTTAGTAATTAAATAAATAAATGTTGAAATAATTAAATTTAAAAGAAAAAATAAAATATTTAATTTTTCAGAAAAATTAGTAATTTTATAAAGGCAATTTTGTGTTGTTTTATTTAAATCAACAAAAAATTCTTTAAAATTTTCTTTTATTTGAAAAATAGCGGATATTTTATTATTAAATGTTGTTAAAGACTCTCGACAATTGACAAAAATTATTTGAAGATGTTTTGTCGATAAAGAAAAATTTAAAAAAGAATAAAAGGAATTGTTGTTGTTTAGGGGGCAATTTAACAATACTTTTTTGTTAATTTTATTTTTGTTTTTGTTGTTGCTCTTCATTTATTTATTGACGTCAATTGTTGTATATTAGGAAACAAATAATGTATTTTATAACTTAAAAAAATTATTCTTCAAAGTAAAGTTTCCGAATTTATTATATTTCAGAACAGAAATTTTATGAAGTTTGGGTTATAAAAATAGGTTGAGGTTGGGTTGGAGAGAAAAGAGGATTTGCAAATTACAAGGATAAAAAATTTGATTTTTATTTGAAATAAAAAACTCTCTCTAGTTATAATTTTTATTTATTTTGGCCTCTGATCTTTTTAAGAGCTTACGGAACAGAACCACTAGAATTAATTACACGTCCAAAACCTCAAAAACTTATGAATAAGAGATACAGAACATTTTTTCCGGCCTCAAGTAATTGTAATAAGACAGGGTTCTCATTCATACTTTTTTAAAAGTAATCTACTTTTAAATCGACCTCGAGGAATTGTATAAAACATTTTCAAAATAGTGAGGCGAGAATAACGAGAGCTTATTTGTACAGGATCACTTAGGAGGAAATCAACGCATACCTCGATTCATTAATCACAAAACTTCCTAATTATTATTTTTAAGGACAAACATTAAATGTATCTATAATAAACCCTATGTGGAGGTTTCCCAAATATAATTAAAATATAAAATAACTTTATTAATTTAAAAAAAGACTAAATGCTTGTCATTTCCATACTATAAAGTTGTATATTTTTTAGCATTTTATAAATAGAAAAATTTGTGTCTGTCTGTATTATATCTCTTTTTCATTATTTATTAAATGACCAATTTGTGGAGATACTTTTATAAATTTAGCGCTAATTTGCCTCAAATTTCTGACATTACTAATATGTGTATTGGCAAATGTTTTTCCCTATTTATATTAATTTAATAAACAGAAAAAGCACAACTAAATCCACAGACTTTCGAAAATTCAAAATATAATTTTATAAGTATCCAAAATTAACTAGAATATTTTTGCTCAATTTTACTATGTTCTAGAATACTCTTAAACAATTAAAGTTAACTAAAAAGACTGCAAATTCAAAATAAAATTTTTTTAAATTTATCCCTCAAAATAAAATTTTATTTCCAAATCCCAAATAATTTTTAATAAAAATAAAAGTAATACTTATTTAAAAAACAGAAGCAAATCGATAGAAAAAAAAACTTAGGAAAACATAAGAACACACAAAGTTGAATTGTTTCTTGCAGAAATTCCAAATAATTCTTCAAAAAATTTATTTTGATTTATACATCAATCTAAAATTTAAAATTGTTATTAAAATTTTTTCTGTTTAAACGATATAAAATGATTACTCACTTGAAGGGAATATAATTAGCGAGGAGTAGAGATCGGCCTGGGTCTGGATTAAAGCCTGAGTTTTTCCTGTACTCAGAGTCCAGCACCATGTATTTTTTGACCTTCCTCGATTTTTCCTGGACTACAGGCCCAGGATCCGGCCTAAGTCAATAAATCAAACCCAGAGCCCAGGAACAGGCCTAGGCTTTTCAAAAATACCTATCTCTAATGAGGAGAATATACAAAAAATTAACTTTGCCTTATCGAGAAAAATCCAAACCAAAAATCCTAAATTTTTGAGTGTCCATTCTAATAAAATATAAAATTTTTAAATACCTTAATTCTCCAACATTTAAGAAGACAAATGACGAATACTACGCCGATGCGTTGGCTTATCTTCTTTTTCAAGTTTAGTGTTTTTCTTAGTAAATTTAGCCTTTTTCCCTTTTTTGTTTCCAATATTCTTCGATTTCTCTTTATCCTTCTTATCATCTTCATTATTTCCCCCTTTCATCTCAACATCTTCATTTGGAGGACTTTTGACTGGTTCGACTTGCAATTCAAAACTATCAAGTTCTTGAAAACTCTTCTCCAAAGTATTTATCTCTGCCTAAATAAATTTAAATAAATATTTAAAATATTAAAAAAGAGAAGGCAAAACAGATACATAAAAGTAAAGTTCGAAGGCATTACAAGTGTTTAAAAAATTTCTAAAAAATTCTTAGAGGGAAGAGCTTTAAAATCGTGTCGGGCTAACTCGCGGAACGACCAACTTACGAAATGACCAAAACACGGAATAATTTAAAAATCAAAATTTTTTGAAACTCTGAATATGTATTTTTAAAAAATAAGACTTTTTTAACCAATTATTAGTTTAAAAGACAGAATTAAAAAATTCTGATTTCTAAGAATATTCTGATTTTTAAAATATTCCGTGTTTTGGTCGTTCTGTGAGATGATCGTTCCTTGATTTGGTAATTCCTTGATTTGTCGTTCCGCGACCTGTCTGTTCCGTGAGTTGGAATTCCTCGAGTTAGCCCTCACCCCTTTAAAATAATAAAATTAAATACCAAACATTCCTCGCTAAGCTTTTCATCAGCTTTTGCTTCCAATTGCATACTATAACGCTTAACAATTTCATCAACATTTTTCTGGGGATTGCGCAAATTAGCCGGCATCGTCAGACGTCGAGGTTTCATTCGTTTTTTAAGTTTGGGAGTTGAATAAATACGAATCAAAGGCTCCTTAGAATTATTTTTAGATGTTGAAGGCATTTTTAACTAAAAAACTAAAAAACTTTTAGACCAAAAAAAGTTAGAAAAACAATAAAAAGCAACAAAAAAAATCAATTAAAGACAGTGATGAATTTAAAGAATATTTGCCCGCCTTAATAAACAGAACGCCAAATAAAGACAATTAATTATTTTAAATTTTTGTGAGTCTAAATTTTACGGTACACCTCAATTGAGTCCGCACGATTGAGTCCCCACGATTGAGTCCGCACGATTGAGTCCCCACGATTGAGTCCCGGCACAATTGAGTCCCCACGATTGAGTCCGCACGATTGAGTCCCCGTTGTATATACCTCAATTGAGTCCCCGTGGATTTAATTATATTAAAAAAGATTAAGAGGGATATTTGGGGATTTGGAGGGATTAATGTTAATATCAGGGGACTTGTATGCGACATCGAGGTATCAAGATGGATATTGGTGAATATCAAGGGATATAAGTAGATTTAAGCGGGGATATCGGTTGAATTAAGGCAGATATCAACAAATTCGGAGAGATTAAGATGGATATTGTGGGTTTGGGGATTAGGAGGGATATCGAGAGATTTTTTGAATGACAGCTCATTCGAAAGTAGTGAGTCGAATGACACGAAAATCAACATTGTTGAACAAGTTCTCGCCGAGATATGGGGCTCGAAATGGTGGATTTTTTGGTGGAATTCCATGGGGAATTTTTGTTGCGAAACATTCGAATAAACAAAAAATAGCTCATTCGAAAGGGATCGACGAGATGAGTTGAATAAGACCAAAATCAAGTTGATTGAATGATTCTGAACAAATTTTGACCAACAGAATCTTCGCTGGAAAAACTTTTTGTGCTGCTATGGAGGGTAGGGGAAACTATCTAAATTACGAACGTAAAAACTCCTTCCTAATTTCCGGACTCCGGCAGAATTTACCTGGATACGGGAGAAAATCAAAATGTGAAAAAAAAAATAAAAAAATATTTTTTAAAAATTTTATCAAAAAAATTAAAAAAAACCAAAGTCTAGCTTCAATTAGTGTGCCAAAGAAGGGCCTTTCTTTCGTTATTTGTTCTCCTAAGTTCACCACCTTCGTTCCTTCAGAAACTGTGAACTTGAAAATCGCCAGTCAGAAACTGACGAAAATCAACTAAAAAATTTTAAAAATAAAAACGAAAAACAAAATAAAAATTCCAAACCTTTTCAAATTTCCCATCGTTGCAGCCGTGGGATGAAGTCCGACACGTGATGAGCAAAGTTAGACCAACCTGAAATATAAAATCTAAAATTAAAAAATAAAAATTAAACTTTTACCTACACAAGATTCTCGTCCTCCCTCTCGTCCTCATTGAGAAAATTCAGTGCTCGGATGGACTTGAGTGGATGCTCGGTCAACTAATTAACAAAATTAGTTGCAAACCCCAAAAGAAAAACAAAAAAATAAAAAAAAAACAATAAAAAAATCTAGGAAAATAATGCGGGTACACAAACGTCCCCCTTTGGGTGGGTACACAACCGGCGGTACACAAACGGCCGGTACACAAGTGTCCCCTACCGGGAATTTTTAAAATTAAATCCACGGGGACTCAATTGAGGTATATACAACGGGGACTCAATTGTGCCGGGACTCAATCGTGGGGACTCAATCGTGCGGACTCAATCGTGGGGACTCAATCGTGCGGACTCAGTTGAACTGCTCCGTAAATTTTAATTTTTAAGATTTTATTTTAATTTGTTGAGAAATTTTTTACTTTTTAGCTAATAAAAAACCATGAGAAAATTGCATATTGAAATCAGATTGGAAAATTCAACGTCAAAAAATGATGAAAACGACGAAAATTTAATTAATAAAATTAAGCAAATTATGCCTCAATTTATTTTTAATCCTCATACATTTTTGCCAAGTGATGAACAAAACAATAAAATTGGAAAAAATATTTTACGGATTTTTATTGAATGTTTAGATAAATCGAGAGGAAGTGTAAGTGATTTTTTTTAATTAAATTTTTTAAGTTTTTAAATATTTTTTTCTGGCTATTTATCTGAGGGGACACGCCCAAGTAGGCGCGCGGTTATAACGGCCCAAAGCCATAACTTGCGGGAAAATTTGTTAGCCCTTATCAATTTTGGTACCAATCACTTTAGCTATGAGAGGATTGTTTAATACTAAATTTTTTAGATTCGAAAATCTTGAAGCAGGTTATGGCTTTGCGCCGTTATGGCCGCGCGCCTACACTTATCTGAGTTTTAACTTATTTGATTCGTATTTTTCTTTAACAATAAGTCAGTTCCGTATAGCATTTAGCTTCCTGTTTCTCAAGGGCTCCACTTTTCGTTTTGTCAAAGAAAAACATTTTAAAATTAACTCTTGTTACGCCCAAATTCCGTTTTAGTTTATTTATTGAAGCCATCTTACATTACAAATATTTTTATATTTTATAAATTAGGCAATTGGGTGTTGAATCATATAAAATGTTTTTTAACATTTCATTAATTTTTAAGAGAATTGATCTCACCACTGAGCTCTTAGATGCTGCCAATTATTATTTTTATACTGCAAATAATTATGGTGAAATGGCCGAAGAAGTTGCTGAAAAGGAAAATAATGAGGGAGATAGCCAAGTTGGCACATTTCAATGGGAATTACCAACAATTGAATTTGAAGGATTTTGGGAAAATTTAATTTATGAAATTGATGATTGTCCAAAATCTAAGGTTTTTTATAAAATAAAAAAATGATTCTGAAAATTAAATTTTAGCTAACAAACTTTATTTCGACTTCTTTGAAGTTTGCTCGTTTTGGCGTCGATCCAAAAATTCTATCAAGAAATCATCTCATACTTTTGAATGGTATTTTTTATTTGAACTAGCTTTTTTGACGTATCCCTTTATTTTATATGTTCACATATAGGATCCTTAATTTTTGACATGTCAAAAAATTTACTAAAATTTTCTTTTAAAATTTTTTAATTTCGTTTAGAACTAATAAGGGAACATCCCGAACTATGTAAAATAAATTGTAAATTTTTTGGGATCAAAGTAGAGCTGTAAGCTTAGGCACTTTTTAGTTTTCAACTATAATTTCAACTTTCTCTACATTTTAAAAAATATTTTTTATATTTTATGTCCTCCTGGTACCGGCAAAACATCTCTATGCAAAGCTGTCGCTCAAAGAATGGCACTACAAACACAACGAATTTTTAATCAAACACTTTTTGTTGAAGTTAACAGTCACAGTCTTTTCTCAAAATGGTTTAGCGAAGTAGAAATTTTTTCAATTTTTATTTTAAAATTAAAATTTAATTTTTAGAGTGGAAAACTTATCCAAAAATTATTTTCTAAAATTGAAGAATTGGCAGAAAGAACAGATCGTTTAATTTTTGTTTTGATTGATGAGGTTTTTTAGAAAATATTTAGAATTTTTATTAATTATTTAAAAAGGTTGAAAGTCTAACAATTGGACGGGAGACTGCTTTTTCTGGAAATGATCCGACAGATTCAATTAGAGCAGTTAATGCAATGCTTACACAACTGGATAGATTAAAACGGTAATAATTATTTTTAATAAAATTATTTGACGATTTCTTATTATTATCGTTAGCTACTGGTCGAATTCGGGTCCGTGATTCCAGATAAATAAATTTTAACCTCATATTCGACCAAGGCCGTAGTCAGGGGAATTCCCCGACCCCGAAATGGGGAAAAGGAAAAAATCTGGGGACACTCGTTTGTCCAGTCCACCTTAAAAATATCGAGAAAAACAACTTTTTCCTCATTTTTCTAATGGACCAGTAAACTCGACCTTTACCCCTTTTGATTTTTTAACCACATAACAATAAAAAAGAATAATAATTTTCCAAAATTAATTAATTTTTAAAATATTTTTTAAACAGTTTTTCAAATGTTTTTATTCTCTGTACTTCAAATATTGAAAGGGCATTGGATGCTGCTTTTGTTGACAGAATTGGATTATCTTTATATTTTAAAAGCCCTACTTTGGAAATAATAAATTCAATTTTAACAAATTGTGTTGATGAAATGAAGAGAGTTAAAGGACTTTTTGCTAATGATGGTGGACATCCTGAGTGGTGGACTGAAAATTTAGAAAATGAAATATTTAAAAAGATTTCAAGGTTTTTATTTTTTTATTTTTTATGATTTTTAATTGAGAATTTTTTGAAGTTTAAATTTGAATACCTAACATAACTGGACATAACTTTCTTTGAATTTAGCTTACCAATGAGTAACTTTAAAGAATTTTTGCCAGAAAAGATTAGGTAAAATTTCTCAATACTTTCGTCGATTTAATGAAGGGTTTTTCCATGAAAATGTCTTATCTCTTAGCAATTAATACTTTGCAATTACTGCTCAAATATACTTAATTCTATACATAATTTATGGGAGATTTTAGAAATTAATTTTTAAAATCCATTTAAATATTTTTCTCTAATAGAAAATTCTTCAAAAAGATTTTCGTTCTTTATAAATTTATCAAAAAAAATTTTTTCTTAACCTTTCCAGTAATTGTCAAAAAGCAAAATTAAGTGGAAGGGCTCTTCGAAAATTGCCAACAATTGCTTATTCAATAGCTGCACAAAATTTAGATGAAAATGATTATGGAAGTGAAGGATCGTCAAATATTACATTTCCAGAATTTATTTATTGTCTTTATATAGAATCTGAAAGATTAATAAATAAGGAAATTGAGGAAGAAGAAAAAAACTTTAAAGAAGAAAATAAAACTTCGCCATTCAATTTTGATAAATTACGAGATTGCTTACAATTAACACAACAAAATGGTTTTTAATTGTTTGTTTTTTAACTTTTTTTAAATTTTTTCAAAAATAAACGTTTAATTTATTTTGAAAAATTATCAAAAGTGAACACCTTCTTGATCGGAACATTAAATTTTAATAAAACCTCAAATTAGGAATTTAGGATTAATTTTCTGTTAATAATTCTTGAACTAAAAAATTGTTACATAAACAAAGAAATTAACTGAAAGTTTTATCTTACTAGTACCAAAATCCTTTTTTAAAATAAGTGATTATAAAAATATATGTGAGTAAAATGAGAAAATTAGGGATTATCTAAACTTTAAGATTTTCTTTTTTAAATTGAAAAAATTGTACCGTTTTATGATTTATGTTTTAAAATTGTTACGTTTTTCTTTGTTTTTTATTTACATACTTTAAAATATTTACATAAAGAATTAATGGAAGTCCTTATTTCAAAGTCAGAAGCCAATTAAAAATTAAATTTTACAAATTTAATCGTCTGATTAATTACAGTAATTTGTAAAAAAAATTAAAAAATGATTAAAAAATAGGATTTAAAATAACAAAAGAATCCCTAAAATATTTTTTTCGAAAGGATTCTGATTGAAAAATATTTTTGTTGTCAAAAGTTTAAAAGTTTTTGGTTTTGCTATATAAAATTGTTTGTTTCATTATTTTCATTTAAATTCTTTTCTCCATATTCCCTTCCATTTGAATGAAATGAAAGTTTTTATATTTTTTCTCCTTTGTTTTTCAAAGAAAAGTTTTGAACAAAACTTGACACAATTATTAACTACAACATTTAATTCAAATATAACAACAACAAAAACAACACTAAAAACAACAACACCTGCACAAACAACAACCAAAACTTCTTTTTCCTCTTCCAGCCAAACAATACCTTTACAACTAAAAGTTGGTTTGTTGGCGGCAAATGGAAGTTTATATCGTTCCCTTTATGGCTTTGGACAAAGCACACCAGCAATTAGTATAGCTTTACAAAGAGCTAGGGATGAACATTTAATTGATAATGTTAATTTTACGTATGTAAATTTTAGAAATTAAATAATATTAGATGGTATTATTGGGTTATCCGTTCGAATTTCCTTTTCCGTCTTCTATTTTCAAAAGGAATGATTGCAGTGATGGGAAAGTTCCAAAATTTCTCTGGAACCGGTTCCAGTTCTGGAACTGCTTTATTAATTTTGGAGGTTCCAGTTACGGAACTTGAACTTTTTATCACTGATTGATTGCTCAAAATTTGCGAATCAAACTTTTCTGCAAAAAACATTTAGGAAAAAAATTTTCAATAGAATCTTTAGGTAATTTGGTCCAAAAATTTTTTGATTGAATACATAAATTATATGCTTGTTGATCTTTTTGAGAGTAAGTAAAGAATATAAAAAATAGAATTCGGGCGGATAACCCGATAATACTTTTTAGTTTTACATGGAAAATATGTGATTGTGATCAAGTTTTAACTGCTGGATATGTTAATGAATTAATCTTAAATACAAGTGTTGATGTTATTATTGGACCACCATGTGTTACTTGTAAATATTAAAAATTAAACATTTACTATTTCCTTACTCCTCTTATTTTCCTATCAAAAACTTAGATCCCTTCATTTATAATTAACGATTAAATTAATAGAAATTATTATAACACGCAAAATTAGTATTGTTCTGGTAGTTTGTCTCATAATTTTGTTTAGTCTAATAATATCTTATAATTTGTCTCATAACCTTCACGTAACCTTTTAGTCTTCTAAAATTAATTTAATAATTTTTATATAAATTGTTTTTTAATTACTCTAAAGCTGCAATTGTTGCTGGTTATGCTCCCGCATTTTACAATATTCCAATATATCTTTGGGGTGCAACAATGGCTTCATCATTAAATGACCAAACAGTATATCCAACATTAGTTAATATAAATTCAAACACTAAAATGTATATTTAAATGAAGAATTATTAAAATAAAAAAAATAAATTTAAAGGCTTTCATTAGCTATACAGGCTGTTTTAACACAATTTAATTGGTTTGAAGTATCTTTAATTTATGTTCCGGATAATGTTAGAAAGTATTTAAATATAAATAATATTTTCTTTGACTAAAGTAATTTTTAGAATGGGTTTATTCTTTCCTCAAGATTTTGAAACAGTTATAAGTAATAATTCGAATTTTACAATTGTTTACAGGCAACAAATGGATTCAACATCTAAATCAATGAAAGATACACTTTTACAATTGCAGAATCGATCAAGAAGTTGGAATTAAACTTAAATATATTTAAATAATACATTAATTATTGTGGGATCGAAATGATTTCTAATGAAATTCGAAATGAAGAAATATGTATATTTTATTGCGTGTTTTTCGGAAAATTTCACAAAATATAGGGGGATACACAATGATAACAAAATTAAAATAAAATCTGTTACTAAAATTAAATTTCAAAATATTTTAAAGTCGTTGTAGCTGCCTTTGATACATTGCAAGATAGGAGAACATTTTTGTTAGCATTATATGACCTTGGAATTGCTAAAAGCAATGAATATGTTTTTATTATTGGACAATTAAGGAATTTAGGAATGTTACAAAGGGGTAAATAAAAATGAAAATTAAATAAAAAATGAATTAAATTAAAGTATCTACTGGAGTAAATTCAACACAATATACAAATTTTTGGAGAGATATTAACAATCAAAGTGATGGGCGAGATAATGATGCGTTAATGGCTAGTAGAAGAGTAATTATTGTATGTGTTGTTCTGATAAGTGTTAAACTTTTTAATTGAGAATTCTTTTAGGGTTAAATAAAAATAAAGACAAAACCAGGCTTGGTAATGGATACGGATATGGATACAGAAAAGTTCAAAATGCCTGCGGATATCCGTCTGTATCCACCGTAAATATCTGGATACGGATACTAAAATCTATGTCACTTACCAAGTCTGGACAAAACTAATATATGTTTTTTGTCTGAACAGGAGTTATAATTAAATATTTAAATTAAACACAGGTTGACTTAGAAGACCAATCTAATGATCAAATAAATGCATTTATGCAAAAAGTATCATCAATGTTTGGAGCACCTCCTTTTAACTGTAAAGATGAATGTATGGGTGCAATTAATGAAAGAATAGTTAAAAAAAATAATTTTTTTTTAAAAATAAATTTAGCCTTGTTCATATGCTATAAGTTTACACGATGCTACATATGCTTACTTTTTATCGTTAAATAAAACAGCTGAAAAATATGGATATTTATCAGTTAATTTAGCAAGAAATGGGTCTTTAATTAATAATATGAGTGAAGGGGAATTTTCTGGTAAAAATTAAAAAAAATTTTATTAAACAAAAATTATTGAGAAAATAAAAAAAAACATGGGGGTCCACCAGAGGTGGGTCGGAACAGTCGGAGGTGTCGGAAATCGGAAGAGCCAGAAGTCGGAACTGGCTCAAAAGTCGGAACTCGGAAAGAAAAAAAACACCGGAAATCGGAAATAAAATTTTTATTTTCAAAACTGAATTAATATAACCTTTGGGTCCACAAGGATATCTTATGAAGATATACATAATACACCCATAACAAAATAAAAATTAAAAAAATAAAATTTTAGAAAATTAAATATTTCAAAAAATAATATTTTTAAGGACAAACAGGGCGTGTAATTTTGGATAAAACAGGAAATCGTCAACCAAATTTTTATGTAACAATTTTGGATGCTTCAGATCAACCAACTGTTATAATGAATATTTCTATTGTTTTGGGAGTAATTGTAAGTTTAAAATTAAATGGAAAAAATTAAATGAATTTTAATTTTTGAACGTCGCTAAACGATATACTGATGAATCTGTTATTTGGGCAAATAGAGGAGGTAAAAGACCTTTATATAAACCAATATGTGGATATACTGGGACAGAATGTCCACAAAATATAACAACATATATATTAATTGGTGTTGGTTTGGTTTTGTTATTGTTAGTAGCTACTTTAGGTGGAATTGGTTATGCTGTTCGGTTAGTAGTTAAATATTTTTTTGGAATTTAAAATATTTTTTAAAGAGAAAAATTAAAAGAGAAGGAACGTTTAACTAGAGAATGTTTAATACCTTTTGGGGAATTAAAAAATATAAAAGAATTAAAAAGTAATGAAGATATGAGAAGTTTAGAAGCAAATAAAAGTTTAAAAAGTTTACAAATTAGCCAATCTGGCAGTACAAAATTAACAAGTATGGATGATAAAAAATTGGAAACAGAAAATTATGCACATTTTTTATATAATAGAGAAGTTGTTTTTGCTATTAAATATCAAGTTAGAGTTAGAATATTTAATGAAGATTTTGTACTTTTGAGAAAGGTAAAAATAGAATATAAAATTATTGCAAATAAATGTCTGCTACAAATTTACCCATTATAACGGATTTGGGTCGGAATTCCGATTTCCGGCGTTTTTTCCTTCCGATTTGCGAAAAATTTTGATTTCCTATTTCCGAGTTCCGATTTTTGAGCCAGTTTCGATTTCCGGCTCTTCAGATTTCCGACACCTCTGACTGTTCCGACCCACCTCTGCTTTACAATTTATTGTTTGCTTAGTCCGCCAATTTTTGGAACATTCTTGAATTATTGTTAGCAGAAAGTAATTAGGTATTGTCCTAAAATATGAAACTAGCGCTAGGTATCGGAAATTTTATACCTCCGGTCTGCTATCTATTTTTAAATCTTGTATCCTTCTTCGGAGCCTGTGGTTTCGATGCCTGCATGCTGGCTCCTGGCTCTAGGTGGAAAAGTCAATGAATATCATTTCAAATTTTATTTTCAATTGAGAGAAATCGAGAGACGAAAATCCTAGCAAGGTTGTGAGTTAAGAATCATTATCATGGGCAAAATCTATCAAGAATATGCATTATTTATATAAACGATGAGGCTATTGATAGTTAGCTTTGTGGATAACAGAAATAGATACAGAATTTGGAGCAGACAAATTATATTTTGCTTAAAGAAATTTAATTTGTTTTTATTAGATACGGCAATTAGATCATGATAATTTAAATAAATTCTGTGGACTCTGTGTAGATGCTCCAATTTTATATGCAATTTGGAAGCATTGTCAGAGAGGGAGTTTAAAGGATTTAATCGCCAAAGAGCAATATGTCGGTGATTCTTTTGTGATGTTTACTTTAATGAGGGATATAGCTAGTGGATTAATAGCTTTACACGGCTCATTTGTTGGAGCACACGGAATGCTTTCCTCAGAAAATTGTTTAATTAATGATCGTTGGCAAGTAAAGATTAGCGATTTTGGATTGAATATGATTAGAGAAAGTCAACCAATGTCAAAAAGAAGTAAAAAAGAATATAATTTTATAAATCTCGATTATTTTTTAAGAATTATTGTGGACAGCACCAGAATTATTAAGAGAAAATAATCGAAAAGGAACAAAAGAAGGAGATGTTTATAGTTTTGCTATAATTTGTTGTGAATTAGTTAATAGAGAAACTGTTTGGAATGGAGTTGAAAGAGAAGATGATGTTGATGGTTTGTTTTAAAATCTGGCAGTAAAGTAAAAACGCTGAAATAATTATCTTTTCCTTAATTTCCTTTTTGAAAGAGCTTCTAATTAAAAATCTGAAGCATAACTTTTTAGTATAAACGAGCGTTAGGACGCTCGTTTATTAGGACGCTCGTATTGTATAAGCTTTAAATATTAATTGCTCTACCTTAAATAATTACCCGACTTCTATTAATTACCTCTCCAGCGATAGATTGAAACAATAATTGCCCTCCATCAATTGCCCCAAAACACGTTTAAATTTCAAACCTCATATAATTGCCATCCCTTGATTAATTACTCCCTCTAACGGAAGATCGAAACAATAATTACCCAGGGTAGTTAATAAAAGTATTACGCTAATATATTAATAATTTAGTAGAAGGGCTATAAATAAAATAGATTAATAATTTATAAATTATATCGAAACATTTAGGTAGTAAATTTATTGAATGGTTTATACACAGCATTTGATGGGATAATTGACAGTCATGATGTTTATAAAGTTGAAACAATTGGAGATGGTTATTTAGTTTGTTCTGGAATTCCTCGGAAAAATGGGAATGACCATGCTAAAGAAATTTCTGAACTTGCATTTGCTTTCCTACGTACCGTTTCAACATTTAGAGTTGACCATTTGCCAAATGAACGTGTTAATTTACGTATTGGAATACATACTGGTTAATAAATGAATTGTTAATTTCCTTAAAAAATATTTAAGGACCAGCTGTAGCTGGAGTTGTTGGATTGACAATGCCTCGTTATTGTTTATTTGGAGACACTGTAAATACAGCTAGTAGAATGGAATCTAATGGAAGACGTAAAAAAATAAATTTAATTTTCATAAATTATTCTCTTTTCTCTCAACAGCTGGACGTATCCATATATCAACTACAACTAATCATTATTTAACTAACATAATTGGAGGATATGTAACAGAACCTAGAGGAGAAGTAATTATTAAAGGAAAAGGAGTTATGGAAACATTTTGGCTACTTGGACATTCTGGGGATTCTCATTATCTTGGTGCTGTACCTTCTGATGATAGAGGAAGCCCCGAACCTATGTAAATAAATAAAGATTTGAATGATATGTATAAATGATGAAAACTATGATCTCTATCAAATTTGAATTTATTAATTTTTTGGTTATAAAATTTTATCTGAGGAAATTATATTTGTAAGAAAGTAGTCATTTTCAGTTGTTTTTTAACCTTGATAATTTAAAGTGCGATTTTTAATTCAGAATTAAATATGTTCTCAATAATTCAAAAATTCTCCAAAAAATGGAAATGAAAAATAAGAAAAGTGGAAAACTTACGGAGAAGTTTCGATATTAAAAAACGAGGTTATTCTAATAGAAGAGTCCTTCAAACGGAGGGATTTTCAATCTTCCTTCAAAGGTCCATTTTATTATTTAGAAGGATCCATTAAAACGGTGGGTGTCATGAATAGAGGAAATACGTAAGAAATTTCATTCACTTCTCTCAAAAATACAAAAAACAAAATGGTCAAAAATGTCAGAGTCCGGGAAAGACCGCAGTCTGAGATGCAAAAGTAATATCTACGGATACTGGATATTGACCTTTCTATTCGTATCCACCCGTATCCGGCGATATCAGAATATTCGCGGATATATCCGTATCCGTAAATATGTCTGATTAAAACTAAAAATTTTATTTACAAATAAATTAAAAGCTATTTAGTAAGTAAATTAATTTGTAAAATTATTTTTCATTTCAAAAGATTAAATTTTGCTTTTCTAAAAATTTGATTAAAAGAATCCTTATTTATTTAAAAATAATTTAAAATTTAATCAAAAATTAAAATTTTGAAGGTTTCTTGTCTAAAAAATTAAGTAAAGATTATCTACTTAGTTTCTATTGTTGAAGAAAAATAAAGAAAAAAAATAAATTTTATTTTTAAAAATATAAACCCGGAAAATTAAATTATTTTATGTCTTCCCACCCACAATTTTTAATTAATTTTAAATTTATTTAAATAGTAACAATATCCCTCAGTTAAAAATTATTTGGCAACCAAAATGAAATATAGTAATTTTTTAAATTTATTTCCTCTTGTTTCATCTATTTTGTTAATAAATTTAAATATTTTTGTTTGTCAAAACATTTCATCCGAAACAACAACAACATCAACAACAATAACAACAGCAATAATAACAACACAAACAACCCCTAAAACAACAACAACATCCCCACAACCAAAACAATCAACTTTATCTCCAACAACATCAACACAACTTTTGCTTAAAGTTGGAATATTGGGGGCTAATTCTAGTGAATTAAGATCTGCTTATGGTTTTGGACAAAGTGTTCCAGCAATTTCTATTGCTATACAAAGAGCTAGAAATGAACATTTAATTGATTTTGTTAATTTTACGTAAATAATATTTAATTAATTATTTTTTAATTAAATGTATTATAAAGATTTACTTGGTTAATGTGTGATTGTGATCAAGTACTTGCTGTTGGATACTCTAATAAATTAATTCTTGACCAAAATGTTGATGTTATTATTGGGCCTCCTTGTGTTACATGTAAATATCTATATATTTAATTAATTTTATATTAATTTATTTAAGCCGCAGTTGAAGCTGGATTACCTCCAGGATTTTATAATATACCAATATTTTTGTGGGGTGCCACAATTGCAACAGTATTTAATGATAATGATATTTATCCAACATTGACAAATATTAATTCTAATACGCAATTGTTTGGAATTAATTTTAATTTATTAAATAAATTTATATTATTAGCCTTGCTCAAGCTGTCGAAGCTATTTTAATGCAATTTGGTTGGTATGACTTCTCATTTATTTATATTCCAGATGATATTAGAAGTTAAGTTTAAATTATTAATTAATGTAAAACATATAATAAAATAAGCTTTTTTACAAAATCTTTATACAATAGAAGTTTTTTTAATATTGGACCGTTAAATTGTGTGTGTATTAATAAAAAAATTGTTAAATCCAAATTTGTAATACAAATAATTGGGAATGTACCGGCATAAGATGTAAATTTCCTATTTTCGGGAATCGGGACGGCACGCCCCCGGATAGATATATGTAGATATCTCCTCAAAAATTAAAAAATATTTTTTTCAATTTTTTAGGATGGGTACTTATTTTGCACAAGATTTCGAAAATATTTTGAATATTAATCAAAATTTAACAATTGTTTATAGCAAGCAAATGGATCCAAATGTTAAAAGTATGACAGATACTTTACAACAAATTAAAAATCGTTCGAGAAGTTTTTAATTAAATTAATTTAGATTATTTTTAAAAATCTTTTAAAGTTGTTGTGGCTGTATTTGATTCAATAGAAATAAGAAGAACTTTTCTATTGGCAATGACAGATACAGGAATTTCTTTAAATAACGAATATGTGTTTATTATTCCTCAATTAAGAAATTTAGGAATGTTACAACAAGGTAGTAATTAAAAATAAATTTTGAAAGAAAAAATTTTAATTAAAAGAAAAAACTAGTACAAATATTTCGAAATATAATGATTTTTGGATGACAACAAATGGAGTTAATGATGGGAGGGATGATGATGCTTTGAAAGCTGCAAGAAGGACAATTATTGTAATTAAGATTATTTTGATAAAAAGGGCCTTTTCTATTTTATGTAATAAAACGAGGAAATTTCCTGAGCTATTCTCTATTAATAAAATTTGAGGAAATTAAAAATTATCATAATTTTATCAATACTTAAAGTTGAAAAAATAATAACATTTGATTAAAAAATTAAAAAAATAAATTTAATAAAAATATTTTAATTTTAAAGGTTGACTTAGAAAATCAGTCAAACTCTGAAATTGATATTTTCAATGCTAAAGTAGTTGCTGAATTTGGAAAGCCTCCCTTCAACTGTGTAAATGAATGTATGGGTGGACCTAATGACCAAATTGTTTTTAAAAATATTTTTCTGTTTAAAATAATTATTAAAGCCTGCTTCGTATGCTCGAAGTTTACACGATACAACATATGCTTATTTAAGGGCATTAAATAAAACAACAGAAAAGTTTGGTTACTTAACAAAAGATTTGGCAAGAAATGGAACTTTAATTAATAATCTGAGTAAAGGGGAATTTCAAGGTAAATTTAATAATTAAAAATTAAAATCAAAAATAATTTAGGAGAAACAGGAAATGTTATTATTGATGAAAATGGGAATAGAGAGCCAATATTTGTTGTTACAATGTTGGATATTTCTGATCAACCACTAAATGTTATGCAAATCACTTTTATTAATAATACAATGGTAGGGGAAATAAATAAAAAATGTAGACAAAAATATAGAACGAAAATTAAAACTAGTACTTTAACAAACATTATCCTAACTAACTCTTAGCTAGCATGTTTTGGTAGTAAGGGGTATGAATTCAATGGAACCCCGATTTGTTCTAATCGAGGAATAAATAGTATTTTAAGAGTATTCGAAGGAATTTCAAGGTAAAACATAAATTTGAAGAGACTAAATGTAAAAATTGGTAGATTATTATCAAAGTCAAAATTTTGCAAATAAAGAGAATAAAAAATATGTGTGTTTAAATTTAAGCAAATAACTAAAAATTACAACGATGAATCTGTTATTTGGGCAAATAGAGGAGGTAAGAGACCTTTATATAAACCAATATGTGGATATACTGGGACAGAATGTCCACAAAATATAACAACATATATATTAATTGGTGTTGGTTTGGTTTTGTTATTGTTAGTAGCTACTTTAGGTGGAATTGGTTATGCTGTTCGGTTAGTAGTTAAATATTTTTGGAATTTACAAAAGAAAAATTATTTTTTAAAGAGAAAAATTAAAAGAGAAGGAACGTTTAACTAGAGAATGTTTAATACCTTTTGGAGAATTAAAAAATATAAAGGAATTAAAAAGTAATGAAGATATGAGAAGTTTAGAAGCAAATAAAAGTTTAAAAAGTTTACAAAGTAGCCAATCTGGCAGTACAAAATTAACAAGTATGGATGATAAAAAATTGGAAACAGAAAATTATGCACATTTTTTATATAATAGAGAAGTTGTTTTTGCTATTAAATATCAAGTTAGAGTTAGAATATTTAATGAAGATTTGTTTCAATTAATGAAGGTTGTTACAAGTAAATGAACGATAAAGTCTTTTGTTTTTAGCTTAGACAATTAGACCACGAAAATTTAAACAAATTTTGTGGACTATGTACTGATGCACCAATTTTATATGCTGTTTGGAAACACTGTCAAAGAGGAAGTTTAAAAGTAAAAATATATTATTATAGATAATATTACCCCTGAATTTTATAATACGTGAGACAAGATTTTAAAAGAAATTTTATAAGGATTTAATTGCCAAAGAGAGATATGTCGGCGATTCTTTTGTCATGTTTACTTTAATGAGGGATATAGCCAGTGGTTTGATTGCCCTTCACAAATCTTTTATTGGAGCACATGGAATGCTTTCCTCAGAAAATTGTTTAATTAATGATCGTTGGCAAGTAAAGATTAGCGATTTTGGATTGAATATGATTAGAGAAAGTCAAACTTTTACAAAAAGAAGTAATTAAAATTTTGTTTTAAAATAGAGTAAAATTTAACCTGGGTGTTCCTACTTGGCCCAATTAATCCTCCGAATTTCTTAGATTTTTCTCTTAATACACCCAAATCTCAGTATAATCAGCACAAATCCCGCTTAATCTCTTGATATCCATCTCATTCCGCCATTATTACTCGATATCCGTTATCACTCCATTGATTTTCCACCCGGAGCCCTGAGCTAACAATGATCATGGGCGTATGTTGAATATCTGCGGATTAAGAGGGATATAGTAGGCGGATTAAGAAAATAAATGGGACTAGGATGATGATCCCCTGCATCATTGTCAACAAATGCTCAATACCCAGCACTGATAATGAATAGTTTTTAGTAAAAGTATTGTTTTCATTAAAATTATTTTAAAATACTTTATAAAAATTACTCGAACTCTGCCTAAAAAGTTGAACTCGACTCAAACTCGGCATTACTCGAACTCGGTTTTTTCCCGAATTACACAGTAGTCGACGTACTCTATTTTCAAATATTAACGGTTGTGAGCGTTTTTAGTTAATTAAAATATAAATCATTAGTCTAAATGTTACCACTAAATATAGTTTTAGCTCGGGGGATTAAAATTACATTATTGGGTCATTAAATCGTGTTTTTTAAGAATTATTGTGGACAGCACCAGAATTATTAAGAGAAAATAATCGAAAAGGAACAAAAGAAGGAGATGTTTATAGTTTTGCTATAATTTGTTGTGAATTAGTTAATAGAGAAACTGTTTGGAATGGAGTTGAAAGAGAAGATGATGTTGATGGTTTGTAGGAAATAAATACAAATTAGTTGATCTTTTTTAAGAAATTATTTATCGTCTAAGACGAACAAATACAGCAATTCCACACAGACCTCAGTTGCATCCAAGGGAAGAAATCAATCAAAATCTCGTAAAAATCAAAGATAAACTCCAAATAAATAATTTTCCAGATCCATTTAATTCGAGACTGTTGGAGTGAAATTCCAACAGAACGTCCAAGGATTGATCAAGTCAGAACAATGTTAAAACAAATGGTTAGGGATGGGAGTCAAAATTTAATGGATTATGTTTTTGGAATGTTAGAGCAATATGCAAGTTCTTTAGAACAAGAAGTTGAGGAAAGAACTAGAGAATTAGTTGAAGAAAAAAGAAAAAGTGATATTCTTCTATATAGAATGCTTCCAAAACAAGTTGCTGATAAATTAAAATTGGGGGAATTTGTTGAACCAGAACAATTTAGTGCAGCAACAATATTCTTTTCTGATGTTGTTTCATTTACAACGTTAGCTAGTAAATGTTCTCCTTTACAGGTGAATACTCTTAACTATTATAGAGTTAGTTAAGAGAATAAATCCTAATCCGAGTCCATTTATCCCCCACATTGCTAAAGAAAACTTTGATCTTCTCTGAACGTTCAATTCGCAGTTTCCTTTAAATTGAATTAAGCAGTTATGCTCCTAGGGCAAACAAAATGAAGTTTCTTTCCCAAAATATTAATCATTATCTAGGTAGATTTTCTATAAAATTTTATCTCAGGGAATAATACTGACAAGAATTTTAGATATTGTATAAGCTTTAAATATTAATTGCTCTACCTTAAATAATTACCCGACTTCTATTAATTACCTCTCCAGCGATAGATTGAAACAATAATTGCCCTCCATCAATTGCCCCAAAACACGTTTAAATTTCAAACCTCATATAATTGCCATCCCTTGATTAATTACTCCCTCTAACGGAAGATCGAAACAATAATTACCCAGGGTAGTTAATAAAAGTATTACGCTAATATATTAATAATTTAGTAGAAGGGCTATAAATAAAATAGATTAATAATTTATAAATTATATCGAAACATTTAGGTAGTAAATTTATTGAATGGTTTATACACAGCATTTGATGGGATAATTGACAGTCATGATGTTTATAAAGTTGAAACAATTGGAGATGGTTATTTAGTTTGTTCTGGAATTCCTCGGAAAAATGGGAATGACCATGCTAAAGAAATTTCTGAACTTGCATTTGCTTTCCTACGTACCGTTTCAACATTTAGAGTTGACCATTTGCCAAATGAACGTGTTAATTTACGTATTGGAATACATACTGGTTAATAAATGAATTGTTAATTTCCTTAAAAAATATTTAAGGACCAGCTGTAGCTGGAGTTGTTGGATTGACAATGCCTCGTTATTGTTTATTTGGAGACACTGTAAATACAGCTAGTAGAATGGAATCTAACGGAAGACGTAAAAAAATAAATTTAATTTTTATAAATTATTCTTTTTCCTCTCAACAGCTGGACGTATCCATATATCAACCACAACTAATCATTATTTAACTAACATAATTGGAGGATATGTAACAGAACCTAGAGGAGAAGTAATTATTAAAGGAAAAGGAGTTATGGAAACATTTTGGCTACTTGGACATGCTGGGGATTCTCATTATTTATCAGGTATCGTTGCTGCTAATGTTGATCGTGATACTCCAGAACCTGTATAATTTTTTTATACATATGTATGTATCTCTTTATATTTGTCTACCATCTTTATATTATTAATTACCTCAATATTCAAATTTGTTATGCGATAATTTTATTTGGCTAATGCGCCTGGAATATATGTAGTGGAAAATTTAGAGGATTAAATCAGACAGGATTTGTTGGATTAAGGAGGAGATCAGGGATTTGGAGGGATATTAGGGGATTGTAGTGATTAATGGTATATAGCGGATGTAATGGGAATAAAAAAATTTGAATGGATTCGTTTAGTTTGAATATTAAAGGAACGACAAAAAGCATTGCAGCCGACAAAACAAATTTTGTAGGGATTGTTTTCAGTTTTTAAGCATTGTCCTTGTCGTTGGTGATTGAAATGTTGTCGTACCAATTACAGTAGTGCTGTCAGTCCCAGCCATTGACAACATCCGTCACTACATCAATCGTTCAAGCGATATCGGTATCGGCTTCGACGTTTTAATGATGTTTAAAGTTTTTGAGTATTGTCTTCTTTCGCCATCGATGTCAATATCGTTATCATCAGCCGAACGATGTAACTTTCTAAGTGATGCCGGTTCTGGCAGTTGACTTTGCCTAACACGAGTTAAATTAGTCTTGGTCTTAATTTTGGGTATTGTGGTGTTTTTTACATATAGGGTGTTTTTTGGGTAGACCGACTTGGTCGATTAAGGTGTCATTCGAAAGAGCACATCGAGCTGAGTCGAATGATACCAAAATTACCGTAATTTGACGATTCTAAACAAAATTCACCTGCCCGTTCCGATAAAGATACACGACAACATCGACTATAATTTTATTCGACCCAAAAATTGTTTCAATCTCGCGCAAGAGAGGAAATTAAACGAGGAAGTACATATGATACAAATAGGTAAACATGGGTCTATTTCAAATGTCCGCAGATTTTGGGTTCTGTGCACAAAACTCAGATTCTCTGGAAATTCTGGTTCAATAAAATTCCGGTGCTCAGAAAAAGTTCCCGCCGATTCTGGTGGCAAATTTCTGTGCCTAGTCCTACAAAAATTTTTTTAAAAGATTTTCTACCGACGGTTCGCAGAAAAAATATTAGGATGGAAATTTCACAGAATCTGTGTATTTTCAACAGAATAAAAAACTAATAAAACAGAATTGCTCAGAATCTGTGGAAAAAGCCAAGATCTGTGGATTTTTTCTGTGCACAGAAAAGTCTGGGAAATTTCTACATAAATGCACAGAAAGTTTGGGAAGTTTCTACATAATCTGCGGTCGACTTTTCTCGCAGAATCTGTGTATGCTCCTCAGATTTTGGGAATGCTTATGCAAAACTTGATTGAATAATCAAAACAGAAAGTCTGTGGTCAGTGCACAGAATCTGTGGCACAAGATCTGCAGACAATTGAAATAGGCCCCAGAATGTCAAATACAATTGTAAAATAATTGAAAATTACAAAAAGTATATCGTATCAATATGTTTATGAAAGATCAGGGCTTGCTCTTTCAGGTACATCACTTCCTCCAAATGTTATATTAGCATCCCCAGAATGTCCAAGTAGCCAAAATGTTTCCATAACTCCTTTTCCTTTAATAATTACTTCTCCTCTAGGTTCTGTTACATATCCTCCAATTATGTTAGTTAAATAATGATTAGTTGTGGTTGATATATGGATACGTCCAGCTGATGAAATGAAAAGCATACTTTAGGGAAATTAAATTTATTTTTTTACGTCTTCCATTAGATTCCATTCTACTAGCTGTATTTACAGTGTCTCCAAATAAACAATAACGAGGCATTGTCAATCCAACGACTCCAGCTACTGCTGGTCCTTAAATATTTTTTAAGGAAATTAACAATTCATTTATTAACCAGTATGTATTCCAATACGTAAATTAACACGTTCATTTGGCAAATGGTCAACTCTAAATGTTGAGACGGTACGTAGGAAAGCAAATGCAAGTTCAGAAATTTCTTTAGCATGGTCATTCCCATTTTTCCGAGGAATTCCAGAACAAACTAAATAACCATCTCCAATTGTTTCAACTTTATAAACATCATGACTGTCAATTATCCCATCAAATGCTGTGTATAAACCATTCAATAAATTTACTACCTAAATGTTTCGATTTAATTTATGAATTATTAATTAATTTTATTTGTAGTCCTTCTACTAAATTATTTGTATATTATTTATCTAAAATTCTTGCCTATTAAAGTGCGTCAAGAATCAGTACTCTTCCCTAATTTGTATGATAAACTTATCGAAAATCTACTTACTAAATAACGATTAATATCCTGAGAAGGAAACTTCCTTCTGGTAGCCCTAGGAATATAACTGCTTAATTCAATTTAAAAATCAAGGATGTTTGTAGCAATGCGAGGATAAATAGACTCGGATTAGTTTATTCTCTTTAACTCTATAATAGTTAAGAGAATAAATTCCAATTGACATATTCACCTGTAAAGGAGAACATTTACTAGCTAATGTTGTAAATGAAACAACATCAGAAAAGAATATTGTTGCTGCACTAAATTGTTCTGGTTCAACAAATTCCCCCAATTTTAATTTATCGGCAACTTGTTTTGGAAGCATTCTATATAAAAGAATATCACTTTTTCTTTTTTCTTCAACTAATTCTCTAGTTCTTTCTTCAACTTCTTGTTCTAAAGAACTTGCATATTGCTCTAACATTCCAAAAACATAATCCATTAAATTTTGACTCCCATCCCTAACCATTTGTTTTAACATTGTTCTGACTTGATCAATTCTTGGACGTTCTGTTGGAATTTCACTCCAACAGTCTCGAATTAAATGAATCTGAAAAATTATTTATTTGGAGTTTATCTTTAATTTTTACGAGATTTTGATTGATTTCTTCCCTTGGATGCAACTGAGGTCTGTGTGGAATTGCTGTATTTGTTCGTCTTAGACGATAAATAATTTCTTAAAAAAATATCAACTAATTTGTATTTATTTCCTACAAACCATCAACATCATCTTCTCTTTCAACTCCATTCCAAACAGTTTCTCTATTAACTAATTCACAACAAATTATAGCAAAACTATAAACATCTCCTTCTTTTGTTCCTTTTCGATTATTGTCTCTTAATAATTCTGGCGCTGTCCACAATAATTCTTAAAAAAATCTATAAAAATTTTTAAAGGGATTATAATTTAGTGTAAGATGCTCGTCTAATAAAGGATCGGAAATTTACGCTATTGGTTTTATAGTACTCGATAATAGGATCGTACTTTCTGGACTTACAAATTTTTACAACCGACGGCGAAAATTTTGAAAATTTAGTAAGGCTGTTGCTAAAATATTTCTTTTATTGATCATCCCTCTTCTCATTTATTTAAAAAATTTCCTTCATTAGGTGTGTAAAATTTTGGTGTTTTGGCGCGCCAAAGGCTGAAAATCGCCCAAACGCAATAACGCCGAAATCGGCCAAAAAACAGCGCCAAAACGCATATCCCTGATGCCCAAAACCCGATTGATAATTTATGATAAACGGGTTAAGTAAAATTGATGCAATTGCTTAGGGTTAGAGATAGTCCTGAAACAAAAGGGCTAGCACTTAAAAAATACTAGAGCAACGTGTTTCGAGTTGACCTGCCTCGTTTGGTGGTTGACCTTGTTTTATTTTTTTGTTTAAAAAATCATATATTTTTTCCCCTTCATTGACATTTTTTTGAATAAAATAAATAAATAAATATAATACTTCTTTTTGTAAACGTTTGACTTTCTCTAATCATATTCAATCCAAAATCGCTAATCTTTACTTGCCAACGATCATTAATTAAACAATTCTCTGAGGAAAGCATTCCATGTGCTCCAACAAATGACCCGTGTAAAGCTATTAATCCACTTGCTATATCCCTCATTAAAGTAAACATCACAAAAGAATCACCGACATATTGCTCTTTGGCGATTAAATCCTTTTTAATTTACAGTAATATGTATTAAAGTTTAATTATTGTATTATTTCCTAAATATTTTATTTCAGGCTAAATTATGACATTTTAGGTTTTTGATAATTAATATTTTAGACATTTTTCATACCGAGATTTTACAGAGTATATTTTTAAGTATTATAGTCTCAAAAAGTAAAGTATCCACTACTTAACAAAAGTATGTCAAACATATAATTTATGTTTTTGACGTTTTTAAGATACTTTTAAACTCCCTCTCTGACAATGCTTCCAAATTGCATAAAGAATTGGTGCATCTGTGCACAGTCCACAGAATTTATTTAAATTATCGTGGTCTAATTGGCGAAGCTAAAAAATTATTCATTATTTACTTAACCTTTGTTTTGTATTTAAAAATTTGCTTTGAAATTTGTTAAATTTACAAAATTCGGAATCCCGGTTACATAGTAAAACACTGAATAATAGGCAATAATTTATTAGCGATTCGAATAAGCTATGGTTCAAAAAGTTTATCTGATGTCTACTAGTTTTAATTCATTTCTATGTAAATAATTGTAATTTTAAAATCAAAAGCTAGAAATCATAATTTTCACCTTTCTCAGAAGTATAAAATCATCCGATAATATTCTAACTCTAACTTGATATTTAATAGCAAAAACAACTTCTCTATTATATAAAAAATGGACATAATTTTCTGTTTCCAATTTTTTATCATCCATACTTGTTAATTTTGTACTGCCAGATTGGCTACTTTGTAAACTTTTTAAACTTTTATTTGCTTCTAAACTTCTCATATCTTCATTACTTTTTAATTCTTTTATATTTTTTAATTCTCCAAAAGGTATTAAACATTCTCTAGTTAAACGTTCCTTTTCTTTTAATTTTTCTCTTTAAAAAATATTTTAACTTCCAAAAAAATATTTAACTTCTAACCGAACAGCATAACCAATTCCACCTAAAGTAGCTACTAACAATAACAAAACCAAACCAACACCAATTAATATATATGTTGTTATATTTTGTGGACATTCTGTCCCAGTATATCCACATATTGGTTTATATAAAGGTCTTTTACCTCCTCTATTTGCCCACAATCCAGTTTCATTCGTATATCTTTTTATCAAAGTCTAAAAATTATTATTTTAATTTGTTTTTATTTATTTTACTTACAGCAACTCCCCCTATAACTGTAATATTCATTACAACGTTAGCTTGATCAGAGGCATCTAACATTGTTAAAAAGAAATTTGGTTGTCGATTACCATTATCATCAAAAATAATCAGACCAGTTTCTCCTAATATAATTATATTAATAAGTGCTGCACCACAATGGTGGTAATTGCTATTATGCTCCATAGTTTTTAATCATTAAATTTACCTTGAAATTCTCCTTTACTCATATTATTAATTAAAGTTCCATTTCTTGCCAAATCTTTTGTTAGATAACCAAACTTTTCTGTTGTTTTATTTAATGCCCTTAAATAAGCATATGTTGTGTCATGTAAACTTCGAGCATATGAAGCTGGCTTTAATAATTATTTTAAACAGAAAAATATTTTTAAAAACAATTTGGTCATTAGGTCCACCCATACATTCATTTACACAGTTGAAGGGAGGCTTTCCAAATTCAGCAACTACTTTAGCATTGAAAATATCAATTTGAGAGTTTGACTGATTTTCTAAGTCAACCTTTAAAATCAAATTAATTTAATTATTTTAATTATCCTTCTACAATAATTGTCCTTCTTGCTGCTTTCAAAGCATCTCCATCACGTCCATCATCAACTCCGGTTGTTACTTTCCAAAAATCATCAAACTTTGATGTATTTGAGTTGGAGGTTACTTTTAATATTTAAAAATTTTACAAGTTTAGATTTTTTGAAGTAAGTGAGACGTACATACATATGTACTTAAATCTTTGACCTGGGCAGAAATATGTATGTAGATCCTGCGACCTCCGGGGATGGATTAAAATAGACATTTTATTCTTTTATTACTCAAAATTATTCGTATAATATTTACGCAAATACGATTTGCAGATTTTTACAATAAAGAAGGTAGTTTTTCGGATTTGTGCCCACTTAATCTATACCGAATTTTAACCAAAATATATTATTCTACTTTGTTGTAGCATTCCAAGACTTCTTAACTGTGCAAATATAAATACATATTCAGTACTTTGAGATATTCCAGTATCAGTTATTGCTAACAAAAAATCCCTTCTAGTTGCAATATTATCTATATTGGCTATTACAACTTTAAAAAGATGGAAGAAAATGTATTATTTAAAATATCTTATTTCAAGTACTTCTTGAACGATTTTTTATTTGAGTAAGAGCATTGTGCATGCTTGCAGTTGTTGCAGCCATTTGTTGATTATATACAATGGTTAAATTTGGATTAGCATTAACAACATTTTGAAAATCTTGTGGGAAAAAATAACCAACTCTAAAAAAATTAATTTTTATTTTCATTCATATTTTTATTTTATATATATTTAAATAATTTGTATGGAATCAGAGAAGTTTTGAAACTATAGAAGATTTAAGCCTTCAATTAACTAATATTAATATTAATTAATAATAATTAACTAATAATTATTATTAACTAATAATTAACTAATATTCAATTAACTAATATTATCATTTACTTACCTTCGAATATCATCTGGAATGTAGACTAAAGAAACTTCATACCATTGAAATTGTAACAATACTGCCTCAATCGCCTGTGCTAGACTTAAAATAAAGAAAAATTAAATTAATAGGGACTTAAAATTTAATAATAATTAATTAATTAATAAATTATATGTATTTTATTAAATTCAAACACAAAATTATATTAGTTTTCCAATTACCATAAAGTATTTGAATTAAGATTTGTTACAGTTGGATATATATTATTATCGTTTAATATTGTTGCAATTGTTGCACCCCAAAGGAAAATAGGCAAACTATAGAAACTTGGTGGTAATGCCGCGTCGAGGGCCGCTAAATATTTAAAGTGAATAAAAAATATTTTTATTTTTAATTAATAATAGTTAGATTTTTATAGGCTGAATTAATAAAAGTTGAATAATTATATAAATAATCATATAATAATCTAAAATTCAACGAGTCGAAGTCATATTAAATAGATTCTAATGTAAGAAAAACAGAAATATAAATTGTTTCCTAGAAGTTAATCCAGAAATTTAGGGAAAATATGATAAATTTTAGGTCATTTTTGAAAGAATATTTACATGTAACACACGGAGGCCCAATAATAACATCAACATCTTGGTCAAGAATTAATTTATTAGAATATCCAACAGCAAGTACTTGATCACAATCACACATTAACCAAGTAAATCTACAAAAACATTAAAGATATATTTTAATAATTTTAAAATTCTTTACGTAAAATTAACAAAATCAATTAAATGTTCATTTCTAGCTCTCTGTATAGCAATAGAAATTGCTGGAACACTTTGTCCAAAACCATAAGCAGGTCTATACTGACTGGCATTTGCTCCTAACAAACCAATTTTTATTTGAAGTTGTGGCAAAGACGAAGCAGATAGTATCTGTGAAGGTGGTTGTGTTGTCGTTGTTGGTGCTACAATTGTTGTTGTTGTTAAAATACTGTTAGTTGTTAGTGTGGAGTTATTTGAAATATTTTGACATAAAACTCCATACAAATTTAATTGGAAAATAAAATGTAGAAAAATAAGAAAAGTTAACATAAATTTCAAATTTATTTGTAACAATTTTGTTAAAAAATTTCTAATGAATTTAAAAAATGGGAAAATGTTAAATTAAGGCGGAAGACCTTTATAAATTCTTTAAAAGATTTTAATTCTGTTCTTCTGTTCAAAAAATGACATTTAAAAAACGGATACTCAAATATTTTAAAATTTTTATATTTTTATAAATTTTAATTTTCTTCAAGGGTTTCTTCTTAAAATTTAATCCAACGTTAAACAAATACCTCTGTAAATTCAAAATTAACTGTGGAATCGTAATTTTATAATTTTACGACATTTAAAATAGAGTAAATAAATATTTATTTTAAAATTTTTATAAAAATTTAAGGGAATTGTAAGTATTCCTTTAAATTATTTGTTTAGAAATTTAAATATTTTTAATTAAAATATGGTATATGAATATGTGAAAAGGTTTATAGAAAATATTTTCTTCCTGGATGATGGAGAAAATGGCTTTTAATTAATCCTTCATGAAATGTCATTATTTTGATAATCTGATAGAAAAATACACCCACTTAAACAGATAATGTTAGAATAGTTATTTACAGTTTTAGAGAAACGGTATGATTTTAAGGAAACTGTAAGCAATAATAAAAGTCGTTCTCGATATAATAAATGATTACATATCAATATCCATTTAAAGGAACTCGTACAAAGGAAACGATTAGCATCTCCATTATATTTAAACAAAGGCTAGAAAAGCTCTTCAACTAAGTAATCATTTTTGGAAAATATTAGTTGGATTTGAGAAAGACAATTAATACTTGCAGGTTAGAAAATAATCATCTAAGTAACAAAATAATCATCAAAGAATAATCAACCATTTGAGGAAATCTTCATATTATTTATAACTAAATTATAAACACTTTATAAAAATTTATTTACTAAATTAATAATCGTGTTGCATAGACCTATTAAATTGTTGTATGGTACCATAATTGGATTTTCTCTAGTCCACTATGGTTATTACTCCAACCAAGCGAGGAATAAACATGAAAATAAAACATCATGAATATTAGTTTAAAAATATTATACTGTATCAATATATTATTATCTTAATACATATTATTTATTTATACGAATTTTCTGGCTTCCATTTATAAAATTAGCCAATAAGAATATTTAAAATAAATTTATCGTAAAATTTATTTTTTATGATTTAATATTTAATCATAAAGTAAGCGTCAATTCTTTTGTTATTTTAAGTACTTTTCCTTTACAAAAGTTCAGGTTGGCGTATTTGCCGAATTAAAAATTGAATCCTTTAGAAATTTTTTAAAAAACAAAATAATTATATTTAAATATAGTAACAAAACAAAATTTATTTTTAATTTTAAGGCTTCTTTATTTTAAATGTCATTTTCTAAAGTTAACTATAAATTTTTAAAAATAAAAATGAATTTACTTCCTTTTATTTTATTCTTTTTAAATAAACCTCCTTGAATAAAAAATCTTAATAAATTACCTATGCTATATCTCTTTATTTCATTTATTTTATTAATAAATTTAAATAGTTTTGTTTGTCAAAACAATTCATCTGAAACAACAACAACAACAACAATATCAACAACACAAACAACACCCAAAACAACAACAACAACATCCCAACCAAAACAATCAACTTTATCTTCGACAACATCAACACAACTTTTGCTCAAAGTTGGAATATTGGGGGCTAATTCTAGTGAATTAAGATCTGCTTATGGTTTTGGACAAAGTGTTCCGGCAATTTCTATTGCTATACAAAGAGCTAGAAATGAACATTTAATTGATTTTGTTAATTTTACGTAAAGAATTTTATTTTATTAAAATATATCTTTAATGTTTCTGTAGATTTACTTGGTTAATTTGTGATTGTGATCAAGTACTTGCTGTTGGATATGCTAATAAATTAATTCTTGACCAAAATGTTGATGTTATTATTGGGCCTCCGTGTGTTACAGGTAGAATAATCACATTAATTATGGTTAATGCTATGTTAATATCTATTCTATTCAACATAGAATTATCCGTAATGATAATTAACGCTAGATATTATTTCTACCTATTGTCTTGAATAAATTAATTTTTCATTAATTAAGCTGCAATTGATTCAAGCTTGGCTCCAGGCTTTTATAATATTCCTGTTTTCTTGTGGGGTGCCACTGTAGCTACAACTCTTGCAAATGATTCTGTTTATCCAACATGCACTAATGTAAATTCTGACACAAAAATGTAAATAAAATTATTTACAAATTATTTTTAAATAAATTTATAGCCTTGCTCAAGCAGTCGAAGCTGTTCTTATGCAATTTCAATGGTCTGAAGTATCCCTCGTTTATATTCCTGACAATGTTCGAAGGCGAGTATTTTTGGCTATCATATATACATATTACCTTTCATTTAAAAGAATGAAAATTAAAAAATATTTTTTAGAGTTGGATATTACTTTCCCCAAGATTTTGAAAGCATAGTAAATTCAAATCCAAATTTAACAATTGTATATAATCAACAAATGTTACCAACACCTGAAAATATGAGAAGCACGCTTTTACAATTGGGAAATCGTTCAAGAAGTTTTTAAAATATTAAAAATTATTTTTATTTTTTATTTTTTACAGTCGTAGTAGCCAATATAGATAATATTACAACTAGAAGAGATTTTCTGTTAGCAATAACTGATACTGGAATATCTCAGAGTAATGAATTTGTGTTTATTTTTGCACAATTAAGAAATCTTGGAATGTTACAACAAAGTAGAAATTAAATTTTAATTTAATATGTATTTTTGTTTAAATTTAAGTAAGTACTGGCACAAATGTATCAAAATATAATAATTTTTGGATGACAACGAATGGAGTTGATGACGGACGTGATGGAGATGCTTTGAAGGCTGCAAGAAGGACAATTATTGTAATCAAAATAATTTTTTGGGTTTCAAATGAAAATTTAAATTTTTTTATTAAATAGATTGATTTAGAAAATGAATCCAACTCTCAAATTGATGCTTTTATGGCACAAATGACATCTGAATTTGGGAAGCCGCCCTTTAACTGTATAAATGAATGTATGGGCGGGCCTAATGACCAAATTGTTTAGTTTGCTTATAAAAATATTGACAAAGGTTTCCACGGCAGGAATCGAACTGCAACATCCCTTCAATTATTGTTAGGCGCTTTATTTACTGTTTACTTTCTTATAATGTAGATATTAAAGCCTAAGTCTAAACGTTTTAAATAGAATGCTGATAACGATAATGTACTAGTCATATATTGGAAAAATGGTATTTTCTTTATCGGTATTATACAGAAATACCGCTATCGAATACAAGAAAGTAAGGGAGAGTTAAATAATTTCATAAAATTTAAAATATTTTTTGCTTCAACCCCTGTTGAATAATTAAAAAATTTAGCTGAGGAGTATCCAAATATTTGTTAAATCTCTGTAAATAATTAAAATAATTATTAAAGCCGTCTTCGTATTCTCGAAGTTTACATGATACATCATATGCTTATTTAAGAGCATTAAACAGAACAGCAGAACAATTTGGTTATTTAACAAAAGATTTGGCAAGAAATGGAACTTTAATTAATAATATGAGTAAAGGAAATTTTAAAGGTTTAAGTAATATTAGAAAAAAAAATAAAATTATAATTTAAGGCGAGACAGGAGATGTTATTTTAGATGATAATGGAGAAAGGGAACCAATATTTGTTGTTACAATGTTAGATATTTCCGATCAACCAAATAGTTTAATGCAACTTTCTTTTACAAATAATACATTAGTAATATTAATTTTAATTAAATTTATTTTAAAATTAAAGCAAATAACTAAAAATTACAACGACGAATCTGTTATTTGGGCAAATAGAGGGGGTAAAAGACCTTTATATAAACCAATATGTGGATATACTGGGACAGAATGTCCACAAAATATAACAACATATATATTAATTGGTGTTGGTTTGGTTTTGTTATTGTTAGTAGCTACTTTAGGTGGAATTGGTTATGCTGTTCGGTTAGCTTAATTAAATATTTTTTTGGAATTTAAAAAAAAATATTTGTTATACAACGTTAAATAAACATCGAAGACCACTCACAAAAAATTCCTGTGTAAGAATGGCTAAGATTCCTCCTTTCCCTAGTAGCTAAAGTAGAGAAACTCATCCGACATGAAGGGATGGCTGTGTGTAAAAATAACTTATAATGAGGGAATTTCAGATTCTTCCAATTCAGATTTTTTGCTATTTTTGGGATTGATTCTGGTCTCTATAACATCAATATAAAATCTGATTGAAATTTATAGAAAATTTAAAGATCCCAATATTTTTTATAACTAATAAAAAACAAAAACAATTTTAATATTAGAGCCAAAAAAATTAATTTTTAAGTGAAAAAATGCGTGAAAAAGACCGGTTAACACGTGAATGTATAATTCCATTCTGTGAATTAGGCAATTTAAAAGAAATGCAAAGTACAGAAGATGTTAAAAGTTTGGAATTAAATAAAAGCATGAAAAGTTTGCAAAGCAGTCAATCTGGTTATTTGAATAATTTAAATTAAATATAAATTTAATTTAAAGGGGGGAGCACAAAATTATCAAGTATGGACAATAAAAAATTGGAAACAGAAAATTATGCACATTTTTTGTATAATAGAGAAGTTGTTTTTGGAATTAAATATCAAGTTAGAGTTAGAATATTTAATGAAGATTTAACACAATTAAGAAAGGTGTAAATATATTAGAGAAATTTAAATAAAAAATAAATTTAAATATTTAAAGATAAAACAATTAGATCATGATAATTTAAATAAATTTTGTGGGGTTTGTACAGATGCACCTATTTTGTATGGAATTTGGAAATATTGTCAGAGAGGGAGTTTAAAGGATTTAATTGCCAAAGAGCAATATGTGGGTGATTCTTTTGTGATGTTTACTTTAATGAGGGATATAGCTAGTGGATTAATAGCTTTACACGGGTCATTTGTTGGAGCACATGGAATGCTTTCCTCAGAGAATTGTTTAATTAATGATCGTTGGCAAGTAAAGATTAGCGATTTTGGATTGAATATGATTAGAGAAAGTCAACCAATGTCAAAAAGAAGTAAAAAAGAATATAATTTTATAAATCTCGATTATTTTTTAAGAATTATTGTGGACAGCACCAGAATTATTAAGAGAAAATAATCGAAAAGGAACAAAAGAAGGAGATGTTTATAGTTTTGCTATAATTTGTTGTGAATTAGTTAATAGAGAAACTGTTTGGAATGGAGTTGAAAGAGAAGATGATGTTGATGGTTTGTTTTAAAATCTGGCAGTAAAGTAAAAACGCTGAAATAATTATCTTTTCCTTAATTTCCTTTTTGAAAGAGCTTCTAATTAAAAATCTGAAGCATAACTTTTTAGTATAAACGAGCGTTAGGACGCTCGTATAAGATCTTTTAATGTTCTAATCAGGCATTTCACACCCATGGCCGGACTATAATTTTCAGCATTACAACCGTTAATGGGCTCCCACCCACCGGTGGAAATCCCAAAATTCCCAAAATTAACTCACAGATTTAAATCCCAGATATCATAATTAGCCTACAGATCCTAGAAATTACCCGTTTCTCCCTAATCCTCTGTTATACTTTATAAACACCCAAAAATCACACTCACCCTTTATTACACAGAACCCAGCTACTATAATTTAGCCTTAATTTCATCTAATATCCCTATTAACCACACTAAAATCACAGATATCACTCTTTATTCATAAATCCTATTAATCACCTCAAATCACAGCTCTCTTTTTAGCTCAAACTCAGTTTATTAATAAAAAATACGCAAATGTTTTTAGGTAATAAATCTTAAATTTTAAAGAAATTTTTTATCGACTGAAGCGAACAAATGTTGCAGTTCCACATAGACCACAATTACATCCTCGAGAAGAAGTTAATAATAATTTGGTATTATACATATAATTATTTAATTAATTAAATATAACAGTTACTTCTAATTCGTGATTGTTGGGGCGAACTACCAACAGAACGTCCAAGGATTGATCAAGTTCGTTCAATGTTAAAGCAAATGGTTAGGGATGGAAATCAAAATTTAATGGATTATGTTTTTGGAATGTTAGAGCAATATGCAAGTTCTTTAGAACAAGAAGTTGAAGAAAGAACTAGAGAATTAGTTGAAGAAAAACGAAAAAGTGATATTCTTTTATATAGAATGCTTCCAAAACAAGTTGCCGAAAAATTAAAATTGGGGGAATTTGTTGAACCAGAACAATTTAGTGCAGCAACAATATTCTTTTCTGATGTTGTTTCATTTACAACATTAGCTAGTAAATGTTCTCCTTTACAGGTGAACTAATATAGAGTTAGTTAAGAGAATAAACCCTAATCCGTGTCCATTTATCCCCACATTGCTACAAACAACTTTGATCTTCTCTGAACGTTCAATTCCAGTTTCCTTTAAATTGAATTAAGCAATTATGTTCCTGGAAGGAAGTTCATTCCCAAGACATTAATCACTATTTAGATAGATTAATAGTGATTAATGATAAAAAGGTTATCTTAGGGAAAAGTACTGATTCTTCGTTCGCACTCTAATAGGCTCGAATTTTAGAAAAAAAATTTAGCAGAAGGACTAAAAGTACCAAATAAATTAATAATATATAGCTTATATCAAAACATTTAGGTAGTAAATCTGTTGAATGGTTTGTACACAGCATTTGATGGGATAATTGACACTCATGATGTTTATAAAGTTGAAACAATTGGAGATGGTTATTTAGTTTGTTCTGGAATTCCTCGGAAAAATGGGAATGACCATGCTAAAGAAATTTCTGAACTTGCATTTGCTTTCCTACGTACCGTCTCAACATTTAGAGTTGACCATTTGCCAAATGAACGTGTTAATTTACGTATTGGAATACATACTGGTTAATAAATGAATTGTTAATTCCCTTAAAAAATATTTAAGGACCAGCAGTAGCTGGAGTTGTTGGATTGACAATGCCACGTTATTGTTTATTTGGAGACACTGTAAATACAGCTAGTAGAATGGAATCTAATGGAAGACGTAAAAAATAAATTTAATTTTCATAAATTATTCTTTCTTCTCTCAACAGCTGGACGTATCCATATATCAACCACAACTAATCATTATTTAACTAACATAATTGGAGGATATGTAACAGAACCTAGAGGAGAAGTAATTATTAAAGGAAAAGGAGTTATGGAAACATTTTGGCTACTTGGACATTCTGGAGATTCGAATATAGCATTTGGCGGGTTGCGAAGCGATATTGTCGAGACTCCAGAACCGATTTAAACAAATATTTTGAAATTTGTAATAAAAATCTGTGAATAAATATTAATTATAAATGTATGTGTATTATTTTTCTGATAACATTTTCTAGATTTATCTACTATAATATACTAGTGTTGTTTTTTGTGTTTGGTTCTACACACATTTGCGGCACAACTTAAAAAACATGCATTAATGCTTGGCCAATATTATTTTTCGATTTCACAGATATTTATCCTATTTGCCCGTAATTATATACTATCAAGTGCAATGCATAATCGAGTTTCTATTAATATTTTGAATTAATTATAAAATCAAAAATACAAATAAGAAAGAATTGAGGTTATTAAGAAAATAAAAGAATATAGAGATCATCAAAAATTAAATAATGATTACTCTTCTTCATTATTTAATAAATCCTCATTAATAGTAGGAAGTTCATTCCACATAAAAGAATTATTATTGTTAATATCAAGGTCATTAGAATGTCCAATAAGCCAAAATGTTTCCATAACACCCTTTCCTTTAATAATTATTTCGCCTCTAGGCTCAGTTAAATAGCCACCAATTATATTTGTTAAATATTTATTTGTTTCGGAAGAAATACATATGAATTTTACTAGCTAAAGATATTTTTTTAAATTTAAGCTAGAAATTAATAAAATTACGTCTTCCATTAGATTCCATTCTACTAGCTGTATTTACAGTGTCTCCAAATAAACAATAACGAGGCATTGTCAATCCAACAACTCCAGCTACTGCTGGTCCTTAAATATTTTTTAAGTAAACTAACAATTCATTTATTAACCAGTATGTATTCCAATACGTAAATTAACACGTTCATTTGGCAAATGGTCAACTTTAAAATTCGAAACAGATCGAAGAAAAGCAAAAGATAATTCAGCAATTGCCTTTGCATGATCATTTCCATTCCGACGAGGAATTCCGGAGCAAACTAAATAACCATCCCCGATTGTTTCAACTTTATAAACATCATGGCTGTCAATTATTCCATCAAATGTTGTATAAAGCATGTTTAACAAATTTACAACCTTAAATTGTTGAATTATTCAAATTTCTACTTTAAACAAAGAATTTTCAACAACACCTGTAAAGGAGAACATTTACTAGCTAATGTTGTAAATGAAACAACATCAGAAAAGAATATTGTTGCTGCACTAAATTGTTCTGGTTCAACAAATTCCCCCAATTTTAATTTATCGGCAACTTGTTTTGGAAGCATTCTATATAAAAGAATATCACTTTTTCTTTTTTCTTCAACTAATTCTCTAGTTCTTTCTTCAACTTCTTGTTCTAAAGAACTTGCATATTGCTCTAACATTCCAAAAACATAATCCATTAAATTTTGACTCCCATCCCTAACCATTTGTTTTAACATTGAACGAACTTGAATCATTTTTGGCCTCTCAACATTCCTTTCATTCCAACAATCTCTTATCAAATGTAACTAAATCGAAAATAATATGTAAAATAATAAATTATTTAGTATTTACCAAATTTTGATTGATATTTTCATTGTTACGTAATAAGGGCCTTGGTGGGATTGATGTATTTATTTGCTTTAGACGATGTAGAATATCTGTTAAAGTTATGTATTTATAAAATATCTTTAAAGTACTTTCAATTTATTACACACCCCCAAAATTGATGCTAAATGTTATTTATCTCATTTAACATCCAGTCCAGTTGAATGACTCAAAAATCATTGAGAAATTGGGTTTGCAAAAAATTTTTCCGGTTTTTGTGTAACTATGTATTGTAAAAAAGGTATCAGAATTTTGCCTTAGCTTTTCTAAAAATTTTTTTCGCCTCTATTAGGTTGTAACATATTTAGTTGCCGTTTTTATTAAAAGTTTCGGGGTCTGAATTTTTGTGGATTTGTAGTCTATGATCGTGATTTTGTAGTCTATGATTTTCAGGATTAAATCAGATATGATCATGGATACGGATATGGATACAGAAAATATCAAAATGCCTGCGGATATCCGCCTGTATCCGCCGTAAATATGCGGATACGGATACCAAGATCAGTATCCGTGACCATGCCTGGATTAAATTAAGGAGCAAATATTCCTTTTAAAACAAACCATCAACATCATCTTCTCTTTCAACTCCATTCCAAACAGTTTCTCTATTAACTAATTCACAACAAATTATAGCAAAACTATAAACATCTCCTTCTTTTGTTCCTTTTCGATTATTTTCTCTTAATAATTCTGGTGCTGTCCACAATAATTCTTAAAAAATAATCGAGATTTATAAAATTATATTCTTTTTTACTTCTTTTTGACATTGGTTGACTTTCTCTAATCATATTCAATCCAAAATCGCTAATCTTTACTTGCCAACGATCATTAATTAAACAATTTTCTGAGGAAAGCATTCCATGTGCTCCAACAAATGACCCGTGTAAAGCTATTAATCCACTAGCTATATCCCTCATTAAAGTAAACATCACAAAAGAATCACCCACATATTGCTCTTTGGCAATTAAATCCTTTAAACTCCCTCTCTGACAATATTTCCAAATTCCATACAAAATAGGTGCATCTGTACAAACCCCACAAAATTTATTTAAATTATCATGATCTAATTGTTTTATCTTTAAATATTTAAATTTATTTTTTATTTAAATCTCTATTTACACCTTTCTTAATTGTGTTAAATCTTCATTAAATATTCTAACTCTAACTTGATATTTAATTCCAAAAACAACTTCTCTATTATACAAAAAATGCGAATAATTTTCTGTTTCCAATTTTTTGCTTTCAATATTTGCTGTTAATTTTGTGTTTGTAGATAAATTACTATTGCTTTGAATACTTCTCAAACTTTTATTAATTTCTATATTACTTCCATCATTATTTTTAATTTCTTTTAAATTTCTCAATTCAATAAATGGAATAATACATTCTTCTGTTAATCTTCGCTTTTCTTTCTTTTTCTCCCTAATAGCATAACCAATTCCAAATGTAAAACTAAACACAATTAATACAACCAAACCAATTGCAATAATAATATAAGTAGTCATATCTGGAGGGCAATCTGTTCCTGTATATCCACAAATTGGTTTATATAATGGACGTTTCCCATTGCTGTTAACCCAAATTGTGGATTCATCGGTGTAACGTTTTGTTAAGTTCTAAAAAATTCTAACGATTATTTTTTAAATTAATTTTTATGAGAAGGAATAAGGAAAAAAGTGTGCTTTAATAAGTCGGAGAAACGAAAGATATCAATGAAGGATAATGGTATGCAGGATTGAAACGAGTAAAGATACTGACAGAAGAGGAAAATATAAACCAGTCAAGGCTGCGGTTTTAGGTATATAGAGCTAAAGGTGAAAAGTTTCTGATTTTTGTGTGCAGGATATTTTCTTGCATTATTTTAAAACTCCAAAATCTTCTTGATTATATAATCAAGAAGGTATATAATCTGTTTGAAATTATAAATAATACTTACAGTATTATTTGGAACAAAATTTATTTCCATAACAACTTGGGGTTGATCAGAAGCATCGAGCATTGTTACATAAAATATCGGTTGTCGATTACCTTGTTGATCAAATATAACATTTCCTGTTTCTCCTAAATTTTTTAAATTTATTAAAACAAATAAATAAATATTGAATAAATTACCTTGAAATTCTCCACGGCTCATATTTGTAATTAAAGTTCCATTTCTAGCCATCTCTTTTGTTATATAACCATATTTTTCCATTGTATTATTTAAAGCACGTAAGTAGGCATAAGTAGCATCATGTAAACTCCGAGAGAATGAAGAAGGCTTTAAATTTATTTTTTAAATTTTTTAAAAAAATTTTCAAACAAAATTACAAACATTTTGATCCTCAGGACCTCCCATACAAGAATCACTACAATTAAATGGAGGTTGACCAAATTCCGCGTACATTTTACTCATAAATGAATCAATCTGAGCATTTGATCTATTCTCCAAGTCAATCTAGATTTTTAAATAATTTTTGCAAAAAAAGTGTTAATAATTATTTAAGGAAGTAAAAAAAATTTAGAAATTAAATAATATATTTCATATAATAGAACCTAATGTAGGTCTATTTTTTAACTGTTTTTTTAGAATGGGGCTCTAATAAGAATTAGTTCTATTTTCAAATACACTTTAACGTGGAGTAAAATGTATACGAACAATAATTGAACGTCTAGCTGTTTTCAGAGCATCAGCATCACGTCCATCATTTGTTGAGTTAGTATCCTTCCAAAAACCATCATATTTAGATCCATTTCTTCCAATAGAAACTAAAAATTATAAGATGTAGTAATTTATGAGATACAAAATTTGAATATTATTAGTTATTCGTATCTGTATTTCAATTATTTTAAAGCATTTAGTGTTTTAATAAAATAAAAAATCAAATAACAATTTATATCAATTTTTATAATTTTACCCATTTGTAGCATTCCTTGATTTCTAAGTAATGGGATAATCAAAACATAATCATTATTTTCAACTAAACCCATATCTGCTGCTGCTAAAAGAAAATTTCTTCTATCATAATTATTGTCAAAACAAGTAAGAATAACTATAATTAATTAATTAATTTTTAATTTAAATTTTAATTTAAATTTACTTCTCGATCTATTTTTTAATTCTTTAATTGCATCCTTAATACTTTCCATTTTTGGGAATATTTCCATTTTAAAAACAATTGTTATATTTGAACTAGGATTAATTATATCTTCAAAATCTTTTTGAAAATAACCACAAGCTCTTTAAAAATTTATTAAATAAATTCAATTTAAATAAATTTAATTATTTATTAACCTTCTAGCATCATCTTGAATATAAACTAAAGATATTTCTTTCCATTGAAATTCCCAAATAACCGACTGAACAGCCATTGCTAGCCTTAATTTATTTTAAATATTTATTTTTATTTATTTATTTTTGGATTTTAAAAACATTTTTGTGTTTGAATTTATATTTGTGACAGTTGGATAAACATTTTGGTCAAAAAGGTCTGCTGCAACAGTAGCACCCCACAAAAACATTGGAAAATTATAAAAGGAAGCATCATATCCTGCGACAAGTGCAGCTAAGAAAAGAAAATTATTATGTGAAGTTAATAGATTGATTAATTTTTTGCAAGCTTAAAAAATCGAAAATTCAGGCATTTTTTTTATAAAAATCATTATTTTATTAAGTCTCTTGATCCTATGAAAAACTTTGGTAGTCTAGTTTGTTCAGTTTAAGGAATTATTTATTTCTCTGATTCATCGAACTGTTAAAAATAAAGGGTAAAAATTGACTTGAACAATTACCAAATAGGGGGGGGGGGCTTCTCAAAAATAAATTTAAAACAAAAATAAAGTTTAGGAAAAAAATATTTTTCGATTATTTTTCTGTTCGATACCTGTAACACATGGGGGACCAATAATTGCATCCACATTTTCATCAAGAAATAATTTATTTGTATATCCAGCAGCCAAGGACGTGTCACAATCACAATTTAGCCATGAAAATCTAAATAAAACTCGTGAAAATAAAAAAAATAAAATTTTTACGTAAAATTAATATTATCAATTAAACTCTCATTTCGAGCCCTTTTAATTGCTAAATTAATTGCTGGTGCAGACTGAGCAAATCCAAATAATAAACGTAATGCTGATGTTGAATTAGCAAAGAGTAATCCAATTTTTAATTGAAAAGGTAAAATATTAGAGGAATTTGTCTGATTATTTAATTGTTCTGTTTGGTTTTGACATTTAATTAAACTTATTTGGAAAGAAATTAAAAATAAATAAATTAAATTTAATAAAAAATATTTAAATTTATTTGGCATAATTTTTGGAGAAATAATTTTTAAAAATAATTTTTGTTTTATTTAAATAAATAGATAAAGGAGTAATTAAAACAAAAAAAGAAGCCAAAAAACTAAAAAAAGAAGCTATTTTTATTCGATTTTTGAAAATTATTTCCATTTTTGACAAATGAAGCCCTTCAAAAATTTCCAAAAATTGCAACTTTTTAAGCATTTTAGGAATTATAATTTAAATATGTATATTTATTTAAAAATAATGAAAAGATTAATTTTTGATTTAAAAGATAATTTGCTAAAAATATATATTTAATAAAAGTATTAAAAAATATTAGAATATTTTATTTGAAAATTTTAATAATAAAATAATTTAGGAAAAATTAAGAAAAAAATATGAATAATTTTGAAGTGAGAGAAAATTTTTAAATAATAATTTTAATTTAAAATAATTTTAAATAGAAAAATAGTTTAAAATTGGCAAATAAAATTTTATTAAAAAATAAACTTAGGTAATTTATTAAAGAGGATTTTTCCAAAAATCTTTTGGAAACTTTTGTCTTTATTCCAAAAGTATTTTTAAATGCTCCAATTTATTTCTTCAAAATATGACGTCAAAAATGATCTAATTGTCATTGCAAATATTTATATAATTTGATAAATAAATTATTATGATATGACAAAACTTTAAAATATTAATTTTGTTCCCAGATATTGAGTCATTTAAATGTTTTATTTAAAAATTTGCAAAAAAATTTTAATATAATTTTTCTTAAAATATTTTCTCAAATCATTTGACAAAATTTTTTAATTTTAAATTAATTCTTATAACCTTTTGCCTTTTCATTTAAATAAAAATTTTGTAACAAACTAAAAATAAATTAAATTTACATTATAATTAGTTAAAAAATAACAAAGAAAAAAAAAACAAAATTGTTTTGGATTTTTGTAAACGAATACATCTGGTAAAATAAAAAAATTTAAAGAAAAATATTTTTATTTTTACTTAATTATGCGAATTTTATCATTTTTTGTAAATATTCGATTTATTAATGAATATTTTAAACTTTATTGTTTTTAAAAAATATTTTAAAGCAGATATGTATATAAAATGGGCGTTCTTGCAATATTAATAATTATTATTATTTTAATTATCTTGACTTTTTACAAATTAAAGTAGGGTTTATTTGTTTTTATAATTAAAAATTATATTTTATTTGTAAGATTGTAAATTAAATTAAAATTTATACTTTAATGATTAAAATAAAAATTTCTAATAAATTAGTGTAACATTTAAAAAACGAGATTTTGAATATTTTCTATCAATTCTAAATTTGTTTTAAAAAATATTTAACGGAGCTTGGAATCAGGGATAGACGCCTCACCGCCTTTGCCTTTCATCGTCAGCTTTTTAAAATACAGCAGTCTCCTCCATAGTAGGAACTTTGCATTAAATTATGCCAAATAAAATTGAAATATTTCTTATTGAAGTAATATAAGCAAAAATTTATAAACAAAGTTGAGATTTAAATTTTACAATAAGTTTAAAAAAATTTTTTAGCCTTCATCTCCTATGGCAAATATGGTTCAAGTTTGATCTATATTTCACAACTAGAAGCAATGTGCCAAGATATCTTCATTTAATGAAATTAACTAAAAAATTTGGAAGGTTATTTTTAACAATTGAAATTGGACCAGAAATGGAATTGAGAAAAAATTATATTTGTAGCGATCCAAATTTATTGGAAGAACTTTTTAATACGAAACAATTTGCAAATTTTTCCGAACGAAATGTATTTTTTAAAATAATTTTTATTTAAATTTTAAATAAATTTAATGCATTAAGTATATCAAATCTAAATATAGAGTACATACTAATGTGAATACAATATACATATATGCATACAAACGGGAAAGATAAATTAAACTAGGGGTTTTTTGGAAAACCCCAACCCAAACTCGAAGGCTTTAAATCGACACTCCCGATACCGAAGAGTCGGGTTGCTACTTAACTTAAACTTATTTATAATAATTTTAAATATAAATATTTTTATAAATTTATTTGTTTCCAGTCAGTTAATTATGTCCGTCCCGATGTGGCACATTTATTTTTAGCTAACGGAGAACGATGGGCAAATCTGCGTAAAAGTGCCTCGATCTTTACAAATAAAAATATCCGTTCGGTTTGTAAAAATAATTATTTATTATATTTTAATTTAATTTAGATGAATAAATTAATTGAATATTCAATAAATGATGTTTTGAATGAAATGAAAATTGGAGCTAAAAAATGTGAAATTGTTGATTTTTGCGAGTTTGTTATTTTTAAATAAATAATTATTTAAAAATTAATTTTAATTAATGGATTCTAAAATAATAAAGCATATTTAGTTTGTAAATAAAACGTTATGTGGTTTATTTGAGGAAATAACTAAAATATAATATTTTTTATGTTTTTTAAATTTCATTTTTGAGTTATGCCGATTTATTTTTTGCTGCTATGATCTCAAGGATTGCGTTTTCAATTGTATTCCCTAATATTAATTTAAACAAATTTCCACAAAAGTATGTGTACTTTGCAAAAGAATTAATTATTAAAAAAGAACAACATAAAGAAAATGAGCAAAAACAAAAACAATTTGGATTATTTAAAGTTTTGTATAACCAAATCTTGATGGACAAACAGGATATTATATTGCTAAATAATGAAAGGTGAAAAAATTTATAGAAAGATAAAAATAAATATATTTAAATAATTAATTATTGATATAATTAAGCTCGCCTAATAATTCTACAACTCGTTTGGAAGTAATTCTTGGGAATCTTTTGCTTAATAATAGCGTTAAGGCAGCCGGGTAAGCTATTAAAAATTATTTCACTACAATATTAAATTTTTTCTCGGACATACTAAAATACTCAAAAACTAAAATAATTTATTTGATTGGGTAATTCACTTAAATTAACTTGCGCTAGGGGCAAGTAACATGTATCCAAAAATCTTATTTTCCGATTTAAAATCTCGAATATTGAATTTAAGCTTAGATGACGTTACTCCAAATAAAATAAATTTTAATTTAATGATTAAGACTTCAAACAATCAGCTTTGCTCTCTCTTGTATTGCCCATTTTATAGCTACTTATCCTCAAATACAAGAAAAACTTCGAACGCAACTAAACAACTTACAAAACGAAGATAATAATTTATTTTTGAATACTTCCTCGAAAAAAGAATTGATAGATGGAATTATTAATGAGACGCTTCGTCTATGTCCAATTGTTGCTTTGTATGTTTGTTTGAATTTTATATTAGTTAAAAATAGCTCCTCAATAAAGATCCCCTAAAATTAAAAAAAAGTTTCTTAAATAATTTGTCATTTAAAGTGCAAATTCCCGAAAATGTAGCATTAAATATTTGACAAAAAATGGAGAGATCTGTTTGAACCCTGGGGATATAATAGAAGCAGATATATTCTCCATTTCAATAGATAAGGAATTTTGGGGAGAAGATGCGAATGAATTCAAACCAGAGAGGTAGAAAAATATTTAAAAATAATTCTAAAGTTATTAAATAAAGTATAGTTAAAATTTTTATAAAAATTGAAACTTTTCGGGTCAGTTTTTACGTGGGTAAGACATACGGGGCTGGCCAAAAGTGATCGGGATTCAGTTTCGGTCTTCAGCCATAACTAAAAGCATTTTGCATAATAATAAATTAAAAGCCGTTTTTGTTGTTCTTATTCTATCCGATGACATTTTACAATATTCAAGGAATAGTCGAAATTATTTAAATATTACATATTAAAATTTTATATAAAATGTTAATTAGAAATTTAATAATTTAAAATTAATTTTTTAAAGATGGTTTAATTCACCACATTCGGCATCTTCGTTTCTTGCCTTACTACCTTTTGGTTTTGGTCCTAGACGATGTGTTGGAATCCCATTGGCTAAGCATATTTTAAAGAAGGCATTAACATCTATAATATTAAAATTTAGAATAATCTATGAGAATGTATCCGAAGTAAAAATAAACGTTGATAAAAAATAATTTAATTTTCTACAGATTGAATTGCTGGGAAAGGAGGTATTGAAACCAAGGAATGTTTTGGTAAAAATTGAGAAAATAAAAAATAGTATTGACGAAGAATAAATAAATAGGTATATAATAAATAACAACATAGATTTATTTATTTTAAAATATGAATTAGAATTTTCTAAATATTTAATCTCAAAATTTTACTAATAAAAAATAGACTCCACGCCAGAATATTGACACCCAAAATGACGCTTACCCAAAATATTGAATTTTTTTATTTCTTAATTATGTATTCCAAGGACGGGGAAGTCTATTTTAACATAGGGCAATTGTTCCAACAATGGAACAAATCTGATCAATATGTTCAATCAAAGAGAGAGTCAAAGAGAGAGCCGATCAAGAACCTCTCAAAGAGAGAGATTCTTGATCGGACAAAATACAAAATCCACAACTCATGGAAGTTATAATTAAAGTTAGAAAATGAGAAGAAATAAAAAAAGTTGAGTAATTAGAAAAATATATTAAAATTCCAAATTATTTTATCCAAGTCAAATGTATTTTTTATTTTTTTTTTTAAAAATCCATTTTATGTTCCAAATAAGCCAATTGTGGATTAACGTTAATAAAAATTAATTTTCGTTTACAATTTTTTGTTTAATTAGCCGTTTTCTTATTGAGTTTTCCAATTGAATGAGGGGGAGGGGAATTCTGACGTTTTTTTGAATTTCGTTACCCACTGGTTGGGGTAAAATGCTTTGATGACAATTAATTTTAGTTTAGGCAAAGAATTGACTGTATGAGTAGAAGTTTGAAAATACAGGTAGAGAGAGGACAAATTAAACTAAAAGTTGATAAGCCAACCCAAAGAGAGATATTTACAAATAAAGATTGGAAAAACAAAAAATTCAATTATCTGATTTCTGCCAAAATCAGCCAATAAAATTTTGAATCCAAATTATTTGAAAAAATTATATTCAAATATCTGATTGAC